ACCCTAGTCGTCGAATACATTGTCTGCATACAGGCTACCACTGCGCATTCCAGTTCGGACGTGCCTGCACAACATGCAGAGTCAAGGATTCACCGATTTTGTCCTCTGTCCGGCCCAATTCACCACCGACAACAAGGAGATGCTAGCACTGGCTCTCGATTCTTCCAGACAACGGCAGACTTCCTACATCCCACAGCTCGCAATGGACTCCACGTTGGTCGATCCGTTCGCCTTCTCAATGGATGGCATGCGTGATTACGGGCAGACACACGATGCCTCCGCCGCATTGCAAGCACCCTATTATGACACTCCTGCCATGTACTCGGACGCTTTCGCTCCTCTCCCCAAGACTTCCAGCTTCCCTTCAATGCCCGTCACACCTCCTTCCCTTCCTCTTTCCGCCGACCACTTCATTCCTGGCCTCTCTACCGCTTCTGGACCTTCTATCCCGAGTGCCTCATCGTCCGCCATGGGGTCACCCCACTCAGGAACAGCACCTTTCATCCAAGAGGAGTGGATTCAGACCACCAACGGTCTGGGACTCGCCGATGCCCTCATGAGCGACTTCTTTCCCAATGAGTATGTCAGCGGTATGACGGACACGGATGGTTTCTATCAGAAGAAGTGGATCGAAAATTGTGTCGGTTCGTACTTTGCCCCCCACTTCGAGCTTGACCCTCATGCTAATCATGAGTGCTGAACAGATCCTTCAGTGATTCAGTCCAACTCCCAGCAATGCCACCTTTCACCACCTGCCATCTCGTTTCCTGAGCAGCCTGACTACATGATCGCACAGGAAAGCTTCTTCCCCCAATCTCCTAATCCATCTCACTACCAGCTTGAGGAGCCCTACCCCACCACGCAGCCATTTCCCCAACAGCAAGCCGAGTTCTCGGCTGCTTCTCCTATCCCCACCATCCCGCGTTCACTCCCTGCATCCGCATATCAGCGAAGGTCGTCCGTGGCTTCGGTCCGGTCCCGCCTGTCTCAGCCCAGTCCGGCGTCGAGCAGCCTCGACTCCGATGATGAAACCAAGGAAAAGGGCCGATGCCCTCATCCCGACTGTGGACGAGTATTCAAAGACCTCAAAGCCCACATGCTTACCCACCAGTCCGAGAGACCTGAGAAATGCCCGATTGCAACTTGCGAGTACCACATCAAGGGGTTCGCGCGCAAGTACGACAAGAATCGACATACACTCACCCATTACAAGGGAACGATGGTGTGCGGATTCTGTCCGGGATCTGGGTCGCCCGCTGAGAAGAGTTTCAACCGGGCGGACGTCTTCAAGCGTCATCTGACTTCAGTGCACGGCGTTGAGCAAACGCCACCCAACTGCCGCAAGCGAACCCCCGTGGCTTCCACCGCCAAGAACTCCCCTAGTCATAGCCAGGAGGCTACCGGCAAATGTTCTACGTGTTCCATCACTTTCAGCAATGCCCAAGACTTCTACGAGCATCTGGATGACTGTGTGCTACGCGTGGTGCAACAAGAAGAGCCTAGCGAAGCCATCAACCAGCAGCGCCTTGCCGAAGTCGACTCGGACGAGGAGGTGAAGAAGACTATGGAGAGACACATGCTACTCGACACGGCTGGTACCGTGGATCGTTTCAGCGACGAAAATGACGACGATGACGAAGACTTCTACGAAAGCCCCAACCAGCGGTTGGCTAAGAACTTCCTGAGAGTTCCTCGGGGCAATTCCACCGCCGGTGGTGCTCGCGTTATCCTGGGCAGCGGCAATGCCGTCACCAAGCCCTCCGCCAACAACAAGATGCGTGCGACGGCGACCAAGCGGCGGAACAACCGTGATCGGTACCCTCAGTCGTGGGGATGCCCCAGCAGCAGCATCAAGACCAAGAAGCGCGTCCTCTGTGTCTTTGATGGTCAACGTCGTCTCTGGAAGGATGAGATGATGCTTGACAACGAGTTCGAAGTCCGGCTCAAGCTCCCAGGTGGTGCCGGAGATGGCACCAACCGGGAAGCATACGTGACCGATCTGGACGTTGAGACTCTGAGGCGTGCTGAGGGCGTGCTGAGTGCCAACGACGAAGAACGGGGGCCGTGGCTCAGCGGTCCAACCACGCAGATGATCGGTCGACCGGCCGTCCCACTACCCGACGTCGCTTATGCGCATGAGAACCTCGACGAATTGATGGCCTAAACCGCCTCCCCCTGAAGCACCCCCGCTTTGTATTCTGCCCCCTTCCCATTCTTACCTCATGTCTTTTGCATACCCGTGTCTCCTGAAAGCGAGCCGATTGATATTTATTTTCTTATGTGGCTGATTTGCGTTTCAAAATCTTGACTGATACCATCATATCCATGTTCTTTGAGCCTCAACCAATGTTTTGACTGATCTTGTCTTTTTGATCATGCTGTATTATATATATATCCAAATGGCTGAGAAGCATACCCCGGCTGGGCCGAGGGTCTTTTTGGGATCATGAAATGAAAAAGAACCTGTGTCCCATGTTATTACTTTCGAGAAGCCGTTCTAGCTGTAATCGGTTCTTCCTGCTTATATAGCTTTATCGTGTTCTGAGATCGAACAAGTATTGTAAGTGCAACTAACCTAACCTAACCAGTCTACCAGTTCCATTTCCTACCACGGCCGTCACGTGCACTTTCGATGTTCAATGCTGTAAGCATAAGCATACACTCCACCCCATCCCTTCAAAGATACGGTACGCATCTCCAAGGCCGCCGAACTCCCCACCCTTTCGCTCCGCTGATCGCTACACATCATGCGGACGAACGCTGCTTTTGTGCTGTGCCCATCCCATGAGACGAACACCATGTTTCTCCGCTCGACCCCAAGCATGAATGTCCTGTTCGTGTCTGCGATCACGGTTGTTTCGGACTGGGGTTATACCTTCGAGGATTGGCAAAGTAACAGACAGACAGACAGACAGACAGCGAGATGATACGATACGGGCACTGGACTGAGGTTTCAAGTCTGGATTTTCCATTAAGCGGACTGGTAGGGCCCCTTATCCGGGGTGGCACTTCTTCGAACTACGGTTTGTATGTATGAGACCATGGGCTGTGGCTACGATGGGAGAGGGGAAGGGAGTCTTGGGTTGGAAACGTTGAGGATGGACTGGTATTGGCATTGGAAGGAGTATGCTTGCTTGCTTGCTTGGGTGGAAATTATGGTGTGTTGGGGGAGGGGAGGGAGGGAATCCTTGGTGGATCAGATCATCCTTAGGCTAAGCCTGCTGCTTCTCCAGCTGGCGCTCCAGCTCCATGCTCTCGGCGAAGGATTCCTTGAGGGCCGCCACCTGCTCGGCGGCCGGCACGACGCACGGCCGGCGGGGGAGGGCGCCGTAGCCGCGGTAGGACTGGAGGGCGGACTTGACGGCGACGAAGCCGCCCTGGATGGCGAGCCAGTCGGCGCGGGCGACGACGGCCTGGAGGCGCTGGGCGTCGGCGACGTGGCCGGCGCGGTAGAGGTCGAAGACGCGGAGGCAGGCGCGGGGGATGAGGTTGGCGACGCCGCCGATGACGCCGGCGCCGCCGGCGACGAGGGTGGGCAGGGTGAAGTCGGCGGAGCCGCCGAAGGTGCGGAAGGCCGGCGGGGCCTGGGCGACGATGCGGGCCAGCTTGCCCGTGTTGCCGCAGGTGAGCTTGACGCCGACGATGTTGGGGTGGGCGGCCAGCGCCAGGATCGCGTCTGACGACAGGTCCACCCCCGCCGCCGCCCCCGGGAAGTTGTAGATGAGCACCGGCACCGGCGACGCCGCCGCCACCCGCTCGAAGTGCTCGCGCACCGCCTGCGCCGTCAGCAGCGACTGGTAGTACGACGGCGGCAGCACCAGCACGTAGTCGCCCCCGGCCGCCGCGGCGTCCTCGCACAGCTGGATCGTCTCCCGCGTCGAGGCCGCGCCCGTGCCCACGATCAGCGGCTTCGAGGCCCCGCCGTGCGCGTCCAGCGCCCGCCGCGTTGCCGCCGTGATCTCGTTGCGTTCCTCCCGCGAGAGGTGCACCGCTTCGCCGTTGCTGCCTTGCACGACGATCCCGGTCACGCCGGCCTGCGCCAGGTAGGCGGCGTGCTGCTCGACGGTGGCGATGTCGAGGTCTTCATTGGGGCTGAAGAAGGCGACAGTCGGGACGTAGATCCCTGGTGTGAGGGGGCGGGGGGTGCGGGCCATGGTGTATGTATGGGGTCGGTAGTTGCGGCGAGGGTTGCGATGAAGTACGTCAGCTCGGGTCTGGATGGGTATCGCGCCGACGGCGGGTTAGCTTCCAGGGTGGAAATAGATCTGGGGAGAGGAAACTCGGATCAACAAGAGGAAGGTAGAGAGGGTATAAGAAGCAAGAGAGGGGAGGGGAGAGGAGGGGAACGAACTCACCTGGGTCAGTTATTGGATTGAATGAACCTTGAAGCCCTGATCGCCCCTGCTTTGCCTTCTCCATCCACCCCCACGTTCTCCCCCACTTGACGAGGAGGCCACGGCGCGGGGGGAATTTCCTCCTCTAAGCTTCGGACTATTAGGAATATGGAATCCAGTGCGGAAAAAGAATCTTCATCCAGGCCATGGGAGGGGTCTCCCCCCACGTTGTTCCTCGGAAACATGTGCGAGTAGCTCTGGCTATGAGCATGAATGCATCATCTCCGCCCACAGTTGGAGCGGAGAAGGAGGAGAGAAGGAGGAAGATGTGGGGTGCATAGTTTCGATTGGACCTGGGGGCAGAGAGGGGGAGGGAGCCCCTGTCTCTGGCTTGTCATTGGGGGGGCTGTCATTGAGTCTGTCATTGCGTCTGCCGTTCAGAATGATTGAGAGAATGAGAGAGCAAATGAATGGATGGGTGAATGAAGTGGTGAAGTTGGGATTGGAGATGGTGGAAGAAGAAGAAGCAGAAGCAAAAGGGCAATAATACATACAGTATCGTCACGTCTGAGACAGAACCAGAAACAATACAGTACATTCCTCAAACTCTCTCGCGCTCACTCACTCACTCATTCACTCACTCACTCACTTTCTCTCTCCCCAAATCCCAAATCCCTTCACTCACTGTCTCTTTGCCTTTCTTATCCCCGAGTTCTTCCGCAAGCCTACCACCCTCATAATCAATCTGTTAGGAACGGGGAAAAGAAGGAATCCCGAGCAGCCTCAACTCCTCCGACCAGAACATGCTTCTGTCGCATTGGCAAATCTCCTCCTCCCTCTGAGCTCCCTCCTCTCCTCTCCTCTCCTCTCCTCTCCTCTCCTCTCTCCTGATGTCCGCCCGTGTTTCACTGCCTCGAACACTCGATCCGCCGCCTGCCAAACGAGCTCGACTGCAGGAATCTTCTACCTCGTCACGCCGTCGCAAGAGCTCCCCCGATCTACTCGACGTCACCAATCCCCATTCTCATTCTCATCCTCGACGATCGCATATTTCCTCGCCATCGCCCGCAGCCTCGCCGGCTCCTTCCCCGCACGCCAAAGTTGCCTCTGGAGCGCAATCCCGGCGGGCGTTGACGCGCCGTCCGCTGGTCTCCTCCAACACGACCACGTCTCCCCTGTCTCCCAATACTCCGCGACACTCCGATCGTCGTCGCATTCTACGCCATGAGACGCCCGTCAATACTCTACCCCCATTCTATCTCCACCAGGAGCGTGAATCGCCCGACCCCCTAGACACCATTTCTCCCTCCGTCTCCCGTCGAATTTCCCCCGCCGGTCGCTCCTCCGCTCCTTCCTCCTCCGCCGCTGCCGCTTCATCAGTCCGTCGCCCGCGCCGTCAAGCTCCGCCCTCAGCACCAGATGCAACAACCGTCCACGAAGATTCACCAGCTGCAGTCACACAAAAATCAAATCGGTCCACCCGCAGCGCGGTTGCTGCTCAGCCGGCCGCCGAATCCCCTCCCAATGCGCGGGAGTCACGGCGTTCCCTCCGCTCCAACGACACAGGCTCTCGCGCCCGCAGCGAGCTAGCGGCCTATTTCCCCAACTATGAAGAGCTTCTCAGCCTGGAGCCGCCAAAAACCGGTATGTCACGAACATCAATGATGGTCTTCATGCACACCAAGGCTCACAATACCTGCTCCAGAATTCCTAGCTGGTAGCACCACCATCAAACTCATCGATGACCTTCCAGTCCCGATCGCTGCTCAAATCAAGTCCAATTCAGAGTTGGATCTGGACCGTCCTTTCGAGAATCCGCTCATCAACCTTCACAATTGCGAAGTTATCTCTCTCCCCGAACCTCCTTCGTCTCCGTCTCTCCCCTCAGACCCTTCTGCCGACCCTATCCCGGAAGATCCCCTCGACGAGAGCATCTTCTTCCGCGCGCATCGTCGTAACGAGCGCCAGGAAAAGCAGCTCCGGAATATCGAGCGCGATCGAGCTCAACATGAGAAGCAAAACCTTGACCGTCTCCTCGACGAGCTTCAAGGCCATGACTGGCTCCGAATCATGGGCATCAGTAGCCACACCGAGCAGGATAAGAAACTTTACGAGCCCAAACGCGACTACTTCATCCGGGAGATTTCCGCTGTTCTCCAAAAATTCAAGATCTGGAAGGAAGAGGAAAAGCGCCGTAAGGTAGATAAAGATAAGCCCGCCGACCAAATCACCGTCGATGCGAAAGAAGCAACCGCGACAACGACCACTGCCACAGCAGCAGACGACCGAACGACAGCAGACGCAGAGGGAGTGGGCGCCGCCGGTCACACCACTGCAGCACCAGATGGAGGAGGGGGTGACGCCCAACGCTACTCCGGCGACCCACCAGACCCCAACGACGTCGATGCCTGGGCTGCTCGCCAACTTCTGCAAGAGGCTCGGTCTGCGACCACTGCAACGGGATCAACAGGCAAGAAACCCAGAACCACTCTCACCGCGCCCAAGCGGACCACCATCACCGCATACTTCCAGAAGGCCGGCTCGTCCACGACGACGAGCACGGCCACTGTTCCGCCTTGTCCTCTTCCTCCTCCACCGCCGCCATCCGACCCCAAAAAGCCATTCACCTCTTTCTTCGCCGATCCAGATACCCGCAAAGCAGCCTTCTCGGCCTACCGCACGGGCGCTCGCACGCCGTACGCCTTTGGCCACCGCATCCCGGACCTGCAGCCACGAGACTTCGAGCTGCCGCCGGACATGTTGACGCCCGAGGCCATCGACTCCTGCCGCCGGAAGAAACGGCGAATGAGACGGGCGAGCCGGGGCTCGAATGAATTGTAATTTTACCATACCATCAAGGGGGACTTGTTTAGCAACCCTGGGGAAGTATAGACTGCTGACTCCATGGTCCGGCTTTTTTTTTCTCTTTCTTGCCTGACGAGCGCATGTGCGATCCGTGTAGTATTCACTTTTCTTAACGGAATAGAACTAATTAATACCTACCTGCTGCGGGAGCCAAACCTGGTATGCTGCCTTTGGGGCGAGAGGGTACTGTTCTGCATCTTAGTGCTCATTCCTAATCCCATATTCCCGGGTGTGATGCGAAGGCTAGAGCTGCAGGGACTATACAAGCTCCCTGCCGGAATGGAATTACGTGCGGATACTTTCATTGACTCGATTCCAGTCCTCATAGCGCTTGTGAACCCTGAACTCTTATATACAGTACAGGTTCCGCGTGACCGTCCTCCCTGACAGGGCACCCCCCTCAGATACTGGCAGTCAATGTTTGGGAAAGGAAAAGAAAACCACGCAACCAAGGAAATTATATCTCCGCTTCTGAGATGGAGAGGAAAGGCATCCCACTTGTCGGGATTGTCGAGTGTAGTCAGATAAAAACTTAGAGAGTTAGTAGTACCGTTTGAAGTACCCGTCCTTTCAGGTCGCATTTTCGGCGCACGAGAAGCTCATACTGCTAGGATGATCGTGGATCGCTTTGCCAGAGACATACAACCCCAGAAAGCACTATCGAAGAAGGTTGTCAGCCTGAAGCTTCGCTCGTCCGGGGAGTGGATAGTGTATGTACCAAACACGCAGCGACAATGAAGCTAAGGATATTGAGCATGGTCAGGGCGATTTTGCGGGGCGAGGAGAACCACTGGCCACGGTTCATGTATAGCCAAAAGACGCCACTGCAGCCGAATGTGAACCAACTGGCGAAGAGGGCAGTCTACCTTGCCTGTTAGTGCCTCGTAACGCACCCAGTGCGAAGTGCTGAGGGGGTAATGGGGACCGTACGATTAGGCTGAGCAAGTTGCTGAACACAGGGATGGCTTCTGCGATGATCCACGCAATCACCCACAAACCCAAAGCAATACTGACCCAGGAGCTGATGGCGATCCAGTCGCGCTTGTGAATCCGATCAGTGCCGGCGAACACGCGCAAGTAGATGTACTTGAAGGCAATGTGGCCGTTGATCACGCCAGCGATGATGATCTGGTTCAATCTATGTCAGAGACTCAATACTGCTAATGGTCCCAGGCCGAAGCGATAGTCACTCACAGTGGGCAGGGCAACGCCGTATGCAACTTTCGCCACCATGGGACTAGCGGAGCTCAAAGCAGGTGAGGCCACCTCTGCACCACCGTACCGATAGATCACGACAGCTGCAATGATGTACAGCGAGATGTCGAAGGTCTGCAGCAGACATAGCGCCTTGGGGAAGTCCCGCGTATCCTTCAACTCCGCTGCTAGCCCGAAGTAGGCGGCATGTCCAGCTGGGGAATATGATCAGCGCAGCTGCGAGGTGCCAAGTGGTCTCGAACTCACAGAAAGCAAAGACAATGTTGGTGATGGCACCGAACCCATGAGTGAGGTCAGTGGGTACAGTGGCTTCCACGCCTTTCCCAGGATGCAGGAAGCCCACGCCAAACATCGTGATAACCACCGCCGACAGAATGCTAGCGAAAGCTATTCCCAGATTAGCTGTCTGAGCAGTGACTAGAAAGTCCACCGAGCGAGCACAGGACGCATACAAACGAACGAGAGCCAGGACATTTTTACTAGCGTGCGAGGCAACGAGCAAATGAATGAGATGATCAAGCCGACGACGCCAAAGACAATCGAACATGTCCCGTGGCCAGTGATGGTGTTCATAGCGATGATGAAGGTAAGCAGATGGCTAGCCATCACGAACACCAGGAACAGAACCTGGCCAACACCAAGAACCTCTCGGCCAACTCTGCCGGCGATCACCTCCCCTGCATCGGCCATGTTGCAGACCTGGGGGTACCTCCACTTGAACTGTCCGATCACATAGCCAGTATAGGTTGCCAGCATTCCCAGGAGGAGTAACGCAACGATGGAACTGTGTGAACTGTTAGCCAGTCTGATTCCCAACTACATCTTTGGAGAAGCAGACATACGGAGCTAGACCCAAGCTAGCCACAGCAGCAGGCAGAGACAAGACACCCAGGGAGACGGTTTCAGCTACCATGAGAACACCGCATTGCCTAGTATACCGCATCAACGATGATTAGTCGGACAAGAGGGGTGTAACCGCGCAGACGAAGATGGCATCACATCACATACCACCATTTGAGGACTTTGTACTTGACCTCGGCGAATTCCTCATCGCCAAAGGCATCCTGTGCCCTGGAAGAAGTAGAGACCTTGGACCTCTCGTCTACTTCCAGCGGTGCATCACCGGCCACACTCATCTTCTCCTGGTGCTGGGGAGTTGAAGTGTCTTGGAAATCGCTCATGACGAACAATATACCTAATTGGAGAGTGGATGTGGAAGTGAGCTCTAGGGAAGAAGAGCCTAGGCAATCTCGTCGAAGAAGCTAAAGAACATGAAGGGCTTATCAGTAAGAGGTGGAGAAGTCAAAGAAGTGAAAGAAGGGTCTGTAACGAAGCTGCGAAAGAGAGGAGTAAGAGAAGGGAAGGTACGCAAGAATTGGCCAGGAACCCACCGGAGGAGAGTTCCCAATTCAGTCATTCTTCTCTTCCCATTCATTCTTCCATCTTCTTCTTTTCTTGCTCACACTCACACTCACACCCACTCTTGCTCGGTGGTCAATATCAGAAGATTGAGCTTGCCTACGATAGATATATCACACTACATATAAGCTTTACGCCCACGCGTGGCTGCAAGTATTGTAAGCCACCACAATGCAGCAACACTCACAGGCAATCAACTTTTGATCAAAACAGACATCATGACTCAATAGGATTCCCAACTCAACAGGTGATCGCCTCCAGCAAGAACAATCCTGCCCGCACCCAATGCAAACGAATTGGCGTATGGTTCCACAGCATCGGTCCAGCTGCAGCTCAACGCCGATCTTGGATCTAGAATGAATCCTTGTCGGACCGTTTTCCCGGCCCTGTGCTGCAATTTGATCATCATTTGTAACACCGTCGGATGACCTTTCCACACGGGGCCATGCAAATCAGAGTTCTCGATGCAAGCTGCACTGCATCCAGAAGTCACCCGGTCCATTGAAACCCCCGACTTCCCTGCATTTCGACGGACAACACACCTACACTTGCTGCGTTATGCATCCTACTGCAGTGTTCAGGGTTACGCTCCAATGCATGATGTCTATTACGGAAGATCGGAGAACAAAAATGGCTTGGATCCTTCAATTGCCTAAGAAAAAAAGGTCTTCAAGGCGAGAGATCTCTCCGATGGCCCTGGCGCTCTCCCGCTCGAGCGCCGCGGTTGCCTCTCACCCATATATCAAAGTCAGCCTAATGCTCCGCACCCTATCCCTTGATCACGCTTATCACGCTTCACCGACATCCCCGATGATCCACTTCCTAAAGTACCCCTCGCTTGGACTCAAAAAAGAGGGATTTTACCCCTCAGTTCGCTTGGCTCTGACTATCCTAGCCGCGTTAACCTACATATGAAGCCCACTATGGCGCTGCTGCTGCCGATGCCGTAGCCTTGTAGGCTTAGGGAACTTATATGAGATCGTACTCGCATCGCTCTGAAATCCTTGATTGTTAGTCTCTGCGAGCTCAGCCATTGCGACAAGAACCCAAGATGAACAACAGCAGAGAAGATGAAGAGCATGGTAAACTCTTCCCCAATCGAGAGGAGGATGCAACATCTCAGACGCCCCTTCTCGGCTTCAAAAGAGCACAGGACAACATGGGCCGGATCTTGAGCACCAACTTCAGTGCCCTGACGGCTGGGTTCAATGGTACAGTACATGCATATACACGCTACAGCATACTCAAAGCATACCATAAATGCTAACATCTTCTCTTATCGGAACGGTTAAGACGCCGCTCTAGGAGTTCTGATCCCTTATATCCAACTGACCTATCACGTCGGCCTGCTTCAGGTCTCTATGATCTACCTCGTCAACTTCATAGGGTGGCAGCTGGCCTCTTTTACCAACATCCACATCTGCTCACATATCGGCACCGGCGGCACCCTGGTCGTTGGAGCCACCATCCAATGTATCGGCTATGCGCTAATGTTCTGGGCCCCCCCGTTCCCCCTCTTCGCGGCCGCTTTCTTCTTCACGGGCTGCGGCGTGGCCCTACAGGACGCACAGATGAACACCTACACGATCAACGTGCAAGACGCCCACCGGTGGCTCGGGATATTGCACGCAGTGTACGGGGTCGGCACGATCCTGGCTCCATTGATCGCCAACACCATTGCCGCGCGCACTCCGTACTGGCAGCACTACTACCTCGCCACGATGGTGGTCGGCGCTGTGAACCTCTCGTTTCTGGCTTGGACGTTCCGACAGGGCCTGTTCAAACCCAATAACAGCAGTGCCAAAGGCAGCGCCGCTCGCGACCTTAGAGCGACGTTGACGAACCGGACAGTATGGATTCTGAATGGATTTTTCTTTTTGTATGTGGGCGCGGAGGTCACGGCGGGTGGTAAGTCCTTCGACCCGCATGCTGAAGAGGTAATGCAGTTGCGATATGTATTTATTGTGACTAATCCCATTTTTCTAGGATGGCTTGTCCAGTTTCTCGTTTCAGTGAGACATGGTGATCCCGAGAAAGTGGGCTATATAGCCTCTGCGTTTTGGGGCGGCTTTACCGTTGGGCGAGTGGCTTTGGCAGATATCACTCACAAGTTTGGCGAGAGACGGATGGTATTCGCCTATATGACATTGGCTATCGCTCTACAGTTGGTATTTTGGCTAGTGCCTAGCATAACGGTCAACGCTATTATGGTGTGCCTTCTGGGTAAGCATTGATTCATGCCAAGAGGCTGCCACACATATACAATGCTGACGCAGACAAACCACGATTTGCAGGCTTTTTCATTGGGCCATGCTATCCGGTCGGACTTTACATCCTTACCAAGGTGATACCACAGGACCTGCACGTGGGAGCCATGGGTAAGTATCCTTTGTGCGAGACACCATAGACATTAGACTGATAAGCAAACAGGTTTTACTGCGAGTTTTGGACAGGCAGGATCCGCCGCTTTCCCATTCATGACGGGCGCCATAGCCTCGCGAGTTGGAGTCCAAGTCTTGCAGCCGATCATGGTGGGATTGCTTGTTGGAGTTATCGCCTTCTGGTCTTTCGTTCCCAGACAGAATTCGAGGAGTGCTTGATGGGGTTATCAAACACAGAAGACCCGAGACATCGCCCATTTGCTTCATTGATGTGTTAGCAGCGCCGTTCTTCAAAGGCTGCGAAAAGTTATGTTGTTGGGTAACCCTTGGACATAGTTCAGTTGTATGCTTACGTGCAGCCTGAAATGAAACGGGCATGACTGAGCGGGAGGCTGAGAAGGCCATCATCAAACAAGCCGAGGGCTTGCTAGCAGCAGGCCATATTGATTGTAATAACTGTGCTGTGAGTGTATCGCCAGAATGAATCGAGCCATTCGTTATAAGTCTAAACCGTGCTTAGTATAAGACCATAGATCGAAGCGTAACGAGTCTTGAATGAAGGATATTTCAGAGAGAAGATTTTAGTCGTCATAGCCTCACACATCCGCAGATGGTATGGCGTTCCGACTAAGGATGACTGATACGATGTTTTCATCATGGAAGGTAGATGCAAAAGTGGTGGAACCGGAAAAAATGCAAAGACTTACCAGCTTTGACCAGCCCAACGAGCTGGTTGCTGCCCCCAAGGAGCCCCTAAAGCGGACGGACATGATTTGTTGCCACACGGTTGAAGGTAGCTCAATCATCATAGGAGATAATCTTCCTCCCGGTGAACAAAGCCGCCCGCCTGGACGGATCCGCATAGGGATCAGAGGACGAACCACACCGTCCTGCGGCTCCAGAAGAACTGTGCCGCGGCTGCCGCTGCTGCTGCTGCTGCTGCCCACCCGCAGCATCGCCATAATCCATATGCAAATCCCCATCATCTCGCGGCCTTTTCTTCCCGGCGGACGATTTTCCATGCCTAGGTGGTTCAGGCTTTTCGCTAGCATCAGCAGTACCAGCACCAGCACCAGCAGCATCAACCTGTGTAGGAACAGCCACATCTAGCATCACCTCACCACCACCGCGCACCTCCCCGCCGTCATCATCATCATCATCATCACGCCGCTCCACCCCCCTCTCCGCGCGCCGCGCCTTTTGGTCCTCTTCTTCCTCTTCCGCGCGCCTCTCCCTCTCCGCCTCCTCGCGTAACTCCCTCTGCCGCAGAAGCGCATGAATCTCACTATGCCGGAAGATCTGGATCTGCTCGTCCGTGAGGGTGCGTTTGACCCCGTCGGAATAATAACCTAGTCCGTCTTCTTCATCTTCCGCATCATAATACGACGGATCTGCGGGCGCGGCGGCGGAGGCGGTGGTAGTGGTGGTGGTGTTGGTGGTGTTGGTGTGGGCTTGGGGCGTGAGCTGGGTCGCTAGGAGAGTTTGTGCTGCGAGGTTTGGGTCGGGGAAGTGTTTGGCTTGGAAGGCTTGGAGGTCTTGCTGTGCTGTCGGGGTGAGAGGCTTTTCTTTGTTTCTTGGGGGGCTTGGGGGGACTGGGGGGCTGCTGGGGGGGAGGGTACCAGAGTTATGGGCGGTGGGTGGATGTGTGAGGTGGACATTTTGGTGGTTGTGGTTGGTGGTTGTGGTTGGTGGTTGTGGTTGTGTTTGGAGGAAAGAGTGATGGATGGATTTAGTGTGTTTGGGACTTTGGGTGAAGGATGGAGCAAGTGTGAAGGAAAGCTAAGTTACTAGCGCGGCCTGGCCGACCGGACTAGGAGGTCATTGCCGCTTTGGGGATTTTACAGGCTGTATGGTATATGACCGTTTGGTACCGCCTTCTACTGCAGTGCTCGAAGTACTGTACCTACACTCACAGTAATACACGGATTCATGCATTCATTCATTCTTTGTGAATATTTACATTGCAAGATATGATTATCCCAGAAAGTCAGTTCAGAGGGATGCTCGAGATCTGGTTGCCTATTTTCACCTTCACACAGTCGAAGCCGATCCTGAGGTCGTGGAGCGCGCGCAGATCGATGCTCGCCAGCTGCTCTTTCTCTGCCGTCGAGGGCGCGGTCAGGCTCCAGGCCAGGGAGATGTGGAAGCAGCCCGAGTAGTCGGTCTCCGTCTCTGTCTCAGGCTTCGTCTTCGCTCGCGAAGATTTCACTGATGTCGCAGTTTTGGTCCCCGCCGACGACGACGGCACAGCCTTTTCGTAAAGAGGCGGTTGGTCGAATCGCGCCAGCGCACGATTGGACAGTCGCAGGAGACGGTTCAACTCGTCATCCCCGGGGGTGCGCACCCGCAAGACATAGAACCACCGCGTCTTCTCGTAGTTGGATACGCAGTCCAGACTATCTGCTGTGGTGTCGAACCTGAGCAATTAGGTGAGGGTGTCAGATGGTGTTCTAGGGAAAAAAACACGGTGTGCCGATTTTAGAACAGGAGAACAAAAACGCACGGTGCGACATGGGACTGCTTCACGGCGGATTGAAACACCTCCACGAAGGATTGACGCTGCTCGGTCCGGAGCACCACCGGTCTGGATAGACTGATGTGGAGAGGCAGTTGGGCGCCAAGATCGCTATGGAGCAGGCTCTGGAGCTTTGTGCTGCTCCTTTGCTGGATCTGCAGTATCACATCGCTCAGAAGGGTAAGCTCGGCTTTGGACGCGTACCCTGATCGTCGTGGCGCGCGCCGGGGTTTCTTATATTAGCTTCTGTGTCTTGCTCGTATTCGCAGTCTACAATAGGAGGGAAAGAGGCTGTGGTTGTTGGTTGGACGGACAGAGACAACTTACATTCCAGATATAGATGCGTTGGCCAGTTGCCCTCAATATGAGGGATGACCCGTTTACGGCCTCCGTGAAGACTCGGGTCATCCCTGACACTGACCCGTGTGCTTGAGGCGTAGAGGTCATGGAAAGCTGCTGGTAGCGGGGGCAGAGGAAGGGATTGGGTGGTCGGTGGTTTGGTCGTACAGAGCTTTTTGTTGGGTGGTTGAGACGCGTGGACTGGCTCTGAATCGGACCCTGACTCTGACTCTGACTCCGAGTATTGCACTAGGGCCATATCCAGCTCAATCAACCGTCCTCCGGCGTGGTGCGACAAGAGTTGATCGGATCTAGCCTAGGGAATGAATGGGTTGTCTCTTAAGGTTTAAGTTTAGTTCACCAGCCCCGTTCACCGCGGGAGAAATAAGCGGGATCGGGTATAATGCACTATGTACAGTAGTACGGTGGTTGATTCCGCAGCGGAAGTAGTGCCATGTCAACCAACGTGCTCTTGTCCCAAGCTATTGGCTGTGAATCAGCATGCTATTTTTTGATCCAGCTTGCTTTTTCTGGATTATGAGGCGTCTGCAATCTCGTATTAGGCTACATGCTTCAACTACCGCGACGACTTATCGAAGCAATACAATTTGTGACTGTTCCACTGCATACACATCACACATTGTGGCTTAGATGCAGCTTACTTGACAGGCAACACGAGTGGGTGCATATACAGTCTTATGTACTTGTTATTTTGCGGGTGCGAAGCTTTCATCTTGGGCCCAGACTTCAATCGCCGGCATGGGAGCCATGGAAAGAAGGGTTACCCGCTGGTTCTTCAGCAAGCAAACAAGCAATGTAGCTGTCATAAGTGGATGATGCGTAGAGAATATGCAAGGTGCTCTCGACTGGAGTGCACCATGGAAACCCTGCCTTATCCTGTTCCTGGTACCTGGAATCATATATGATTCATTGGACCGGCCCTGAGCCCGGTGTAACAACGGTGTCCATGCATCATTCAGTGCAGTACGAAGCACGGCTAGACTCTAGACTTCAGACTCTAGACCCTTGAGTCTCCACCTCACTGGTTATCGAGTTTTGCACTGACAGGCACTGACAGGCCAGGCGTTAGTGGGATGATTATAGTAGATGGCGCGTGCATTGCTGCTGTGGCCGAGGTACGTAGACAACCCCCAGGAGCTGCAAAACTTGTTTCAGCCAGGCTATACTTGTCCTACTTGAGTATGGTTGGACTCGAGCCGCTGACACTACCGGCATACTAACGATAAGCTTAAGGCTGAAGACCCCCTGGAGGGCAGCTTGTGCTCGGATCAAGCGGGAGGTTCACTATTCAACCTCAAAGACCTCTTCTCTTCGCTGATGTCAAGGTCAAGCTATCCCAGCTGGAAGGTAACATCATGGCTCGGGTAGAAATCGAAAGATTTTTCTCATGTGCGTCGCGCCCAACATTGCTGGTGATGATGTCAACAGGTTTGGAACGTCAGAAGAGGGTCGACGTTAGTCAGCCAGCAATGCCAGTCAGAGCATACGAACGTGACGACAGATGGAAGATCGCACAGTGAGCAGCAACATTGCCACCAGGAGGAGGGGAAGAGGGAGGGAGGGGCTTATCCAGAGATTCTCTCCGGAAGTCCCGTAGAGTCACTAACGCAGCACCGACCTCGCTGAGTGGTTCATGGAGGCCAGACCGGAGACGTGCGGCGAGGCATCGAAAATTCGCCTCTGTTCCTTCGTGGGTTCTTTTCATCATCGAGAAGGGTCCGATGCAACAGAACGGGTCTAGTCTTCCGGGCCTATCCTGCAACTAAACTGGAAGGGGAAGGCTTATCGATAAGCATGTCAAGGGCCCCTCCCAGATCGCGTGGATCCGCGGGAGCGCTGCGCAGTATCATACGGAGCATACGCAACTTGTCACGTCATGAACGGCAAAAGACTGACTGACTGACTGTTCGACGATGCTGATGACTCGGATGGATGATCCTTCCTATGAGTACGAGTACTCATCTTATAGAACGCTTCTTTCCTTTCCGCTCTGCAACAATCTTCATTTCTCCCTTCCCAAGATTCCTACCACGGCAACGACCACACCTACTCCTACTTACTACTGTTCCTACTCCACGTCTATAACTCCCGTTACGACCAACTACAACCAATATTACTCTCCTGACACAACCTCCTTTCTTCCTCCCACCAATCCCCGTCGTTCCTGTGACTCCTGTGACTGCGGGTTAGACAATCGACTCAAGGTTCACAGTCTATTGAACTATACGAACTGCCACGACTTCACCGCTTGCCCCACACCCTTTTTGAGTTGCGGGCTGCATCACGCAGGCTATTCACTAGTAATCAATACTATTAAGTGCCTACATACATATATAGGCACGCTTCGAAATATTGACCGATATATATTACTCTCGAGCACGCCAGTTCGATATTTCTCGAGAGAAGGCTCAAAAAAGCTCTCTACCTTCCTATCTCTTCCTCTCTCTACTCTCTTACTATTCTTCAGTATGGCAGCGGTCATCGCCCCATCTTTTCCACATCCACATGAGTCCTCCTTCCTTCACTCCAGGCACTCAATGAACCTGCTCGATACGGAAGTTGAGATGGGAAACCTTAATCCCTACCAACAATTTTTGTCTTCCTCCCCAGCACCCACCCGGACGTTGAACCGCCAGCGTTCTACTTCTATCCCATCAGTCCACTATTCGGGTTCTCCAGAACATCAGCCTGTCGAGCAACGACGTAAAAAGGCAAGTCCCAGCCATCACGATCGCTCGCAACGTCACGCTCGTACCCAGTCGCATCAACCGAAGTTCTCTCGACACTCGCAGTTGGTGAACCCCGATGTTATCGATCGCCTGGACGACGCCGGAGTGTATCAGTACCACCATGAAGGGCCCTACGATGCTGTCTACCCCGAGCGAAATGTGATCGACAAGCTCAGCCCGGTGGCTGCCTTGCGCGAGTCTAACGCAGAGGCCCTCAAGGCTACCCCACACGACAAAATTGTGGACTGCCTCGATAGTCATCGCCCCCTCGATGGTGTGGCTCATTACCCCCCAGGTCACACGGACCCTCAGGGCCATACATACGAATACGAGGAGGGAAATAACATGATGAACGACTACGGGAATTTTATGCGCTGTCCCGGCATGGTAAGTCACTTGTCTTGCGTACCGTACCGCACTGTTGGTGAATGACCAGTTCCTAATCATTGGGCAGAAATTCAAGGATGAGGATTTCAAGAATGACCCTTTCTACAACACCCCTCATCCGAACCCATTTGCGAGTCTGCGAAAGCGATTCAGTCTTCGTCGTCGCAACCGTCGCGGAACAAACTAGAGTCGAGTTACGAGTATTATCGCCGGACTATACCGGCTGTGACAACCGTGCTCCTGCGTCGATTCCAGGCTGAATCGCGAGCGCGCAAATGTCTGGTGACATTATGCCAAGAGGGAACTTGGATACATTTTCTTCCCCTGTATTTATATATACCGTGTTGTCTTCTGTCTACCGGCCATGGCTCCGGTGAACAAGAGCGACGACAATCTATGCTTTTTAATTGGAGTTGAAGCACGGAGTGAGCATCTGGAGGGGGCATCTTCAGTCGGCGCTCTTATGATTTAGGATTCTTTTGGGTCAATATCGGGATGTATTTGTTAATTATTTTTTTTTTTTGGTTTTAGTTTTATGTCCTGACTCCTGTGTCGGTCTGGCTACTTGACAGTTTACAAATGGACGACGTATCACTTGATTTGACACCGCTCATTCAGGACGTAGTGTATGTACAGGTGGGACCAGTCCAAACCTGGAGACACTAGTAGTAATCATACACCTGCCTAACACCTCAGAAAGCTTGAACTCGGGGTCGCTCACCCTCCGAGTTAAGCACAGTTAGTACGGAGTAGCTTTCGTCCCAAGCTGAGGCGGCTGCTCATGTACTGTACTCCGTACTTGTACCGCATGGTACTCTATACTATCAAGACGGGTCGGGTCGCACCTGACAACTGTCGCCGGTCAATGATCTTCCGTGCCGGGTCATGCATCAGTCACTATTACTATCTCTGCAGTTTTGTCCTCTCTTCATGTTTCCTGAACTTGAATGAAGGAAAGGCTTTCACCTCGATCCTGACAATGACCCGACCAAACAATAGCAGTGGTGGGGGCGGGCGTTAGTCTTGGCCCTGATTGCATTCATCCCTTAACAATGGGAGTACAATGAATAGAAACGACCTCCTTGTTTTCGCGCCCGGGCCGATGCTCGAAAATACCTCCTTTCTTTGTCAGAGGCTCTCAATCAAGTCGATCCATGCGATCGATGTACAGTATGTGAGGGTGGCATGCTTGGTATGGGCTGAGGTACAGTACGATCCGGGTGGGTTTGCTCACTTTGCCGGAAGATATGCCCACACTCTACGGAGAACTCTATGGTATCAGGAGTCAGGATAATTAATAATACGAAAGGTCGACTGAACTATCTGGCAGAGAGACCAACAGAACCCGGAGTCAGGAGGTTCGCGGCGCAAGGCGGGCGGCGATAAAGCGCGATCGAACCGTCGGAAGGGGACTCTTTATTCTGATTATTCTGATTATTGATGACTACTTGCGGGTCATGCAACTCCGCGCCGCCACCAAGGACAGCTTGTCCACTTCGCAACAGCAACGTCTCTCTCATTCTTTTTCTTCTTGTCCCTTGACCCAACTTTCGTTTTGGTGGTGACACTGATTGCAATTATTTGTGGCTCGGCCCCGCGAAGTGTCATTTGGCCTGAAACCGTTTACTTGACTTGACTGTGACTGACTTACTCCCTCCCCGGAGTACTTCGGCTCGACTTTCCCTTGCCGTGGATGATCTTCATGTGAAGGTCAATTCCGGCTTCGAATCTCCGCCAACTGTAGTCTATACATACCAACAAACAAACAAACACACACACATACCTGGAAAGCGACCGATCTCGCTTTTGCCTGTCGCTTCGGGAGAGCTCGTGCTCTGCCTCCACCATACGTTCGTTTCTCAATTCCTGTTTCTCTGGCCCGCAGCAAGATGCGTTCTGCGGCCAAATTTTTCTATTTGGCTGTATTCGCCCTCTCGGCGCGCACCAACGCTGAGAGCCATGAGGCCAAAACTGGCCTTCAATATGGCCATGACAAGTGCGCGGTAAGTCGCAAGCTCTTCCAGATTTCAGGATCCTGCCGGCTTTCCTCGCGAGTCAACTGAGAGGCCATGGAACTGATCGTGTTTTGTTTAGCTTGACCCTACCGCCATGGTGTCCGACGCCTGTGTTTCCTATACGACCCTCGATGCCCTGAACGATCAAGTCTACCCTCTCCTCCAGTCTATCACACAAGAAACCGACTTTTTCTCATACTACCGTCTCAATCTCTTCAACAAGGTCTGTCCGTTCTGGTCGGACGCCAACAGCATGTGTGGAAACATCGCATGTTCAGTGAATACAATCGAATCGGAGGAAGATATTCCCTTAACATGGCGGGCAGAGGAGCTGAGTAAACTCGAGGGTCCCAAGGCCGGCCATCCAGGTCGAAGGCAGCAAAAAGAGCGGCCCAGTGACCGTCCGCTCCAAGGGATGCTGGGTGAAAACGTGGGAGAAAGTTGTGTCGTCGAGTACGATGATGAATGCGACGAACGAGACTACTGTGTCCCGGAAGATGAGGGCGCCAGCAGCAAAGGAGACTACGTCAGTCTGGTGGACAACCCCGAGCGATTTACTGGCTATGCTGGTATGGGCGCCCACCAGGTCTGGGATGCGATCTATCGCGAAAACTGCTTCCTCAAGCCAACCTCCCAGCTGGAGCTGTCGCCCCACCCCCAACTGGGAAACCTTGAAGCCATGAACGACTTCCGCAGTGTGCTACAACAGGAATTGAAGCGCCCGGATCGTCTGCCCCTAGACAATGAGTGCCTTGAGAAGCGGGTCTTCCATCGCCTCATCAGCGGAATGCACGCCTCCATCTCCACGCATCTCTGCTGGGACTACCTCAATCAAACGACCGGGCAGTGGCATCCCAACCTGCAATGTTTTAAGGAGCGCTTGCACGACCATCCCGAGCGCATCTCCAACCTGTACTTCAACTACGCTCTCGTGTCCCGGGCTGTGGCAAAACTGCAGAAGCACCTGAAGAGCTACAACTACTGCACCAGCGACCCCGAACAAGATACTCAAACTCGGGAGAAGGTGTCGAAGTTGACCGCCACCCTTGCCGAGCGGCCTCAGATCTTTGATGAGAATCTCATGTTCCAGGACCCAAGCGCCCTTGGCCTGAAGGAAGATTTCCGCAATCGCTTTCGCAATGTTAGTCGGCTGATGGACTGCGTCGGGTGCGACAAGTGCCGTCTCTGGGGCAAGCTTCAGGTCAATGGGTACGGAACCGCCCTGAAGGTGCTCTTTGAATACGACGAGACCAAGAACGGCGAGAACCCTCTGCTGCGCCGGACCGAATTGGTGGCTCTGATCAACACTCTCGGTCGCATCTCCCACAGTGTCGCCGCAGTCCGGAGCTTCCACCGCGCCATGGAGGTCGGGGACGGCGAGGTGTTCTCGATCCCCGCCAGCATTTCGTCGAAGGACCGTGGCGACAAGAAAACGCGGCGTTTGCTCAAGGATGGAGGATCCACGTTCTACTATGAGAACGACGATGAGGACTTCGTGTATATTTCCGAGAAGCTTCCCTGGGAACGGGTTCGCGAACGCCGCGATGACGACACCCTCTGGGACGATATCAAGGCCGAATTCTCCCTTGTCTGGGATACATATGTCTATGTGCTGAAGAGCTGGGCCAACGTTCCGAAGACACTGTAAGTTGCCTTCCACCCTAACGGGGGGTTCCGCATGCTAACTTCGCGACTTTAGGGTTGAGATCATCGTGATCGAGATTGCTCGTGTCTGGAATTACTGGCTGGGACTTCCGGTGCCGCCACGCGCATGGAAGGTCCGTACTCCCCGAACGGCCATGCCACCGCGCGATGAGTTGTAGGCTGTATTGCTTGTGTTCAATGTTGTAGACATATCCTTATCTGCCTATATTGGAGGGGGTGGATGGTCAATTTTGCATCGTTTGGAGTTTTGGACTGGCTGGAGATAGGCCGCTTACTGTACTATAAGTTATTGGGATGGAGCAATTGTTGTTTGCCGATTAGAATAAGATATCCCTGATTGACCTGTGCGATGCGATACCGAGCGAATGACATATAGAATGAGTCAGTACTCAGTGAGTAAGTAGTTTGTTTGTGGGTGAACCGAGACTCGGAGGAAAGCCCAGACTGCGATCAAATCGATCAAATCGATCAAATCAACCTCGGCCCAGCGGGTGGGCCGCCGACCGAGAGACGGTTAAAGCAAACCACATGCAGCGGCAGTTCTTTTCTCCTCTTTGTGACTCCACCTTCTTCCCTCCACTCTCCACCGCCTCCCAACTCCATCTTTACCTTTTACCTACTAACGCTTGGCTCTATCTCGCTCTCTCATTCTCGCTCTCCTCTCTCCTCACTCCACCCTCCTCTCCTCTCCACACTCAAACAACTACTGTCCTTTCCCAGTTCCCATCCTCTCGACTTCCCATCCCACTCCCAGTCTCGCCCGACCAGCCTTTCGCGGGTTTTCCTGCCCATGCGAGACTGTTGAGGTACCATCACATTCCCGCTGATCAATGGCCTCGGTTTCGCCACCCAAACCGTGGGAAAGGGCCGGCGCTACGGCCGGTATGTGCACCACAAACTGAGGTCTTTCCAGCTCGGTGCATTCCTACTGACCTCACAACCAGGATCTGTCGCAACCACTACACCCGTAACAGCTGGTCCAGCAACGATGACGGCCTCCTCTTCACCAGCCTCGGCTGCAACTGTCGGCGCCGCTCCAACCTCCACATCTGCTACCCCTGATCTCCCATCTCGTCCCGACACTCTGAATGCCGTCGTGAACCGCACAGCGTCCAATTACTCGCCATATGGAGCTTCTCGGCTAGGCACCAGTCCCTACGGAGGCTATGGTGGCTACGGGGCCTACTCTTCACCATACTCTCGCTTCGGGACGATGGGCTCCATGTATGGCGGCTATGGAGGCTACGGCGGGATGTACGGTGGCATGGGAGGGATGTATGGCGGCGGCATGTCTGGAGATCCGAACGACCCGAACAGCCTCACCAACTCGTTCAGTCAAAGCACCCAGGCGACTTTCCAGATGATCGAGAGCATTGTCGGTGCGTTTGGTGGTTTCGCCCAGATGCTAGAGAGCACCTACATGGCGACCCACAGCTCGTTTTTCGGTATGTTGCATCTTTGTCCTGGTGGGATTTACGTATGCTGATATTATGCGAAGCCATGGTCTCGGTCGCGGAGCAGCTTGGAAACCTCCGCAACACCCTGGGTTCCGCTCTCGGCATCTTCACCCTGATCCGCTGGTTCCGAACCCTGATCGCAAAGATCACCGGCCGTCCGCCGCCGGCGGATGCTACGGCGCTCACGCCGGCTGCCTTCGCGGCTTTTATGAATGGGCGCTCCGTCGCTGCGACCCTGCCCGATGGCTCTCCCGCCCCGCCGAAGCCCTCGAAGAAGCCTTTCTTCATGTTTCTGATTGCCGTCTTCGGTCTTCCGTACCTCATGGGCAAGCTCATCAAGGCTCTCGCACGCTCGCAGGAGGAACAGCGTCGTCAGATGATGCTCGGGCCGAATGGCGAGCCCGCGCAGCAGGCCCCACTGGATCCCTCCAAGCTCGACTTCTGCCGCGTGTTGTATGACTACACTCCCGAGGCGCAGGAAAGCTCTGGGATTGACCTGGCCGTCAAGAAGGGCGACATTGTCGCTGTCCTCGGCAAGACGGACCCCATGGGTAACGCGTCGGAGTGGTGGCGGTGTCGGGCCCGGGACGGTCGTGTCGGATACCTCCCTGGACCGTACCTGGAAACCATCCAGCGTCGTCCCCAGCAGCAGGCCATCACTTCGGGCAGTGAAGCCAACAGCCGCAGCAACTCGCTGCGCGCTCACGTGACGGATGAAGTGACGGACGCGACCGTCAAGCCCGAGTTGAAGGGCAAGATGGGCGACATCTCGCCAGAGAGCTTCCAGAAGAGTGCATTCTACTCGTGATTCGCCTTTACTTCTGCTCGACCTCACGGGCTTCTACTTTGCACTACCCTCTGGCTCAACATCATAATCTCTTTCTTTTTTTTTTGACTTTTCTTCATTCACAGACAGCACGGACTGCGGTGGATGCCGGCCCGGGGACGCAACTTAGGTCGATTGATTTGACGACGCATGTTTTTCTCAGTGTTCTTCTATTTTTTTCTTTTCTAGCGTTGGGCATGATTCATGGTTCAGATGTACTTCTTACTAGTTGTTTTAGCGAAACGGAAGAGACGCACGACATGTCGCATGTGCTCTTTCCAGTTCTCACCATTGATTTTGATTTGATTTCCTTGGGGTGTTCCAACCGGTGTACAGGAGAATAAAATTGCTTGCTGCGAATGCGAGACGATTACAACATTACCTTCCTATCAGTTGAAAACTTCTCCTTCCTCTTAGTTGGCTCTACTGCCTACAATCCATATTAGACTGGTTGAACGGGTTGGGGTTGGGGGTGGAGGGCTGCGAGAATAGGTAGGTCTAGCTCGGTGCCGATGGATTGTAGCTGTAGCCGTCCTACTTTGATCAGTGCAGTGGGTGAGTATCATGGCATTCAGCCCTAGCGATCTTTAGTTACTGTACTCAACACCTCGGATTCTAGTATGAAATAACCCTGACTCGGGAGGAAGGGTGGGGAACTACGAGTAGGTAGATATCCTCCGTTTAAGATCCATCCCACATCGATGTGTTTTCATACGGAGACTGGTTGATGTTGACGAAGTACTGTACGTTACATGTACCTATGGGTATATCTAGTGGGAAGGGATCATCCCACTGACCGTCACAGTAAGTGACAACTTTTCCTCCGGTGGTGATGATGATGGTGGTGGTGGTGGCGGCGGTGGCGGAATAGAACCTAACTAAGCTCTTGGGCGGTGCCCACGAAGAGGGTGGAAAAGGGTTAGGGAAGGGGGGGGGGCGGTTAGGGTTATTTGTACAGCACAGTACGTACATGTACAGTACAGTACATGACCCTGACATCGGGATCTCTTTCGTCTGCTCTTTACTGTACTAGTCTATACTAGTATACCACGGCTTAAGTCTTTCCATCCATACATCCATCGCTCCAATCCGCATCGATGGACGACAGTACAGCACTATGTATAGATATATGTCAAGGAGATACTCACTCTAATCTGATGGAAGAATTACCCACCCATACCTTCTGGTTTTTTGGTGGGTGGGTGGGTGGTTTGGTTTCTGGTCGGTCTCCTAGATGGTCGCTCGCCTGGTATTAATTCGTATCCCGGCATCCCGGCATCCTAGTATCCTGTAGTAGCTTACAGCGTTGTATCCTGGTGGTGGTGGTGGTGGTGATACCCACGGGAACAGACCCCTGAGGGGGTGGTTAGTGGGCTAAAGGACGATCTCTTATGGCTTTAGTTACTTGCTTGCTTGCTTGCTTACGTACTTACGTACTTACGTACTTACTTACTTGCTACAGTGGAAGTACATACAGTACAGTACTATGTAAGTGGATAGGTAGGTAGGTGGGTTACCCATCCAGAATACAATCCTTTGGCAATAGTTCTTCCAGTACTTCGGGCCCCTATTTGTTCTTGTTCTAATCCAAATGCATCCTTCCTCCTCCCAGAACTCGCCCCGCTCAGAAATCAGCAGAGTGTGCAACCCATCAAAGTACGCAAGGCGCAAGGCTAGTCAAGTCAGGTCAGAGCAATCAAAGTACAACCGAAATGGCCACCTTACTTCGACCAACGGGCCCCGCCTTTCGACTCCATAAAGTACCTTGCCCTGTTACTAAACTGCTATGATTGACCAACGATCGGCAGCGCGAGGCGCGATCAGATCGTCTTTCCCTCGACACTTATATGGACAGCTGGACAGGACAGTATTCAAGTGAGAAGACAAGCACCATCTATCATGGATTTCTTCGACTATTTATCGAATTATCCCAGGGTCAGCATCTACTACCGTATATATGTACAAGCTGCATACACATGGGTGGGCAGGGTTGAGCACCTGCCGCCGGAGCAGCGCGACAAAAAGTACCAGTTTATCATCCTGTACTTCTAGACTTGCGCGCTATCCACCACTCGACTTTCCACTCCCACATGTGTAGACCCCCCCTTTCCCTAGCTGAAAGCTAACTGGCTGGTTGGCTCATGCGAGAAACCGGATTTCAGTTCAAATGTGCATGCATCCTGGGCATGGTTCAGTCTGGAACTATCATCCGTCGGACTGGCGAAAAGATTTCGAGCATACTGATTCCAGTAGGTTCAATTATGCGTGGATAACTCGGCGTAACTATGTCGATATGTCGATATCGTCGCAGGCTGTAATTGTAAGTCGAGACGCGGGGTCTATTGTGGCGAATGGAAGAGGCAGTTCGGCAAGTGTCGATTGTAGACTGCATGAATCCTTTGCCGGTCTTGCGTTCGATCCTTCTGTGGTCCCGGTTGGTTGTTGTCTGCGTATCCTCCTAACCGCCCTTCGATCGTAGCATGCTTTCCCATTCCCCTAAGTAGAGTCCAAACGTGTGTCGAGACGGCTCAAACAACTCTCTTCGTAGTGAGCATACCTTGAGGGTTGGCGTGGATTGGTGGAGTATATAAGTATGTTCAGAAGGCCGTCAACATGAGCTCTCCGACATCTCAGTCGGTATCAAACGAAGGCCTGTCAATCTGAAGAGCCAGCTTAGTCAATACATGGCGTTGACTGGTCGGATGAGTGACAGAGTAGACTGTAACAGTAGCCTTCGCCTGTGTATATCTCCGTAGATGACCCACAGGCTGTCAATTTGGGTCTGATGGCGTCAGCTGAGTCGTTGATGGATCATTCGACGTGATCATCAACCAAGTGCTTCGTCCAGAGGCGTGAGGTAGAAGGCCGAGCAACCGTGTAGCAGCCAGTGACTAACGCAGCAACCATTAGACAAACATACCAGCTCGGACCAGATGTCTCCCTTTATCTTCTTAGGTATACCAAGACCTACACTAGACCTTTTCTCCCAATAAAACTAGACCATAGATGCTCTATATAGTAGGCAATTTGCAAAGTAAGAAAAAGCACATGTGAACTTGTAAGTATGACAGTGGGGAATGATGCAGGAAGCGAAGTCGCGATGGACTGGTAGTGATCACAACATCATCGTAAGCACGGGACAAGCTAGTTGCCTGGGCTCAGAGCAGAAGGTGCAGCAAGGGCCGGGCGTTTCCAAACATACATATCACAGGTGCGGCAGGTGGAAGTGGCAGGTCATCGGCCAGAGGGGTATAGGCGATTCGCAGAAGGGACATTACTGTGATAGATCGTCATGCGGAGAAGTGAATTGAGACATGGTCTGGTCAAGCGTCCTGGATAGGGTCAAGAGTTGGCCCTGAAACACATCGAGCGCCTTCCAGTAGTCTTCGTCAGGGAGGGCGTTGGACAGCGGCTTGGGTGGCGCGGAGGGAGTAGGTGAAACCGGTAAAGGTTGGGCATGGTCCACTTCGGGCTCGGGGAGTGGCTCGAGCTTGAGCCTGTCATCGTCTGCAGTTACTTGATCAGTCTAGCTCTCCTGCTTACAAGCGAGATGCTCGTTGAGACATGCAAACGGCAGGGCAGGAGCACTGTAGGACAGATGCTACCAGAGCGGAGCGGGGCTTCCTCACGAAAACGAGATGGAGTCTCGGTCGAGGGCGACAGGGTCATAGCTCTCTCATCGGGCTCCGGTGTGTAGTATTCGATGTCTGTAGGGGTCTCTGTGACGCAGCATGAGCGATGCATGCACAACAAGTCACTCGGGACCGAAAAGCTTACCTGGCTCAGGGCTGGTGGGAAGATTTTGGTGTAACTCTTGCTGCGTTTGCGGAATCGCTGGTTGACTCTCCACGCTCGGATGGATGGTATTCGGATGGACGCTCTCACGAGCATCATCCAGTTCCCAGTGGTTGCCATATCTCCGGACAAAGCGGGAGATGCGCTTGGTGTCGACCGTCTTGCCAGCCACTCGAAACGCCGTCCGCTTGCCCTCTGCAGCCCGCCTTTGTTGCTTGCGGAGCATGATATGGACTTCTTTGGCCTTGATGTTTTTGCGAACATTCCACGCAGCCAGGCGGTCTTTGTATTGTTTCTCTCTAGAAAGCTTCCAAGTCAGGGGATGGTTGTCAAATGGGTGGCACTCATGGGTGGAGAATGGGGGAGAAAAAGCAAAAAGCAATGATGAAGATCAGCGCGCACTGTCCCATCCTTTCTCTCGATCTTGATTACAGATGCAGAAAGGGGCCGAGCTCTTGCACTGGTAGGGTCGGGGAGAGTTAAAACAGCAAGGGAAAGCATGACAAGTAGAGAAGTGTCGGGGGAGAAGACTGAGAAAAGGAAACGGAAGGCTATACGATGCTTCAAAGCTATAATTTTCGAGCATATATTGCCTCACATCACGAAGCTTCAAGTGATCGTCGCGGTAAAGACTTTGAATGATCTCCCGATAAATAGTCCAATCCTCTGATTTTCGAGGTTTAAACTTGTTCCTAAAGGAGGAAGACGAAGAAGAGATGGTAGGGGTGGGTGTTGTGGTGGTGGTGTTGTTGGCGGTCGTGGAAGTAGAAGAGGTTGCTGCTGTTGTGGTGGTGGTGGTGGTGGTGGTGGTGGTGTTGTTGTTGTTGGTGATGGCGGAGGTAGTCGAGGGAATGGAAGAAAGGGGAGGCAGGGAGCCATTCATCCTGAATTGGTGACTGGGTGATTTGATCTCCGCCTTTCATACTCTGGATCCAGTCTGGACCCTCTTTGAATTGATGGATTCAAGTTTGCGCCTCCACCGTAGGTAGTTGTCCTGAAAGAACGGGGCTGTTGCAGACTGTGGACTGTGGACTCTGGGACCAAATGCTGGGGGGAAGGGAGGAGTGGATAACTAATGGTGGTGTGGTAAGGGAGAAGAAGTAGAAGCGTTCAGGAGCGGTAGCGCGGAAATGCGAGCCGAAAAGAGGATCTTTGAAGTTGTGGTAGCAGAAGGAAGTAGATAATAAGAGTGATTCAGTTAGATGTAGTCTGATGCAGTGACAGAAAGCGTTATGGAGTCAGTTGCGGCGGGGGAAATGAACGGAAGATGCAATGATATAGTAGTTCTGGAGGCGATCCAGAGGGAAGAAAGAGAGGGGGGAAGGGGAAAAGAGAAGAAGAGTTGAAGGTGTCACGGTGTCGAACAGTCAAGGCGATGAAGCTTTGCCCCAGTCACCCGTGAGATTGGCTTGGAGGAAAGCCCCAGAGTGGATCGAAATCGGAAATAGGCGTGGTGATAGTAGCTGTCACTCACTCCCTCAGCATATTTAGCATATAATCCACGAGATTATTGATTATTCCGGCTGCTACTGCGTTTTGGACATGCTGCAATTCGAGAAAACGGAACCAGCACCGAAAAAAAGAAACAGAAAAAGAGAAAGAGAAAAGAGGAAAAAAAGGAAATAAAAAAGGGAATAGGAAAAAAAGAAAAACCTAGAAAAGAGATGGGAAAAAAATCGAAAACCAAAAAGAAATTATGACCCCAGTCCATGGTCTGGTCTGGTCTGGTCTGGTCAGGTCAGTAGAATACATACAATACTGAAGGTACCGCCCTGCTTCCACCAACTACGGATTGTCTGGTTGTCCGTAATGAGCATCCATTCTTCTTACTTAAGCTACAGACATCGAAAGCTAGAACTATGATGGTCTATCTTCCACTCAAACGCTGCCAACAAACAGAGACCGGCAATTCTCCTTCCTTCTTCCATCCATTCACAGTAAGCATTCAATGGGTGAAGCCAGTGAGTTAGACCCAATTAGGTCCGAGGTGATTGAGAAGGCTACCTCCAAGGAGAGATGAAGTACTGTACAATGTTCTTGTAGGTGATTGTCATTGGATAAGGTATCTCAGTCGATATCTCAGTCGATACCTAGATAGACCGAATATCTCAAGATCTCAGCTCAAGTGCAGTGGAGGGGACCTCGGAGGGCGATGTGAAAAGAGCAACCAATAACTGATGGATGGAAAGCAAAGAGGCACAGGGCAACCGGGGAGTGGTTCGCCGCCGGGGTAAGATCCACCCGGGGCCACTAGTACCCGCACTAAACAAAAAGTACGACTGCTGACTGGCGAGGCTAAAGATATCCGCTTGCCTGTTGCGGCGACGTGCTGCTGAATCCATGGGTCCATGGGAAGGAAAAGCCCGCGGATGTTGTGATCCCTGCTGCCGCGCCCCAATCACGGACCCTTTGGACATGGTCCGTGTACTTTTGTCACGTTCCCGTCTGTCTGCGGCCCCCCCCCCTTATCCTTCGAAAACATACGTACGTAGAGTACGTACGTAGTACTCTGTACTGGGTACGGAGTCCCTAGTCCCTAGTACCTAGTCCCTAGTACCTATATGTACATACAGTACTCCGTACTTACCTCCTACATCCCGTCCACCGTTTCAGCGTTTCAGTGTGTCGAGCAACAGCAGACGGCAGACCTCTTACCATTTTCGTCCAGTCTGCCGATGTCTTTGAGGGAATGGGCAAATCGGTGGTGGTGGGAGAGGAAGGAAGGAAGGAAGAACGAACAAGTGGGAAGAGAACCTGGTATCAAACAATATCAAACAATTACAAACAACAACTCTCACGCCCCTCTTCTTCGTACGCAATGCGGACCATGAACCCTCTCCCAAGTCCCAAGTGACAGGCAAGAATAGACCCAGATGGTGGTGATCAGTGATCCCTTCCAGACAGTCCTGCGCCAATTCTGCAGGTGCAACACCTGGGGATCATAATTCCGCTGCTATAGTTACCTGACTGACCTGGTTGCTCGTCGTGCGTGCTTCTTCCGCAGACTTTGGAAAAAGAACAAAAGCACAGTGCTTTTTGAGCATGGCAGGGATCTATCTGACTTACTCCTTAGCCTCATCCTGGTCGGTTTGGCGCCAGAATCCCAACCTGCGCTCTCGAAACGCTCTATGGCCCAGTCGGGCAAAAAGGGCCTGCACTGTCGGTTGCTATGAATACTCACATGTTTTTTCAACCACATCTATCACTCCGTGTACTGTACCGAGTACTCAGTAGATGAAGCCATCTCTGTCGACTGTCAGGCATGAATTGAGGGAAGCCTATGACCGGTGTGGCAAAGTGGGATCATTCCCCGATGGGGAGGCTAGAATGAGGCCTGAGCTTTGAAGAGCAAAACCTTCAGGTTCATCGTCGCTGTCCACGGTGGCTTGGACGCTATCCATATCCGGCAGAGGCAGATAAGTGTGAGTGTTCCAAAAACTGCTGGCCGGTCTTTTTCTTTGTCGTCATCACCCACCACCCCCCGTCAGTTCAACCATAATTAGTAACGTAAAAGTACTAGTTATTCGAGAACTGGAACAGACCAGGGAACGTTCGGCCCGTCATGTTGGCGGCTCGGATCGGAGGTCCGCCCGTTGATTGAACCAAAACATTGACGGGGATGTGGGATGCAAAAATACAACTTGGAAGACAGTACGTACGGCCATTCCTGTTAAGCTTACCGAATGGGCCTGAGCACACCCATGATCCATTCATTATTCTCTGACTTACTCCTTCCCCCCTCCTCTCCCTCTCCGCCCACCCCTCGAGACTAACCGTACCTTACTCTGTACTTAGCAGAAAGTAAGTTCTTCATCCCCCCATCATGGTTATTGTCCTTCGTCTTTCTTCGCCCCCTCTCAACTCTAGCCAACTTCGGGGATTAGCATCGCCACTAGACTATGGACGAAAGTCTGCTTGGCTGCAATATTTACAAACAACAAATTGGAAGGTGGGACTTTTGGTAAGTTACTTGGTAACTGATGACATCAGCTAAGCGCATGGAGGGCCTCCGACCAAAGCACAGACTAACCAGTGTGTGGGTATACCTTCTCCGGAGAACAATGGCAGCCCATCGCCACTTCTCACTCACTCTGCGCGTACCATCACGTCTGGTACCGGTTCAGGAAGAATAGTTAACGGCTACCTGGTCATCACTCTTCCGATACCGCATTGCTGAAAAGGCCATAGGGTCAGACCATTCCACCCCCGATAGCATGGGTCTCGGTCTGCGAGAAGTTAGCTATTGTTTTCCCGGCCTTTCCTTCCGTTTTTCATTCCCCTTCCAACCCCCCAGGGGGCTTTCTCGATGGCGGATGCGAGCTGCCTACTTTTCTCTCTCTCTCTCTCTCTCTCTCTCTTCTCACTGACCAGTCAGACGTATTCCAGGGATTCGGCCGATGAGCGGCCATGTGCCACACAGCCAGGGCTCTCGTACGGTTATACTACCTGCGCTCGCCTTCCGAACTCAAATTCTATGAGGGCAGTTGCGGCCGACGGGGCTTCGTCTACTCCCATGAAGGGGAATTAAATTCGCGCACATTCACGAATTGACCTACCGGCCGAAGTATCAGTGGCTGGCCAGTAGCCGGCCACGGTTGACGGTAGATGAGATAGAATGAAACCGGGGGTGGGCGGAGGAGGGTAGCGTGAGGTCCTACGCGGAGGAATGCCGTAAAAGTGACCACGACGCTATCCACTGTGTCGCTCGGCCGCAGGCAACTCAGCTCACATGCTTTGGTCGGTTGTTCCTGTATCGCGACACAGGTGTCCATGTCCAGAGTAAACGCTGGCGTTCGATCAAGTCACGCTGAAGGATGCATCCCTGTATGAGGTAAGGTGGTCGCCCACCGACAGGGTGAGAAACCGCGCAGGTTCCTGATGATGAATTCCATGCGTCAGCCACAGCGTGTCTCTGCCTTGCATTGAGCTGCTGCTGCTGCTGCTGCTGCTGCTGCTGCTGCTGACAGCGACATAGAAAGAGAGAAGAGGGAGAAACTAAAGTAGTACTACCTATAGTAAATCTTGACGGCGCTCAACCTGACACTAGACGCAAGCTGAGTGGGTGCACTGTAGACATCCAGGGCTATGCAACTGATTGGCTCGTATAGTCTCCCTCCTCACATTGTACAGTACTAGGTAGATCAAATCCCCCCCCTCCCGTCGATTTCCATTCACGACTGTTCCAAGTAGATTTATCCATCTCAGATCTCGACCTTAGATTGCCCTGCTCATATTTATTGACTAACCACTTACCCACCATAGGTACAGTACTCTGTACCATTCGTGGACTACTCCATGCGCCGACGGCGTCTGTGATGAGTACTGAGTAGGTGGCGACTAAAGTACAATAAGCTCTAATCAACGGGTCAATCTACCTCTAACTTCAACAGCCTAGAAAACAACAAACCACGTTCCTTATTTCTCACCAAATAAAGAACTCACTACTAAATTGATACCTTACCCAAGTACTGTACTAAGCAACCAACCCCAATCAACCGCCTAAGCACAACCCCAACGTCCAAAGCAAAAGACTCGGGACACCCAACCCTGCCCCGACTATACCTCCAACACTTACATCATACCCCAATTCACCACAATCTCCATCCCACCTCGCACCCAAGTGACCGAACACTGAGTAATCGTCATAATACCAAGTACAGTACCTAAACCCCGACACCCACCGACGAGACCCAGACCCAGACCCAGAACCAGACAACAAGAAAAAGCACAAGTCAAAAGCAAGGGTTTTTTCCCCTCAGGAAAGTGACCCTAACTCGCCGGCAGGAAAAAGGCAACCGGCTGAGTCAGAGTCAGAGTCCGAGCCAGAGATCTCGATCTCGGTTTCCGTAGTCTATGCTGCATGCGGGGGTGTATCCTTTCGGGGGTTATGTTTTACCTTTGTGAATCAAGTATGTATGCAGACTTGATAGGAAGTATGTATGTCAGTATGTATGTCAGTATGTAAGTGATAGGTGGGGTTGCTTATAGACCATCTGACGGTTCATCCACCCATCAACGGGGCATTTGTAAGTGTTTACGCTATCCGGGGCAACAAGAACAAGAACTGGAACTGGAACTGGAAAGATTCAGATCCCGTGTGTTGGTGGAAGCTGCGTGTGGGTTCAAGGCTCCAGGTTGACAGGTGGACTGGACTTGACTTACTACCTACTACCTACTACCTACTAACTCCTGTCTCTGTACGGGGTACTACGGGGTAAGTACTAAGTGGTTAGCTGGTAAGGTATATGCTCTGTAGCGTTGTCTAAATCAGTTTGCATGGTGCAGTGCAGTTTGTGCAGTCTAGGCCGATTGTGTGGTGGATGCGCAAGTTACCTACCTAGTAGGTTAGCACCAGCACCAGACCGAGGATAGGATGAACTGGTTACTGACTCCGCACAGTTACTCTACCCTGTGGTGGAATTAGGTGTGGGATGGGATTCCGAGAACAAGAAACAAGAAACTTGTATCAAATCCGAACAATGGAACAAGAGAACCCGCTCCACAAGCGAATCAAAGCCCGCCCCGAAAAAAGGTCGTGGGTGATTCAGATTCCAGACCTACGGTCCCGCGCCAGATCGAACGAAGCCAAAACCCGGCCCGATCACACCGGATCAGATCAGTCAACTTACGTTACTTACCTAGGTACAGCACAGCACAGCACAGCACAGCACAGCACAGCACAGCACCAAGTACTGTACCAGACACACTGACCTAGTAAACACCTACACCTACACCTACCCCTACCCCTACCCCTACCCCTACGCAACTGGACCTACTAGCTAGCTAGCTGGCTAGCTACCCTCAGTAAGTTACAGAGCAGAAAGAGCAGAAGGAACTGCACCAGAAGAACAGACTCATCGCCTCGTCGCCCTCGTGGCCTTTCTCCTCTTGACCCTGACGAGGCCCGAAACGGTCGTTCCCTTTCTCGATCACGACTGTTACAGCCCCCGCGTCCTACCGGATGTCCGGTTGTTGAGATAGTTTCTTAGAAGTTGGCCGATCTACTGATCCACTAGTCGATCGCGGAGTGTAACCTCCTATCCGAGAATCTAATTGTGGCTTATCTCCTATAGTCCAGTGCTTGCTTCTAGTTGTCTTTGTTTCGAGTTTCTTTATTCTCGCCTTGCAGCCAAAAAAAAAAAAAAAAAAAAAAGGACAGGGCTACTCCGTACCTACGTATACTGCATCTGTCTTCCATGCGAGCTCTGATTGGAGGGGTACAGGTACAGGTACAGGTCCAAGTCTGTAAAAGGAATCATCACTACCTAGTAGGTACAGTGCTGGATGGAGTACTGTACTTCCTGTGTTCCCCTAGACAAGAACCCGAGGTAGAGAGACTATCGTTATCCAGACAAAGAAACCTCTGCATCATCAAATGTGTCAGGCAGGCAAAGCAGACTAGAGGACGATCTCCCGTCCTTCCTCACATCGCTCGACCAAGGCAGCCAGCAGCCAGCAGCCAGTCCCAAGAATAACAACCAAGTAAGCTCGAGAAACATGCAGCGGCCCACTGCGGATCCCTATTATGGATAAACCCTTTCTTTCTCTCCAAACCGGCTTTTCTGTTGATCCTCCTTTCGTCCTTTGTACCCCGAGGGTTTTCTCACCGGAGCTTGCGGCGAGCCCTTTTCGTTTTCCTATCGGGGAAGACATCCCGCGCGATCTGGCCGTTGGCCAGAGACATAGACCCTAGAACGGGAAACGGTCGATGGAGCCTGACTACTGCGCTGTGGTGTTGATCACCTGCCGATTTGTAATGGGTGCAACGGTGGTGCTACTGGAGTATAACGCAAGGCAGAACGAGATTGGGCCTAAACGCAGCCCGAGAACCTGTTGCCATTGCCAGCTAGTAGGGGACAATGGCCAGGCAGTGACTCGCCGAGCAGGCGACTTCATGGCTGTTGATGCGAGCTGGCCAGGAATTGACAATACCGCTTCGTCAAAACGTCTGCAGCTAGCGCCTGAGACAGCATCCGCGCAAATGGATGGATTAGACTACTGCTCGTTGCAAAGTGCTTCGAGGAATGCCCTCGCTTCCGGCCGCGGCGTCGGTCCACTTAGTCACATGGTCTCATTTGGTAGGAGAACTGGCGGCCTGCTCTCCAGCTGCAACGGCCGCAGCGGCCACGGCAGCTGAGTTACTGGAGCCTGCACTGGCGACATTGCTGGCATGGGCCAGTAAGAACTTACAGCAGGTGAGGGTATACTTGCAAGCACGCGTCCAAGTCTCATCGTTCTGGTTGAACCCAAGCTTGATGCTCGCATCGCCAATCCGGTCCTTTTTGATCTCGTATGGCAACTTCAAACCCGTCACCGCGGTGCCCGTGTAACCTCGCCGATTGGAGCCCGCCGGCACCGGAGCCTTCTCCACAAACTCGCCCAGTTGACGTAGACATTCCAGAAAAGCCACCATTCCGGCGTCAAACCGGCGGTGAAGCCACGGCAGGTTCAGCGGCAGCTCGCCCGACGAGAACAGATCCAGCGTGGTGACCTTGTGCGCCGCCGATGCTCCTGGGTTGCTTCCACCGATCACGGATTGAGCCGGAGATGTTCGGGTCGGGTCGAGTCGGTCAATCCGAGACATCGAACCCATCGGCTTGATTTGATACCCCTGGAACTGGAACCCCAGCTTGCTAGCAATAGTCGCCAGCAGCAGAGCCGTCTGTCCCCAAGCGGCGTTGATCTCTGGCCAGTCGACCGACGGGTTAGCCAAGCGACCGAGTCGCAGCCCGTTGATGGTGCCGAAGTAGCCATCGTGCCCGATGCAGAACGCATCGTTGTAGACATTCGTCCTCTGTAGCCTCTCCAGCTGCCGGGAATCATGGTCATACTTCATGTTCAGCGCATCGCGTTCGTTCTGGAACTCGGAAAGCGTGAGGGCGAAGGCATTGCGATCCCGCCAGAACTTCTCTTCTTCGAGATCCAGCTGACGGGATTCATCCTCCAGCCCGGCGATTTCCTCATCTAAGGCGGCCTTTTCCTTCTCGAGGGCCACAAGCTCCGCAAACGCAGCCTCCTCCGCAGCCAGCGTCTCCTGCAGAGATTGCTGCGCAGCCTCCAGCTCCTCCGTCGTCGGGACCGAAGACTTTAGATCGCGCAGAAAAGAGCTGTATGCATCTCGCTCTTTCTTCGCGTCTGCCAGCCGTTTCTCCATCCCCTCCACCAGGAGATCGGTACATTCCAGACAGATAGGGTGATCAATGTCCGAACGGGCGGAGATGATGTCAAATAGCCGGGCGGTTCGTTCGACCTGGTCTGCAAACGACCCGTCGTCGATGCCTCCTCGACCATGATCGTGGTTGGAAGGGTTGCCGACGGGCCTGGTGCCGTGTGGTGAACCGTCGCCGTTCCCATTCGTCCCGGGGATTATCCCGTGAGGCGGCCCCACTTGCGACTCGGTGAGCATCACAAACGACATGTTCCCGCTATCGCCGCGACCGAGTCTCGCGGGATGGGGTTGATTGCGAGCCGCCTGCCGCGGAGGGGGGATGGATCTTCGGTTGTACACGGGGGCTGTGGATTGCTTGGATACCCGGTCGTAGAGCTCCCATCGTTCTTGCGGGTAGCTCGGCTTGGAGGACGAGTGGGCGCCATGGTCTGGGACGGATTTGCCCGTGGAGCCTACAGGAGGCGTGCTTGATCAGTTCAATGCTCGAGAGATACACATGGTGGTAAGATGTGACCACTGCACTTACCGACTAGCAGGTCGAAGGCAGCCGGGTTGAGCGACTCGAGAGAGCCATCCAGTTTGAGAGGCGTGCGGCAGTTTTGGCAATACATGGTTGCGAAGGTGTTGTCCGTAACTCCTCATTCATCCTCGTCTGGAAAGTGTGAAGGTAACAGCTTAGTGTGGAGAAGAGGAGGTGGAGGGAAGATGGACATCAATAAGGGTGGTGGTGGTGGTGGTGGTGGTGTTGTAAGAGTTTACTGACTGTAAGTCGAGTGTAACTTAACTGTCGGTTCGGCAGGGGCAGATGAGACGAGACGTCATGCGGCACTGGTGAATGGCGGGTGCGCGCGCCGCGTGTTTTTGGCGTCGTCCGCGGGGGCCTTCAAAAAAGAGCTGGCGAACCTGCACTACAAGAATATCACCGATTGCTCGTGCCTCACCTCTAGGCAATCCACAGTAGAACCCGGGCTGGCGACCGATGATTCCGATTATCTACCTTCTTAGACCAGCGATCAGTCCTCCGCCTTGTGCCATCAAATTGCAATCGCACTGTCATTGAATGAAAGCGCATAATCTCATTTGCAGAATTGACCGTCTGTGTATGCAATACTCAACTCTTTCCTTATTCTAAACTGCGCACCTTCCCTTCATTACTAGCACCAGAGCAACACAGGCTAACAGTTCTCAAGATTGAGCGGTGTTACTTCAAAGGCGCGACTACACAACCCAAAAATCCTACCTACATCCAGCGTCCCTGCTCCGCCGAATCAACACTCAACTCACTCCCTCTTCCCACACCCCCCCAAACCCCCGATAGCTACTAGCATGGAGCGACCTACCAAGCGCGCCCGGTTCGCATCCCCAGTCGAACCCGAGGGAGACGGCGGGGACGATATCGACCTCCACGAGGCACGGGCGCAGAACGACCAACGCCTGAAGTCCATCTTCGAGGGCATCTTCGAGAAATACGGTCGGGACTTTACAGACGTGGGCGATGAGATTGATCTACAGACGGGCAAGATCATTGTGAATAATGGGCATATCCAAGAACTAGAGGGAGAAGAGGAGGAAGCCGAAAACGATGATCACCGTTCCGCAACGACGAACCGGGATTGGCGACGGCTCGAGCAGGAGCGGTCTGTTGCGGAGGAGGAGGGAAGTCTGCCTGAAAATCCCGGTCATTTGGCCGCAGGCATGGATGGGGATGATGATGATGATGGTGAGGCTCCGGATGATGATCGCTCACGGCCTCTCTCTCCCGTGCTGCCGTCGATCCAGGAACTGCAGGCTGGGTTGGGGATACAGCACCACCTGGCGGCTGGGGAAGAGGACACCGGCAAGCGTGACTCGAATTTACATGGTCAAGCGGATGACGACGACGATGCGGCTAGTGTGGACTCCTTGCTGGATAATACGCTACGCATCGAGAGCATCCTGGATCAATCCACCAGCGACAAACTCGTGAGCGAAAAAGCAAAACCTGCGGCTGAAGTAACCGCCCAATCACACAGCAACCGGCGTAGTGAGGCGGTGGAGGAGCTATGGCGGGTGCCTGAAATCGACGCGAGCTTCTCCACGCCGACATGGAACAGGTCACGTCCGGCGGCGTCCACCGTGAATCGCGTTCGCTCGCAGTCTCCACCGGGAGCTGGCTCCCTATGGTCATTGCCTAGGAAGTCGCGACGGGCTCCGCAGAAGAGCCACGCAGGGGCAGCGATGAAAAGCAAACCGCAGCGGAAAGTCACCCAGTCGAGCCCCGTGGTTTGCGACTGGTCCTTTGCAGAGACCCCCGATGGAGATGAGTCCGACGACCCGTTGCAGGAAGACTACGAACCATCGCCCACCCCCAAGCGGAGCATACATGTCCGCAAGACACCCGTGAAAGAACAGACACCGCGTCAATTGAACTATCAATGCTCGGATTGCAAGCAGGTCTTCGTACGTCACGGCTACATTACCCATCTCAGGGAAATTGCCTCCAGACCCTTCGACGGCCAACACGATCGAGCTGAGGTGACCCGCCGACTCGATGCCCTGGCTAAAGAGCCTACTCCGAAGTCGAAGTCCAAGACTACCACATCTATCACGCCAAATATTCTTACAAGTTCGCGCGCAAACGAACTTGTGGATAATAACTCTACTCCTACCAAGAAACGTGCTCGAAATGTCATCCAGCCCGATGAAGCGAGGCTGATCATCACAATGAGACAGGTACAGGGGAAGAAATGGAACGAGATCCTTGACTGCCTTCCGCACACGAAGCTGACCTCGCTTACCCAATGGAATCGCAATCACTGGAGTGATCGCCGGGCTAATCCACCGCCATTGTCCAAGCCTTGGTCTGAAGCCGAGCGGGCCGTTCTAGACAAATTCAAAGAGCAGCAGGGCCTTAGCTGGACCACGATCCGCCAAGGGCTACCTGGCCGACCACATGCCGAGATTGAATTCGAGTTGTTGCAGCTCTGGGCTGGCACTGATACGCAGTGATGCTGTTCAGCAACCGTAATGATTGGACGGCAGGCTCGATCGGTCCCGACGAATCGAATAGCAGATGAACCACAACTGAGTCAGGACCCCCGATTCTGACATGCAGTCCGTCAGCGGGACCGATCGGCCCCGGCACGTCAACTTTCCAGGTCCCGAGATTCGTGTCGTGACCCACTAGGTCGAAAGAAGCGAGCGATGGCGTTCTGCTGTCATAGCCCAACCGGATGAAACCAAGTAAATCTCAGACTGTCGGATTGGGCGGCAGCCGAACAAATTATACTCCCTGTCAGACACTAGCTGCAGTAACCATACGTGGAAGTAGCTTTTTGGGCTTCGCCGCCTCCCCAGGGGTCAACCCTTGTCCATGTTCCTGCCGTGTCTTTGTCCTTCATTGTGGACCCCGGTTAATTTTCTTGTGGGCTTGATATATCACGCGCCTACTCCTCATCCGTGGCATCCGTTGCAGTTAACACATCTTCAAGCTTGGTGTCAACCGCGCCTCCGACGTCTCCTGCCTTCGCCCAGAACCGTGAGAGGTGCCGTGACCCTGAGTCGGACAGGACCGTCACAATTCTGTGGCCGGGGCCAAGCTTCATCGCTGTCCTGACGGCAGCGAAGCCTGTAGTAAGGTGGTTTAGCCACAATCCGGTGAACATGAGAATTTAGGGCAAGACTTACAGTTTACGGCACTGCTACTACCCACGAACAAACCGTCCTTCTCTACAAGCCATCTAGCCATTGCCAAGGCCTGTGCATCGGTCACCCGAACAGCGTCGTTGACCAGCTCCTTGCCCGCTTCGAAGTTGGCTGTCACCCGGTTGATCCCGATGCCCTCGACAATGGTGTCCACCTGTCTACGTCGCCTAGTGCCTTCTCTTTCTTTTACGTCGAACATGACCCCGTAACGGACTCTGTTGTACAGCCCACTGCCTTGAGGATCGGCTAACACCACACTGAGATTGGGGATGCGCGGCTTCAGGAAAAGTGCCACACCAGAGATGGTGCCACCGGTGCCCGCTCCGGCAATAAAGGCATCCAATTTTCCGTCACACTGAGCATAGATCTCGGGCCCTGTGCCGTTGTAGTGGGCTCGCCAATTGGCTTCATTCTCGAACTGATCCGCAAAGAATCCTCTTCCGCTGGCGGTGGAGGATGCAGTTTGTTCCTGGGCAAGCGAGCGTGCGCGATTGACGAAATTGTCTTTTTCGACAATGGGGGCCGGTGGCACGCGGTCTACTATCGCGCCCAGCTTCAACAACAGATTCGACTTCTCAATAGCCTGGTCGGATGGCATGCAGCTATGGTTGGGTCAGTATATGGCAATGCGGTGGCTGTCAACTTAACACGAACATATGGGCCAGATAGCCCTTGGCTCGCGCCAAAGAGGCTAGGGAGATTCCCGTGGAACCGGAAGTGCCTTCGTAGATGGTGTCCCCTGAATGAGGTCTTAGGAACCCGTGCTCTTCGGCCTGTATGGAGTGTGAGAGGGTTATCCCGGTATGTCACGGAAAGGACCTGCATACAATTTGAATCATGCTCAGCGCAACCCGGTCCTTCGAGCTCTGTCCAGCTCCATTCAGAAACTAGAAAATAAGTCAGCCAATTTTTGAGCATCTTTGCCTGGCCCCCAAGACGTAGATCTGAGGTAGAGGCAAATGACGTACTTCGGCCTTGCCTAATATCTCGCAGCCCGTGGCATCGGATAAGGATTTGATACGAAAGAGGGGAGTGTTCCCGATGCAACCTTCAATGCCCTCGACGATGGCCGGTGGACCTGGTCTTGCGGCGAGAGTCTCGGTGGAGAGAGAGAGGTCCTCGGAGTCTGTCGCGGGCTGGGATTGACGACGAGCTAGATATTCATGAATACGCTGTTCTAACTCGGGGTACACCAGATCCTTGAATCCAATGGTAAGAAGAACACCTGCGACGAAGGCAGTGCCAATATAGAGACGGGAATGGTCATCCATAATTGCGGAGAAGGGGGGGGGGGAAGATCAGTCCAACGAAGAGATTCCCCGCGGTGATGGTGATGGTAGGCAAGTTATATCTAAGTTGATGGCGGGCGGAAGAAAAGCTTGGACCCACCGCTGCGCGACCGCCGCCTCTCCGCCTCCCTTCCCTCTCGTCTCGTCTCCTCTCGTCTCGTCTCGTGCTCTCCCCGAGCTTTCCTTCTTGCTCCTCTTCCTACCGCCCCACGAGCGATCATCTACGTCCTTCCCATGGACTCTCCAGTCCTCAATCAACTGCTTAGGCAGTTATTTCGACATCCCGCCTGTCAATCTTTCAAATCTACTCCCTCCCTCTCCGCGCGCCGACCGGGTTGCGTACGCCTGTCCCCGTCCCATCCGCACCACCGTCAACAATGTCGACCCTTCCTCCGAAAAGCCCCCGGCACTAAGAAAGCCTCCAACGATGGCACGATCTGGAACGAACGTCGCTTCATCACCCGAGACATCTCGGAGGAATTGCAGAAGTATCCGATGGTCACGGCCAAAGAACTCCGCCATCACCGCGAGCGGCCGCGGCAGGTGAAGATGTGGGGACGGGAGTTCATCGATGGTAAGGGAAATCGTCGTTGTGAAGGCTGGCTGCTGCTGCTGCTCCTCTGCTGCTGCTGCTGCTGCTGCTGCTGCGACTGGACAACCACTAATAAACTCGGGGTCTCCCTTTTACAGACAGTTTGTACAATCTTCAATACGGCTACTTCTCCCAACATGCCACCATCTTCAGCCCCGGGGAGCCCTTCATCTTCAACGACATCGCCGATGGGCCCGCGTTCCACACCATGTTACGGAATCGCTACACGGAGTTCGAGGACCGGTTAGACGAAGCCGAGCCCGACGTCGCCCGCCAGCTGTGGCATACCCCGACGGAGCTCTTCCAGCCGTACTACGGCGAGACGATCGCGCGGTACCTGGTGTCGAACTATAAGCTGACGCTGTACCCGTACCACGATCTGATCATCTACGAGATGGGCGCCGGCAACGGAACGATGATGCGGAACGTGCTGGACTACATCCGCGAGGTGGACTACGAGGTCTACCAGCGGACCAAGTACAAGATCATCGAGATCTCGCCGGCGCTGGCGAGTCTGCAGCTGAAGAACCTGGTCGCGTCGGCCGAGTCGGCCGGCCACCGGGACCGCCTCGAGATCATCAACCGGTCGATCTTCGACTGGAACACGTACGTGCACTCGCCGTGCTTCTTCCTGGCGCTGGAGGTGTTCGACAACTTCTCGCACGACATCATCCGCTACGACCTCAAGACGGAGCAGCCGCAGCAGGGCGGGGTCCTGATCGACGCGGACGGCGAGTTCCACGAGTGGTACCGCGACTACCTGGACCCGGTGGCCGCGCGGTTCCTGCGCGTGCGCCAGGCGGCCGCCCGGCGCCCGTTCCCGTCGCCCCTGGGGCCGAAGTACATGCGCATCCTGCGGCCGTACCTGCCGGCCGCGGGCCAGTTCTCGCCGCCGGAGTACATCCCCACCCGGCTCATGCAGTTCTTCGACATCCTCAACAACTACTTCCCGGGCCACCGGCTGGTGGCGAGCGACTTCAGCTCGCTGCCGGACGCGGTGCGCGGGCTGAATGGGCCTGTGGTGCAGACTCGGTTCGAGCGGCGCACCATCCCTGTGACGACCCCCTATGTAAGTTCCTGGTTTCACGTCGTGAAGAAAGCTTTCTGACTGGCACGCAGGTCCAACAAGGATACTTCGATATCTTCTTCCCGACCGACTTCAACGTGATTGAGGACATGTACCGGGCGATCACCGGCAAGTTGACGCAGGTGGTGAGCCACGAAGACTTCATGCAGCGCTGGGCGTACATTGCAGACACGGAGACGCGGAACGGGGAGAACCCGATGCTGACGTGGTACAAGAACGCCAGCATGCTGATGACTGTATGAGTGAGGAGTGAGGGATTGATGAGGTGTATGATACAGATACCAAGCATGGCCTACTATCTGTCTTATCTCGGCGGCTACAGCACGGTATCCGGAACTCGGCAATCTGCAGGCGATAGATAGCTGGATAGGCGGAATATATTCTATGATTGGCGTGCTACCGTGGTTGAGGGTCTATTGTGACATAGATAGTGAAGGTGCTGGTGCTGATGCTGATGCTGATGCTGCCAGGGGTGGGGGATGCTGTGCCCAATCCGAGTGAATCGTTATTATCTCCTATCTTCATACTGCGGAGTAACCAAAGGACTCTATCAGTCGTTGGGTATAGCATCCATCCCAATGGCAGATACTCGTATAAGTGAGGATTCTTCTCCGCATGAACCCCGCTCCATTTCCATTGATTTCCCCTCGTTCCGAAACCATAAACTCCCCCTCCACATCGACTATACAACCACACCACACCCTTCCCTTCACAACCTCAACCCCCACCCCCCGACCAACGACACAACCAGACAATCAAGAAAACCGCCAAGATGACAATGACCCAAACCCTCCCGCCAACCCCGACCTGGAAACCCACCGTCTACGCCAAACGCCAGGCCCAACTCGCCGCCATCCCCGAAGCCTGGCGTCTCCCCAACCCACCCCCGACCCCCACCCCCAGCAGCACCGACGACAGTCCCCCAAAACAAGAACAAGACACCCTCACCACCATCCGCACCAGCGACATCCTCACGGCCCAAGAGCTCGCATGGACCGAAACGCCCGACACCACCACGCTCCTCGCGGCCCTCGCCGCGGGGCAGATCACCTCCGTGCAACTGACGACCGCCTTCTGCAAGCGCGCCGCCCTCGCGCAGCAGCTGACCAAATGCCTGACGGAGATCTTCTTCGATCGGGCGCTGGCGCGCGCCAAGTGGCTGGACGAGGAGCTCGCGCGGACCGGGCAGCCGCGGGGCCCGCTGCATGGGCTGCCGGTTTCGATTAAGGATCGGTTTGATCTCGAGGGGGTGGATACTACTGTTGGTTTGTTTTCCTTTCCCTTTTCCTTTTCCTTTCCCCTTCGGGAGGGGGTTTCGTTGAGGGGGCCCGGGGGGGCGGGGGGCATTGGGGCATGTGTGCTATAGGCTCAGGCTCAGGCTCAGGCTCAGGCTAATTCCTATGATGGGGTATGTGTGTGTGTGCAGGCTGGGTCGGACTCATCGACAAACCCGCCCGCAGGTCCAGCTCGATTGCGCGGCTGCTCGAGTCGATGGGCGCGGTGCTGTACGTCAAGACGAATGTGCCGCAGTCGCTGATGGTTTGTGCCTGTCCTGTCCTGTCCTGTCCTGTCCTGTCCTGGCGGGGTTGTGAGATGGTTGGCTGATCTAGTGCTGGGTCTGGGTGAAAGATGTCCGACTCCTACAACCACGTCTTCGGGCAGTCGATCAACGCGTTCAACCGCCAGCTCATCTCCGGCGGCAGTTCCGGCGGCGAGGGGGCGTTGATCGGCGCCCGGGGCAGTGTGCTCGGCATCGGGACGGATATCGGGGGCTCGATTCGCATCCCCGCGGCGTTGCAGGGGTTGTATTCGGTTTGTCCGTCGAGGGGCCGCGTGCCGTGGGATTGTTCTTTGTAGGTTCCTTTCTCTTTTTTTCCTGGGGTGGGTGTCTGGGAGAGTGTAGGGGAGAGTGTCCGGGATGGTAGAAGAAGGCTGACACAGTATGCAAGCATGCACCAACACTACATGGTGCCCCCCGTCGCCGGCCCGATGGCCCGCAGCCTCGCCTCGATCGAGCACTTCATGGCCTCCCTGCTGGCCTCGGAGCCCTGGACCCTCGACCCGGGTTGCATTCCGATCCCCTGGCGCACGGAGCTGGCCCTCAAGCCTGCCACCAAGAAGCTGCGGGTGGCCATCATCCACGACGACGGGGTCGTCAAGCCGCAGCCGCCGATTGCGCGGGCGATGCGCGAGGTGGAGCGCAAGTTGGTGGAGGCCGGGCATGAGGGTGTGTCCTCCTTTCCTTTCCCTTTCCCTTTCCCCTTCCGTTTCCCCTTCCGTTCAAACTACAACCCAGATGTCCAGGCTATATGCGCTTGACACCACCCGCTCAATCAAGCCATGCTAACCAGATGAGGGGAGGAAAGTAATCCCCTGGCCCGCGACCGCGCTACACAAAGAAGGCACCGCGCTGTGGACGAAAGCCATCCTCGCCGACGGCGGCCAGCACTGTCGGTACCTGTGCGACATCGTCGGGGAGCCGCTGATCGAGGGGATGGTCGTGGGGACGTCGGAGGATGAGTTGTCGGTGGAGGAGCGGGAGAAGGTACGGGCTGCCTGGCCCCCTGTTCCTATTCCTATTCCTGTTCCTGTTCCTATTCTATCAACATCAACCCTACCTTACCCCTTTCCCTTACCACCACCCATCATCCTCCCCCACAGTCGAAGACAGGTAGTAACGATAGGCTACAGCTCGAAGAAACGAAATACACCTACCAAGAAACCTACCTCGCGCACTGGACGACCAGCGGCATCGACGCCCTCCTGATGCCCGTGACGCCGTGGGTCGGCTACCGCCCGAAGTCCTGGGTCGTCAGCGCCCAGTGGCTCGGGTACACGGCGCTGTGGAATCTGCTCGATTACGCGGCGGTCACGGTGCCGGTGACCTGCGCGGATGCCGGGGTCGATTGTCCAGAGGGTAACAGCGACAGCGAGATCATCCGGGAGTGGAGGGCGCATGTGCCCCGCAATGCGTCGGATCGGTTCAATTATTTGCAGTGTGGGTTTTGCCTTCCCTCTCTTTCTGGTCATCTTTGGGGGGATGAGTTTAGGGTTTGGACTAACTGACTAACTAACTAAATAACTAACGTTCTTCCAGACGATATTGATCTAGTCAAGGATATGCCGGTGACGGTGCAGGTGGTTGGGGGCAAGTTCGGGGAGGAGAAGGCGGTTGCTGTTGCGAAGGTTTTGGATGAGGTTCTGAGGTAGATTCAGATTTCTGGTGTATGGAGTGGAAGTTGTATATGGATATCAACCTACATATACATACAAAGAACACCGCTAGTATGCGGAACTCAGATCACACAGGCGATGAAAAATTAGATATGGTGAGATATGGACTGCTACCGCTAGATATGATACAAACTTATCCCGTGAACATAAATACCCCGCTCCACCAAGCGCAACCTCAAGTCCTAGAGTTTCGCCTGCGGCTCACGCTCACTGTTATTCTGCCACGCAAACCCAATCTTCTTGCCGATCCCGGGCTCGACGATCACATTCACCACGGTGACCTGCTCGCTCGCGAACCCCTGCCGCGTCGCCGCGACCAGCTCCTCCTCCGTCCGCACGAAGAACCCGCGGCCGCCGCACATGGTCGCCAGCATCTCGTACCGGGTCTCGTACAGCAGACTCGTCGAGCGCAGGCCGCGGGTCCCGTCCGCGCTGGCCTTGGTGTCGTTCTGCGCCGTCTGGTCCTGCAGCGCCGTCCACTCGGCCGCCGAGGTTGTGTCCCCGTGGTAGATGCCCGAGTTGTTGACGACGAAGATCAGCGCGGGGATGCGGTAGCGCGCTAGGGTCTCGATCTCCATGGCGCTGAACCCGAAGGCGCTGTCGCCTTCGAAGGCGACGATTTTCTTCGGCGTCGACGCGCCGGAACCGCCCGCGGCTGCACCCGCCCCGGGCAGCGCGTTGTACGCTTCGTGCGCCGCGGCGATGTACCCCATCCCCACGCCCATCGTCGCGTACGTGCCCGCGTCCAGGCGCTGGCGCGGGTGCTCGACGCTGAAGATCGACCGCGAGATGTCCATCGTGTTCGCGCCCTCGGACACATACACCACGCCGCCATCGCCGCCCGCCGGGTGACTCAGCTCATCCAGCGTCGACTTGATGAGGTGGAAGGCCCGCTGGTACGTCATCGGGGCATCCGTCGGGGTCGGGCGGTTGGCCGCCTGGGCCGCGGCCTTGGTATTCTTCTCGATCGATGCGTCCAGCACGTCCAGGAAGGTTTTGTCAGCAGCACCGGCATCACCAGCAACCGGGGCATAGCGCCAATTCGCCAAGGCGGCGACCAGCTGGTCCACGACCAGGGAGATGTCGCCGACGATGCCCAGCTCGGCGGCGCCGGCGTTGCGGCCGATCTCCTCGGCGCACAGGTCGACCTGGATGATCTTGGCGGTGGGGGACCACTTGGGCGGCTCGCCGAAGTGGAGGATCCAGTTGAGGCGGGCGCCGAGCACGAGCACGACGTCCGCGTGCTTCAGCGCCGCGCTGCGGGCGCTCGACACGTTGCGCGCGTGCGAGTCCGGCAACACCCCTTTCCCCATCGGGGTCGGGAGGAAGGGCAGCCCCGTGCGGTCGACCAGCCGGCGCAGCTGGGCCTCCGCCCGCGCGTACGCCGCCCCCTTGCCCACCACCAGCAGCGGCGCCTGCGCCGTCTTCAGCAGCTGCGCCGCCTTGAGGATCAACGCCGGGTCGCCGCTGGCCTTGGGCGGCGCGGCCACCCGCATCGTCTCCGGCGGGGGCAGCAGCTGCCGACAGTGGTCTGCCGCCGCGCGACCCTGGATGATGTCGGCGGGCAGGTCGACGAAGGTCGGGCCCGGACGCCCGTACCAGCAGGTCCGGTAGGCGTTCTTCACCGCCCCCGGGATGAAGTCCAGCGACGAGGCGCGCACCGCCAGCTTGGTGTGCGGCGTCAGGAAGGAGATGGCGTCGAGTTCCTGGAAGGCGCCCTTGGTGATGGCCGTGGTCTCGGCCGAGCCGGCCAGCACCAGTAAGGGGAAGTTGTTGGCGGTGGCATTGCCGATCTGGTTCGGGGGAATGGCTTTGTTAGCACGAGACGTAGATAGAGGTCGTTACAGCCAAGAAGTCCTGTAGGAACCACGTAGATGACAGGGAGATGGCAGCAATTAGGCGCTTGACAAAAAACTCACCCCAGCCAACGTATGAAGAACCCCCGGACCTCCCACGACGAGACAGACACCGGGTCGTCCGGTCATGTACCCATAAACACTGGCGGCATAGCTGCAAGCCTGCTCGTTGCGGAAGGCCACGAAGCGAATGCCCAGATTGATGGCCTCCTCGGCAATCTCCACGACGGGAATTCCGACAATGCCAAAGATCACGGTGACGCCGAGATCGCGCAGCGTCCGGGCGATGATCTGGGCCCCGGTGACAGAAGCCATTGTGTTTTTGGGGGATGTGATTGGGGAAAGAGCTTGGCAGCTTGGCAGGATGGTAATTAATTAGTGTAGGGCTGAATAGCTAGTACTGAGTAGTAATTATGAGTTAAAAGGCTGGCTGCTCAGCAGTCCAGGGAAATGGTTGGGGTTGGGGGGGTTGTGGGGAACGATAGGCAGCGACGAAGTGAGGTTGTTAAGTTGTAACAATGCAAATGCCACAATCGGCCGAGGCACAACCATTTATCGGCATGACGCAACAGCCGGTTTCTTGCCCGAGGCAGCCATACAACACTTGCATGCCTATACCTATACCTATGAGATCGGTGTACTCTCTATAGAGGAGATGAACTCTCATGCACTCATGCACTCTTGATCATCTTCTGCAGCCGCACAACCTTGTATTGTATTGTATAGTCTTGATGTTGCTGCCCTCCTGCTATGCTGCTACCAATGGTATCTACCCATCCCCTCATTTCCAAAGAACATACATGAACTTGATCAAATTCAAACTCGCTATGCTTCCTGCCAGCAGAATCGTCCTAGAACTCGAATTCCTTCCGGAACACATTGACGTCCATCCCTGCTACGACCTGATCGGCCAGGTCCCGCCGTCCCATCTGGCTGAACACCCGCCGCAGCGTGTCGTACAGGTTGGTGCTTTGGTTCTGGCTGACGTGGAGCATGCGTTCCAGCTGTTCGTCGGCGATGCCCCCCTCGCCGCCGATGATCTCGCGCGCCCGTTCCCGACCCTCTTGCTCGACGACCCGGTGCATCGACAGGGCGCCCAGGAGGTGCTGCGCGGCCTCGGGGTAGCAGCCGATGTTGATGCAGGAGACGCCCAGGTTGTAGCGAGCCCGGACGAAGTTGGGGTTGATGTTCAGTGCCTGCTCGTACGCCTCGATGGCCTCCTCGGACCGACCGGAGTTGGCCAGCGTGGCGCCGAGGCGGTTCCAGAGCAGGTGCAGCTGCTCCTGTTGGTTGGTGGTTCCCGACTCCGTCGAGGCCAGCGCAGCCGAGAAGCAGTCGACCGCCTTGTCGTACTCTTCGGCGCAGTAGAACAGAACACCCAGACCCACCTGCACGTCCGGGTCCATCTGCTCACCCGACGGAGACAGCTGAGCAGCCTGGATGAAGAGGTCAGTGACCCGGTCGTGGAGCAGCTGACGATCCGTGAATCCAAGATCAGCGTCTTCTGATACATCCTTGGGGTCGATGATCTGCGGGTACTTGACGGAGAGCCAGCGCTCCAAAGTACGGTAGGCGGTAGAATCGTAGCCCTCATTCGTGTAAGAGACGGCCAGACCCATGAGCGCGTCCAAGTTGCCGGCATCGATCTTCAGGGCCTGCTCCAGAGCTCGGATCGCGGGCAACTCTTTCTCGTTCTGAGCCTGCGCGGTTCCCAGCATTGTCCAGGCCTGTACGTGCTGCGGGTCCTTCTGGACCGCCGCCTCGAAGGCCAGCGCAGCCAGCGACAGGTTGCCACCTTCCCGCATAATCTTGACACCTTCTTCGAATGGGTTGTTGACGTTCTGGAAAACATTGTCTTCCTCGAACAGGTACTCGCCTAGTTGCGGGTTGCGGAACCGCGTGTTGAGCGTCTCGAATCCATCCCAGTCGCCCATATCGCCCATGTGCAGGTTCTCGTCGATGTTGAAATCGGTCTCACCCTCCGCGAATTTCCTATTCACTGCCGCCTCAGCCTGAACTCTTTGCCACACGTTTTCAAACGCATCGAAATTCTCCTCGATGGCGGTGGTAGTAGTGGTGGGGACTGACCTGTCCAGCTCATTCAGCTCGGCCTCCATGGCCGCGTTGGCCGCATCGTCCAGCGTCCGGGTATCCGCCGTCTCCATCTCCGCGAACTGCGCCTCCCAGTTCTCGTCGTCGAGCTCCACCATCCGCCCCTTACCCTTGTCCTGCGTGACCGCCTCGGCCGGTTGCTGCTGGTGCATGGCCATCGGGCCGAAGTTCTGATGCATCATCCCCATCCCACCACCCATGCCCATGTAGCCCATCGGACGCTGGTAACCAGCCAGCATCGGGGACGGGGCGGAGGCGACCGCGGGGTGAGCTGCCTGGGGCATGCCCGTTCGACTCTGTTGTTGGAACCGGGCGAATTCGGCCGGGTTGAACCCCGCGGGGGCGTTCATCATCGGACCCTGGGAGCCATTGAAGGCGGCCTCCATCCGTGCATGCTCACCGGCATCGAACTCCGCCGCCCAGCCCGGAGATCCTGTCCGTTGGGGTGCGTTCTGGAACTGGTCCAGTTCACGTCTGAGTTGTTCCATCGCGAAGGGCTGGGGGCTAGCGCCCGGCAGCTGGCCGGGTTGTTGGGAAAATTCGTCCATCATCTAACACATCCGAAAGAGCAAGCATCAGTGGAATGGAACACACGGCAGTGGGCCACTCCCTCTTCCCCGCGGGGAGAGTGAGGAGGGGGTGGGGTGGGTTGGATGGAATCTGGAGTTACCTACCTGGTCCTGACCACCCATCATTCCTCTGGACCGCATGCCTTCCTGCATGCCTCCCGGACCGCGTCCGACGAGGCGATCACGCTGCAGCGACTTGTCATCTTGGACATGCTTCGTAAACTGCGTCAGCGGGTTTCCGGCTGTGGAGCACTCGGCGCCACCAAGGAACGACATGTTGTGGGAATATGTGCAGCGACCGCGCTATTCAGTTCTCACGTAGAATAGTTCATATGTATTGAGAATAGGATAAGAGAGAACCAGTGGTAGAAGAGACAAAAGAGGGAGAGATAAGAGGGCGAGAGAGAGGGGAGAGAGAAGGAATAACTGAGGAGACTCGCCCCGAGATGGGCTCTCTAAGCACAAAGACGTGGGGTTTCGGCGCGGCTTCGCTGCCGACCCGCGGACAGATACCGAGGCTCCCCGAAAGTCACGTGTGTCCTGCCATTTGGTTTCCGTCTGTCTACGCCCTACGTGATACTGAATACTGGAATAAGCAGGAAGTGGTGAATGGAATGGACTGGACGACATAATTTTGTAATATACATGAGAAAAATTAGCTTGATATACACTCAAGACTATTACACCTCAGTGTAGACCAAGTGGAATATCTGGAACAAAGCCTCATCCCCTACTCCTGCTGCTGCTGCGGCTGCTCCTCCTCCACCTGCCGCGAGTTAGGGTTGTTGATGCCCTTGTGCTTGGAGCTGTAGTCCAGGCGCAGCTTCTTCCCATAGGGCATCTTTTTGCTGAGAATCTCCATGGCATTGGACGCGCTCTCGAGGTCAACGAAGTCGGCATGGGCGAAGCCACGGGGCTGTCCGGTGCGGCGGTCAATCGCCACGCGCACATCGATGACGTTGACCACGTCGTTGAACAGATCGTTGAGATCACGGTCGGTCATCTCAAAGGGCAGGTTGCCGATGTAGAGCGACTTCGAAGGGGGCGACACCTTGTGCTTCTTCATGCCGTTCTGCGCGAACATGACGCTGATACGACGGCCCTCGAAGATCTGCAGGTGCATCTCTTCGATGGCACGCTGAGCCGACTCGATCGATTCGAAATCCACGTAACCGAATCTAAAGTGAAAGGCATCCCCCGGGTCAGAATCTACACATCAAGAACGGGAACTGGCGCGCTTACCCCTTGCTGATTCCCCGCTGGTCGTGGATGAGGTTCACTCTCTGTACATCTCCGAACTTCATGAAGAATCGTCTGAGGTCATCGCTCGTGACGTCGTAGAAAAGGTTGCCAACGAAGATGGTGGTCTTCGGCTCCGGCTCCTCCCGGTTGAAAGCTCCTCTGTATCTGCGGATACCAGATTCGCCATTGCCATCTTGATCCCGCTGGTAGAAACGTTGTCTCGGAGCTTCCGAAGCGAAAGACTCCTCGGAAGCAGCTTGCTCAGGCGCAGCGGCCTCCTCAGAAGAGTTCTCCTTCTGATCGGCGTACTGCGAAACAGCCTCGGCGATGCTCTCGTTGCTGGTCTCGGGAGACTGCTCGGTGGTGCTGGGAGCTACGGGCTTGTTCTGAGCATCGTCGCTGTTCCACCGGCTTTGAAGCTGAGACTGAACGGGTCTGCTGGCGAAAGCAAAGCGCAACGAGCTGGACGCGTTGGAGCGCGGTACAGAGCGAATGGCGACTCTGCTAGGAACAATCAACAGCCGAGAGGCTGCTTGGCGGAAGCAATACCTGAGTGAAAGCAATCCTGTTAGACAAATACTACCAATGGCAAATGGCACTGAGGAATGGACTCACATTTTGTGTTCAAAAAAATGAATTAATTAAGGGATAAAAAGTGATAGGAAAAGGATGAAGTTTTCTCAACCCAAGAATTTAGTGGCAAAAGAGATGCTTCGGGGAAATTGGCAGTAACGAAAACTTCCCTTATCAGACAGTCACGTGAGGGATATCAGCAGACCAGACCATGCCTAATGTGTACTCGACAATCTGCTGCGCCGGAATGAATGTGCCCGGCCTCGAGGATCTCCTGAAATGCATGTTGCATATTGCTTCAGATATAATATGAGGGGAATGACCGATCTAGACCCGAAAATAGTTACCTCTGCTTTTGCGCGTTCATCAGAGTACTGTACACTAAAACCTACAGACGAGAATGAACAACCGACAACAAGGAGATCAATTATAGAGTGTAGATGACTAGTATTTGCATGACCTATCATAACGTGTCTTTGCGTAATATACATCCATTCCTCAATCGAATATCCATGCCGATTCGATCGTAGGGCACGAATATGATGAATAGCGGTGAAAACGAACGAGAAAGAGCCCAGCCCAGACCAGCCTTTTGAGACCAACCGCATCCTATTCGCCATCCTGTCAAGCTGAAGATCAGTCCTGCATAAATTTGGAACACGACGCAAGTACATTTCACATGAAATGGAATCCAGATTCCCGGCCAACTTTTTATTCATTAGATGTAGTCAGATCCTAGAACGGCAGACACAAAAGAACTCGAACAACATCGTTTAGGTTCCTGGACCGCTACTTGGGTTGTTGAGAGGGGATGGGTTGACAGGATAGCCTGTCGTGGACATGGCAACATTGTTGCCCTCATAGCTGTTAGCATCAGGGGAGAACATATTTGGGCCACGAGGCATAGAACGCATGCGTTCCGGAGCGCTATTTTGTGTGGCTGGCAATTGGGCTGAGGATAGAGGACTTGGGCCCGGTTGTTGCTGTTGCATGTCTCCCGATGGCCACCATTGCGAAGGTATGTCCATTGCTGAACTTTGTATATAGGTATCCCAAGCATCCTTTGATTGTGGTCAGCCATGAATACTTTTACAGGGGATTGGTGTGTTAGCCTACCCAGTCCAGGTTCAGCTGCATATCGGGCACCTGCCCAAACATCGCGCTAAATGGCGAAGGGGCCCCCGGAATCTCTGCCGCGTTTGCAAAGCCACTTTGCATGGGCATTTGTGTGTCTGCCATCTTGTATGCAGGGTCGTTGAGGGTCAATTGACTCGAAGCCATGGGACTCATTCCACTGCTCAGGAGTCCCAATGTCATTGCGGCACTTTGTTTCTCATCCTGTGGTTCAAAAACCGGCGCAGACGCGGTATTACTTTCCGAAAATCCCAAATTCAGCTTGGCAAGCATCACTCCCAGAGCTCCGGCAGCTTTCCATGCATCGATAGTCTCATCACGAAGCTCGTCCCAGATTTCTCGGGTTCGTTGGAGCGCAGCCACCATCTCATCGCGACGTTCCTTAGTCCAGGAGTAAGGATCACTAGGGGTTCGACCCGATGCCTGGAGTTGCTGTCCATGATAAAGATCGAGGCAAAGAATGGTTGCAGCAAGCAGATAGTCGGAAGAGCCAAGTGAGGTTAGCTTGTTGTACCTGCTGCGTAGACGACCTGTGGGCCGAGTCTCGTCATGGAGCATGGATTGGAATCGCAGCAGTTCCATTGCAGAGTCCAGGCAGGTCCGCCTCGAGTAACTAAATCGAGGGTTCTCCCGTGCTCGTACAAGGTATTGTCGATGAAGCACGCATTGTGCTTTGTGATACACGCTCGCAACCTAGAGATGGTCAACACTGCACAAAGCATTTCAACAAGGACAGAACTTACTGCAAATCGTGACATAATCAAGTTTGGAGAGTCTAATGGGCAATCTTCGATAGGCCGAACGAGTAGGTGCTCCGGGATCAAGTCACGAGCTTGACGAAGCTCCGCATCAAGCTCCATCACTTTGTCGTAAGACGTTGCAGTCTGACAACGTGAAGTGTGCTCGCCGACATGGCCGAAAGTGTACGTCAGCCGCGCTTTCGCAATCAAGAACGATATCGGCGTCGGTTCATTTGCTGGACGGGAAGGCGGAAGTTCTTGACAATTCTCATCAAAGTCGTCATCATACAGATTTCGAGGGAGCTCAGTATCACTGTCAGTGGAGCGGATCATGCTCGGCAACCCAACTTGGGAGGAGAACAATAGGTCCGCCTGCCGTACAAAGGTCCAGACGCGGCGGCGCATCTCTCCTTGAAACGGGGTAATGTTGGGGAACATCTTGGAGTCACGATGGTAGCCCATCCTCATAGCCAAGCGCGCGATCACCCCCACGAGAACCCACACCGACACATCTGCTTCCCTGGTTTGACAGAAGTCACCATGAAGATGGAAGATCAGACTCTCAATGACGTACGGGTATGGTTTAGTGTAGTCAGCCAGAGTAAGACACTGAGCCACAAGGTTTCTGAACGTTCCAGCCATGTCCAGGGACTTGCCCCGAAATTCCGGGGGTTCGTCTCCATTGCGATGGTACGAAAGCATAGCTAGTCGCATCATGGCAAAAAGCATGCCAATCCATATCGTGCATGTCTGGGACGGATCTTCCCAATGTTTGTTGTACTAGCTGGGTTTAGCGATACGGTAGTCTTGTAGGGTGATGAACAGATGAGTCTTACCTGTGCCTGGAAAGTGGGCCCGTGAAGAATGTCTACTTCGGAGTGAGTACTGACATAAGGTGTATGCAAAAAGACGTCTGACTTACGTGTTGATGGGTCATAGCAGCTGAAATAGCGCGCGATCAGCATATCGGTCGTATATTTAGAAGGGAAGGACGACATGATTTCCGCCCGAGTCGCAGGTTTCATTGCCCCAAAGAGCAGAGCGGAACCTTGGACGTCAGTCGGAAGTTGGGTTGTCTTCAGCTTCTCGGTCTGCTCCTCGTATTGTTTCTTGTGAGTGGAGAAATAATTTCGGACTTCCGCAATCTGAAGCAGGCGTTAATCGCTTGACGATAGCTCTGGTGCACGCAGGCAACTTACATCGCTAAGGACCGATGCCCAATGTACCTCGCTGATATAATAGGACTTGTTGTTGTCAAACTTCATGATTCCAAACGACTTTGTGACCTGCTCGGTATCACTGTCCTCGGGGCCGCCAGGCGTTTCATCTTCCACATCTATATCGACCGTGTTCGGTACAGACCCCGTGCTGCTGCTACTGCCGGAAATCGCAGCCATGGCCGCTGCGGGGCCTGCGGACTGGGATCCATTAGTCATGAGCGACAGGACGAGGCTCTCAAGTCGATCGATCCTATTCTGCATATCATCTGGAGAGCTCGCAGCTGACGGCTGCGACACATTCTTTTTTCGCGCACCTGCTTGAGCGTACGAGCACGAAGTCGCATCACCCCGCTTGATGCAGTTTTCGCAGGGATGGGCACGGTTGCATTTCAGCCTGATGACTCCACTGTTAGCACAAATGGAAAGGCGGCAAGCGAGGCAGGTGCTTACTTTCGATGCCGGCATGGCGCACATGAGAGGGGAACTCGGTTTCTCTTCCTGATGACTCTGAATTGTCCTTCCGGGGAGAATGCGCCAGCGCTCGACGAGGTTGTGGATGGAGGTGTCGGAGACATATTGAGCTATATTATAACGATCACCTGCGAAACGGTGTTTGCGAGAGTGACTCGGATGAAAATGCGGAGAGGGAAAGAATGGCCTGTCCAGAGACGACTAATGAACCCGTTGAGTATCGCGTAGGATTTCGGCGCCAATATGTCTAAGGGGATTTGGTCCGGAAGTTTGTCCGGTCGACGGCGCAAGTTGTGATGGACAATATGATAAGACCAATGTAATCGGCGCGCAGCCCTCTGGAAGTCTGCGAGCGTAGCCAATACCCGCGCTGTTTATCAAGAGCCCTTATTGCACAACAATTCTCGATCCAGCGGTTGGATCGCAATAGTTGCGCTGAACGCGATCGAGCAGGCTTATGGTACGATCGAGGGGCGCGCGGCGATGGGCGACCGAAGAAGACCGCTGTCCGTCGTGGTTGAACAGGCTTAGAAGACACGGGCTAGTGTTAACTCGACCTTGAAAACAACAGCACAAAGAATCACGTTGCACACGGATCGAAACGACAAGAAAAGAAAGTGCCGAACAACGAGACGAGGAGGAGGCAGAGAAGAGATCCAATGAGGGGCACGATCGGCGAACTGCCTTCGCGGTCGAACTGGGGGAGAAACAGAGGCAAGCAGCCGGTCAAGCTGGGCTTATCGGGCTTAGTATTAAATTGGTGATAGAAAGAAGAGAGAAGAGCAAGTCCAGGTTGATCGTTCCGTGAAGAGGCACGTAGTTGGAGTAGTAGAATTGAAGGAAGGAACGACCTTGCGAAACAAAGGGTAAGTAAGGTAGTGGTAGTAGTAAGAGTAGAATAGGTTATTATCTCCGTTATCACCTCAAAGGCGGTCAGTAGGTAGGCACAGTAGGTACACACAGCTGACGTAAAGACAGTGACAGTCACACGCAAGTGAAGTGACAGATGACAAACTTAATAGTACGGAATATACTGCATCTGATAAACGGGCAGGTCGCAGGTCGCAGCTTGGCTGACAGAAAAGACAAGACGCAACGGTAAAATGGAAATGCGGTTAATTAATACGTAGTGGGAGAGGGGGGCTCGGAGCTGAGTGAGTTGAAGAGAGACTAAGGTAGAACTACCTTAGACCATGCAACCGCCCGTCTTACGGAAACCCCGACACTAAACGTGGTTGGCGCGTCGGCCATCAATGGATGCTTACTACTGCATGGGTTGACTCACTTGACTCACTCGCTCTAAACCGAGAGATAAGCAATGGAAAAGGAATCGAGAGCAAGCGGGCAGCTGAGGTAACTTGGAATGGTCTTGCACACATGTTTCCTTTACTATACATTGTATTTGCATTCTGCCCTTGACCCCCATGTCAAAATGCAGGGAAACGCTGTCGCATATACCAGACAAAGATTCGGCATGCAAAGATACATTGCTCGCAAAGATAAGAGTTCCTCCTATCAATAGCTACAGACTTTCGGTTGTTTCCTTCTTCCGTATGTTGATGTTGGCCCCTGGTTTACTCTGGATTTTGGCTTATTCTCAAGGTATACTCAAGATTTGGCGAAAGGTCTTGTTCTGGAATAGATATATGCATGAACTGAGCAATGAAGCACCGCGCGACGCAGCGATCAGTTTTCACCACCGAAGTTCCAACTCCGCTGGTTGTGGTTTCTCACGCTCTGCCGTTGAGGGGGCGCCATCTTCGTGGGCTCTGGTGACTGGTCATATGTATCCCAGGATGGCTCCAGGGCCTTAACGGCCTTTTGACGGTCTCCGGGAATAGGCTTTCTGTTTTCCGCGTTGCGCTTGCTATCGCGAGGCGACTCGTCGGCCATATCCCAGTGGGTCTCGAGCTCCTTCTTCCGGTTGGCGCCATTGTTGTTGACTCGGGAGAGGGGTGGGTTTGCGTCCTGAGAGAATTCATCGTCTTCCTTGTTGTCGAAAAGGTGGCTCTTGTAAAGGCCCATACCTTTGTTCTGGAATGAGCTGATAATGCGGCCGCCCGCTCTCTCTTCAGGGGTGTCAGTCAACGAAAAATGACTTTCAGCATTAGGACGGGGGTGCTGCGCCCGTGATCGAACCGGGACGGATTTGGGTTCCTGCTCATCATCGCCCCAACCAAAGTGACGGATTTCCTCTCCTCGAAGTTGGCGCTTGGGCTTTTCGGGGGTCACAAAGTCTTCAAAATCCCAGTGAGGGGCCTGGCGAGACACAGGGCGCCCAGGCTTCTCATGGACCTCCCTGGTGCTGTTGTCCCCGCCAAGCTCGAAGTGTTCATAACGTTTGGGGTGAGCCTTGTACGCAATCTGCTGGAGTCCTTCTTTGGCGGCAGTCTCATCGTCATCAAAGATGCGCGATGGTTGTAGGTTCTTGGTGCCAGCCTTAGGGGGGATTCGCTTTCTGGATGGCGACGCGTCGGGAGTCTCGTTGTCGAAGTCACCTTCGGTACTGAGGAAGAGCTCGCCGTAGTCGCGCGCTGGAGGCTGGGCAGACGCAGGGGCACGCGGGGCACGCACAGGTTCTCCTCGGTCCTTGCTGTCCTTGCCTGGCGAAAGAAGTTCGAACAGGGAGTCGGCGGCATGCGGGTCCTTGATGTACTTTTTCCCTGGAGAGGCGACCTGGCGCCCCGAAACACGCGCTTGCTCCTCCGTGGAGGCAGGCGGGGCAGGCGCAGAAGCTGACCCCGGCCCGTGATCGCTGGGACTCGATGAGATGGCGGATTTGAGAAGGCGGAACTGGTCTTTGGCATCACGAATGGGCCAACCACGAGCACGCGAACCGATCACTTCGACTTGTTTCAGTAACGAAGCTTGGTCCCAGTAGATGCGGACATTCTGGATTTGCTGCTGAGCGTTGAAGCGAACAATGTGGACCTAATTGCATTTAAGTATCTGGTTAGCTCGACACAGTCGTATGGAAAGTGAAAGGGTATTGGGCGCATATTTACCGTGGGAAAGGTAGCGACATGATCGGCCAGGAAATTGTCGTCAAGCTGGGGAAGGTACGCCCCGCCACCAGATAGAAACTCCAGAGTAGTTTCAATATCCAAGCAGAGAGAGTTGGTGCTTTCGAAGGCGTCCAGAATGGTCTCCGACTTGGTCTTGACAATGCGCTGCTGTTTGCTGAAATGGCTGACAATCGCAGCGTCACCGTCTACCTTTGTAGTAGTCGTGATGTAAACGAGGGACGCATCAGTGGCCAACGGAACCGACTTGGGGTTGGTCAGGAACCGGCTGTACACATCTTTCAAAGACATGATTTCCGCGACTGGGTTGGCGGAGTTTCAGTTAACGAATGTAAAGGGATGCGGGGGAGATCGGGAGGGAGAGGAGAGGACAGAACACAGCCAGCCGGATGCTGTTGGCGAAGGGGAAGTGGAATGGCAAGATGTGGATGTGGGGGGGAAAACAGAGGCCAAGAGTGAGAAACTGAAGTAGCGAGAGAGAAGGAGAGAGTTGGTGTCTGAGGTGTGAAAGAGAGTAAGTAGCGTACGGAGTAGTAGTGTCTGTGTACAGTACAGTAGTTGGTAGTGCTGAGGAACCCAAAAGAGAAGAGGGACAACAGCGCAGCGGACAGTGTCAGTGCAAGACGGGGAGGGGAGGTGCAGCCAATTACTACCTAGTAGGTAGTCCCAGTCCACTCCGTCCTGATTCACATGCGTAATTTGGGCCCATGCGCTGAGAAGACTTCGGTTAGAATTCCTTAACTATGCGTACTGTACTGTACTGTACAGCACTACTCTTCCCTCTGGGGGTGATTCTGTGTTTGCCATTCCTCTATGTTTACATGTTTAGTGAATGCTTGTCAAAACACATTTTTCTCCGGCCAATCCCAGTGACTACATATAGTACAAACCGGTGCTCCCTAGAAGCATTCAAGGTTGTCAGCATTCTGGGTCTATGGCAAAATCCCCATAACATCAGCAGCATTCAATACTCCCATGTTCTGCCACGGATGGACTGGGGAAATTGCCTGCGCACGGCTCCGACGATGGAGACTGGACACACCAGCGTTTCACAATCCGTTTCTCCGGCAACTGGTGATGCATTCGATCACTCCCCACAAGCACAAGCACCAGCATGAATAATGCGCTGAATGCAATGCGGACACCTTTTCTTGTATAGTACTAGGTGTAGTACAGTGCTTATGCACTGCATACTGGGTGCCTGCACCTGAACTAAGGAGTCATCTCACAACATAAACAGTCATTCATATCTATTTAATTCTATCCAAGTTACTCTTACCATGTTTGATTTTGACTGTACAAAACAACGCTTTTTTCTTATAAAAATTACGTAGCCGATCACGGCTCCGACCATCCGTTCTCGATGTTCTTGTCTTATCTTGTGTTGCCTTGCCATACACACAATAGTCATGTGCGAGACCGATGCTTAGGCGTTGAGGCAGCCCTGTCCGCCTGCGCGGGCTTTTTTTTTTTTTTTTTGCCAGGATAAGCAAGATACCATCCCCCCAAATGATATCCCGCTTGGAGAAACTTTTCGATGCGCTTCTGTGAGGCCTCAGCAAGCGCATCGTCCGGGCATCAAGTTGAGTAGATGATGCTGCGGGCGTCTCTATATAGCGATGGGAGTGGTGGTACGACAGGCTAAAGAGTTCAGGCTTCCTTTGCAGTGGCGTTGGTATCCTCGGATAGAAGAAAAGGAAGAGAAATTCTCATTCCAAGCAAATTACAAGGGTCTGGTGGGAAGTCATGCGCATCAGTAAACCGTTCATCCGTAGCGGATTGGCCACAACTCACCCCAAGAAATCCTCTTTGATTGTACCGATGGCATTGATTGCCGCAACGTCGGGCTTCACACCCAGGATCTTGAGCCGCAGGCTCGTTCCCTTCTCGATCACCTGGTCTGCATGATCCGTATACTGGGGCGGTACCGTGTTGGGTTCCCATTTGATATCAGAGGGAATGTTCTTTTCATCAGTCCGTTAGCGTTCAAGTTCAGACTACCCTCCCCACGCCTAATGTTCGGTATACCTTTCGCGCAATGAACACAGACAACGGTCCCGCCAGAGTGAAGATTCCAGTAGGCTTGACAGAGGTTACGATCGCATCAACCTGCAATTTCCACGGTCAGCGTTGAGGTTAGCCGTGCTGGCAACTCTTCGCAACGTACAGTCTCGCCTCGGAACGGTTTCCAGATAATTGCGCGATATTTGATCGTGTACTCCGCTTGTCCGCTGCCGGGCATCACACGTCCTTCGCCGATATCTACCATGTCCATGACGCAGATCACAAAGTGATCGCCTGTACATCGACCTTCTTCCTCCTCATTTAACCGGGTGATGAGATATTCCCGCATGTTGGGTCCGAAGAAGGACGGGTGCAAGGTAATGACCTTGGTTTCTTCCTTGAGGAAGAACATGATGTCTGTCTGATATTCCTTTTGCTTTCCAAGATTGCACGCGCGATTATCGGAGGTCGAAGATGTGTTTGACACGAAGATTGTTGACCGGTAGCGTTGGTTACCGATGCGTGAATCGGGGCGAACGAAAGCGCTTTAATCGCTTTGATGTTCTGGGTGAGACGGAGTCAATATGCAGGAATCGTGTAGCGATCGTGATCGTGGTGCTAAATGCGCAAAGAGCAATGGCTATTGAAGCTCAATGATTAGTATCAACAACTCGTAGCGCGCGTAAAATCTGGTAGAAGACGTGTTAAACAAAGAACAATGCAGAGGTGGAATCGAGCAAAAAGTGGCCCCAGTCTGAAAGAGAACTGAAGGCAGCCCACGGAACTTCAAGAGCAACCAGGTGATTTGACTCCGCTGTCAATCGAGCGACAATCACCGTGTCTGATCCGCGGGAGCTCGACCAAGTCACATGACAGGGGCGGAGAATAACGAGTGTTACCGTACAGATACCGACCATTACGCCCAGGGTGCTGGATTGGTGGGTAATCTGGCTTCCTAGTGAGGGAATTTCAGTACCTCGGAGGTACAATCATGAGACGAACGGGTGTAAGAATTCACAATATCCTCGGCCCTTCTTGAGTCTCTGTACAACGAATGACGTTGGCACAAGCAACAAACGGTTTGACATAAAATGTCTTATCCTTCCACCTGATCAGGCAACACCTTGTTTGTTGTGGGGAGGAAAGGTAGTCATCTCGCTCTGGATATCGGCTTTCTCCATTTCACTGCTCTTTGCCTTGCCCGACAAGACCCCTGCATCTTCAGTGTTACCATGGCTTTAAATCTTGAGAAGCAGCTACTCTTTGTGAGGCCCATTCTGCGGCACCCCGCCGCGCCCCTCTGATCAAGAGACTCAGTCGCTAACCAACGCATCCTCCAGTATGGCGCCTACCACAATAATCCCGTACGTGCAAAGCTTTTCTATAAATCGTCTCAGGGCTCGGTTCCTGACTTTTTTTTTTCAGGTGAATGTTGCGATTCACATGACATGTGTGCCTATACTTCTCTTCACGGGCATTGCCCTGGTATGACACTCGACACCGGACAACCCAGCAGCATATTCCCTGACACCGTGCTACTCACTAGGCATCTAACACACCCACCCTCATCCCCACGCCTGAGTCTTTGCAGGTTGAGAATCTGCCTCTCAACCTTGGGACGATCGCAGCTATAGTATACTCGATGTTTTACATCCTCCTGGAGCCCGTAGCCGGTGCCCTAGCGACGCCGCTCATCATCGGCAGTGCGGCTGGTGCGAATCACCTTCTCAGTGCCTACGGCACGAGCGCCAACTACTGGTTTGGTGGAATTCACGTGGTTTCGTGGCTGGCGCAATTTGTCGGCCATGGTGCCTTCGAGAAACGGGCCCCTGCACTGCTGGACAATCTGGTGCAGGCTCTACTGCTCGCTCCCCTTTTCATCTGGATGGAGATTCTGTTCTTCTTCGGATATCGCCCCGAGCTGAAGAAGAGGTACCATGAGAGTGTGAACAAGGAGGTCGCGGCATTCAAGGCTCAGAAGAACAAGGCAAGCAAGTGATCGGATCGCGAATCCAGTTTGAGAGCCATAGGTGGTTTCCAGTCTTCGGTGGTAATCAAGATTGTCTGGCTATTTCCAAAGCGACAATAGCGTTCTTTTCGACTTGGCAGCTTGTCTACAAGGTGAGGATGGGAGGTCTGAGTGCAGTAATGTGGTGTTTTGAGAATGTGTGGTGATTTGGATGACAACAATTTGTCTAGTGGTTGGTACCATGAATGAATGAGTTGCAGATTCTCAGGTAAATAAAGTGGGTGTTGTCTGAACTGGTAGGTTCAAGCTACTGTACTGAGTAGGAATCTTAGACCTCACGTTAAAGTGGAGCATGATGTAAGTTACTGAAATCGGAAGAGGATTGGAGGGGGTGACAGGGTTTGCTGCGGCAAGGTTCGGGTTGGCACCCAAGAGCCATTGAGCGACGCCAGCAATCTGGAGGCACAAAGAAAAGAACTGCAACCCATGAGAGAAGATGGTGTAAGAGATGAGACGACCTAGAAAAGAAAAGAGGATTTGAAAGACGACGTCTCAACCGATTGACCGCCTGGAAGGATTGTTCCGTCGTAGATGCATGGACAGCACAGTAGTGGATGGAGACGGAGACGGGGAAAGAATTCCCACCGGAACAACCGGTCAAGCAAGCAAGGCAAGTTTTGGTTTGCTGGCACTGGCACTGGCACTGGCAGCAGCTAGACTAGCAGGGCCTCTGTGCTTGCTGCAGTGCGCGGGCTGCTGCGGGCGGTTGCTGCGACGAAAATGCAGATGAGTAAGCCAGCCAACCAGCCAGCAGTATCCGCAGATCCGAGAGAGAGAGAAACTGAAATACAGTGGAAATGAAAATTGGGAACGGACAGGTGGCCCGGGAGAGCCTAGTAACCAAGCAACCAGCCACGGCGTGCTAGGTATGTTTCAACCCATTTATTTTCATGAAGACGAATGTATAGGGTTGTCTTACAGGGACTAGAATCATTGAGAAAAATAGAAACATAAAGTAAAGGTAAAATCAGATAGACGATCGGTTTGTTCAAACCAAAAATAATAAATACATCACCCGGCGTTTTCGTTTTCTTGGGGACGGGTGGGTTGTCCCGTGAGCGCACTAGGGCGGCTTCGGAGGTTGGTGAGGCTCGGCAAACTAGGATTAGTGCCAGTTCTGAGAGAGAATCCCTCCCAACCCCGACGACAAAGCTCTCCTCTCCTCCATCCACAATCCTTTCTCCTCTTCTTCCCTTTCCCCCCCCCTCCCCCCCAATTACATCTCTCCTTCAGAGAAACCACTCTCCCACACCTCTGAACCCTTTTCACAATGTTCAGGAACGCTTTGCGGCAGTCTAGCCGCACCGTTGCGGCTGCCTCTGCCACTGGCAGAATCGCTTCCGTGAGTCTCATCCCTGTCCAAGTCGCCATCGTCCATTCAATTCGACCTTCTACATCGGGGATGTCATCTCAATGATGCTCCCAATCGCCTCTCTACCCATCGCAATGCATACTATCAGCTTTTGACGCGTTTTGACTGCGTGGTTGTGGTGTTGACAAATTTTGCCTACGTCTTCAGGTTCGCGCCGCTGTTCCCGGCCCCATCTCTGGTGCCTCCAAGCAGATCCGCTCCTACGCTGCTGAGGCCAAGGCCTCTCCCACTGAGGTCTCTTCCATCCTCGAGCAGAGAATCCGTGGTGTTCAGGAGGAGGCTGGTCTCGCCGAGACTGGACGTGTCCTTTCCGTCGGGTACGTGACGAAATCCTTCCGCTGAAAAATTCGGACGCGCTCTCAATATCATCGAATTCATCGAAAAATCATCGAGAAACCATCGAAATTACGGCCGTCAACACTTCTCTCAGGGAACTACCATTCAACTAACACGATTATGTCAACAGTGACGGTATCGCTCGTGTCCATGGCATGACCAACGTCCAGGCTGAGGAGCTGGTCGAGTACGTGCACTCCCTCGCCAATGAGTAAATGATGTATCAGATCACTAACAATTCCTTAGGTTCGCCTCCGGTGTTAAGGGTATGTGCATGAACCTCGAAGCCGGCCAGGTCGGTGTCGTGCTTTTCGGTTCCGACCGTCTCGTCAGGGAGGGTGAGACTGTCAAGCGTACCGGAGAGATTGTATGTTTCCGTTGGATCCGGACTGTCATGTCATTTTTGCTAATACTCTCAACTAGGTTGATGTTCCCGTTGGTCCTGAGATGCTCGGCCGTGTCGTCGACGCTCTCGGTAACCCCATCGATGGCAAGGGTCCCATCAACACCAAGGCCAAGAGCCGTGCTCAGCTCAAGGCCCCTGGTATCTTGCCCCGTCACTCCGTCAACCAGCCCGTCCAGACTGGTCTTAAGTGTGTCGACTCCATGGTCCCCATCGGCCGTGGTCAGCGTGAGTTGATCATTGGTGACCGTCAGACCGGTAAGACCGCTGTCGCCCTTGACGCTATCCTCAACCAGAAGCGTTGGAACAACACCTCCAGCGACGAGAGCAAGAAGCTGTACTGTATCTACGTTGCCGTCGGTCAGAAGCGTTCCACCGTCGCTCAGCTCGTCAAGACCCTTGAGGAGAACGACTCCATGAAGTACTCCATCATCGTCGCTGCTACCGCCTCCGAGGCTGCTCCCCTTCAGTACCTCGCTCCCTTCACTGGTTGCGCCATGGGTGAGTGGTTCCGTGACAACGGCCGCCACGCCGTTATCATCTACGACGATCTCTCCAAGCAGGCCGTCGCCTACCGTCAGATGTCTCTTCTGCTCCGTCGTCCCCCTGGACGTGAGGCCTACCCCGGTGACGTTTTCTACCTCCACTCTCGTCTCCTCGAGCGTGCTGCCAAGATGAACGACAAGCACGGTGGTGGTTCCCTTACTGCCCTCCCCGTCATTGAGACCCAGGGTGGTGATGTGTCTGCCTACATTCCCACCAACGTCATTTCCATCACTGACGGCCAGATCTTCTTGGAGGCTGAGCTGTTCTACAAGGGTATCCGCCCTGCCATTAACGTCGGTTTGTCCGTCTCCCGTGTCGGTTCCGCTGCCCAGGTCAAGGCCATGAAGCAGGTCGCCGGTTCCCTGAAGCTGTTCTTGGCTCAGTACCGTGAGGTTGCTGCCTTCGCCCAGTTCGGTTCCGATCTCGATGCCTCCACCAAGCAGACCCTCAACCGTGGTGAGCGTCTCACCGAGCTTCTCAAGCAGAAGCAGTACTCCCCCATGTCCGTCCCCGACATGGTCCCCCTGATCTTCGCTGGTGTCAACGGTTACCTTGACTCCATCCCCGTCGCCAAGATCCTCACCTGGGAGTCCGACTTCCTTGCTCACCTCAAGAGCAACCACCCCGAGATCCAGGAGACCATTGAGAAGGAGGGCCAGGTCAGCAAGGACCTCGAGGCTCAGCTCAAGGAGGTCATTGTCAACTTCAACAAGTCCTTCAACGCATAGGTGAGCAAATGGCCTCTGGGTGATTAGTCCACCGTGTACTGTTTTTATCCTGACTCTATCTGTATAGACAAGATAGCTTGTACAATTTGAGACCACTGTTTTGTTTTTGTTGTTAAAACCCGGAGCTTCGGATCGGTCGAACACGGCGCTGGATGTAACCGCATCTTTCCTGATGGTATACCCATCTGATATTCTGTAGCTATGACGCAAGGTAAAACGGTGGGACGAGGAAGGCAAAAAGATACGATTAATATCCTGTACGTTTAGATCTTTTCGCGCGACAAATGAAAGGGGGTAGTGGGAACAGATTCATCGACTTTGGATCCGGAATGGTCCAGCTGGTCTTTGCCCATGATCCCGCCATTGTCTACATATATGCAGCCTGAATATGATTTCTTTTGTTCCATTGACCGGCTGGCCAGTTCTCTCCGGTGGAGACTGTAATCGAAACCCCAATCTCCAAACTTCGTCAATAATCCGGGGTAAACAAGGGGGCGTAAGTAGAGGGCGAGATCGATTTCGGCACAGAAGGAACAGACATGGACCGGGCACGGCATTGCCGCGTATTGCCCCGGTTTCTTATTGTCTGAATCTGGTATCCATGTGGTAAGAGCTTGGGACCAGGTTCTCCACCGATTTAGTTCGAATGTCTGCACTAAACGTACTGCTTGCTCAGGCTAATTCAATTCGTAGAATAGTTAGTGCACTCCCTGGTCCTTCAATGACTGACTGGCGCCGATGGGCGGCCGAATGCGGGCATGCAGTGCCTTTTTATCGATAAGCGAGCAGTCTTTCCGTCCCAAATTTTCTTCCATACCCCTCCAACCATAGCCCATCTCAATCCCCCCAAAAGACTGTCTATCGATTTTGTTTGGTTGCTTACACAATTTCTCTATCTTCGCCCAGATGGCTTCTGCTACAGATTCGGCTCCGGCCTCCTGCAAGGTCATGCTTTCCAAGCATGTCGCCAACCGCCTGCTCGAGGAAGTTCAAGAGGGCGTGAAGATGCTTGAGAAGCCGCCTCACCTGGTCGGATTCCTTGCAAACAACGACCCTGCGGCTTTGATGTATGCCCAATGGACGGAAAAGACTTGCATAGAAAAGTGAGCACTCTTTTTCCCATGTTCTTTTCAGTTGGGCGTCTCCGTTTCTGTCTTCTGGAGCGTCGCCCCTATGACTCCCCAACCTGCGATGTCGGAGCCGGTGCGGCAAGCGGTGGCATCGGGGTCATATATGAGTCACGTCGTAGCTAATGTAGTCTTTGTTTCTCTATCGTATAGTGGTTTCCGCTACTCCCTCCGTGAAGTTGCCCGGGACGATCTCGAGCAAGCCATCCTCAATGCCAACGTCGATTCCGATGTTGACGGCATCATCGTATACTACCCCATCTTCAACAACCGCCAGGACCAGTACCTGCAGCAGATCGTCGACGTATCCAAAGATGTAGAGGGTCTCACCCACCGGTACATCTTCAACATGTACCAGAACATCCGCTTCCTGGACCCGGAAACCAAGCGTCAGAAGTGCATCCTCCCCTGCACTCCCCTGGCCATCATCAAGATCCTCGAGTACCTGAACATCTACAACACGATATTGCCCTACGGCAACCGCCTCTTCGGTCACACCATCTGCGTGGTGAACCGCTCCGAGGTCGTGGGACGCCCGCTCGCCGCGTTGTTGGCCAACGATGGTGCTTGTGTGTACAGTATCGACATCACCGGCATCCAGAAGTTCACGCGTGGTGAGGGCCTAAAGAAGGGCAGACACGAGGTCGTGGAGCTCGAAGGAAAGACCCTGAAGGACGTGGTGCCCCTCTGTGACGTTGTCATCTCCGGTGTCCCCGGTGAGAAGTACAAGTTCGACACCAGCCTTCTCAGAGAGGGTGCTGTGTGCCTCAACTTCTCCAGCGAGAAGGTATGCTTGCCAACCGATCCATAGAGGTCTATCCTTATACTGCAGATATATCTGACATTGATGTGAAACAGAACTTCGGACCCGAGGTGAAGGAGAAGGCCTCCATCTTCGTGCCTTCCACTGGAAAGGTGACGATCGTTGTCCTGCTTAGAAACCTGTTGGTACGTAGGACATTCCCGCATCATCCTGATGAAGAGTCCAGCAGCTGACCGTTACACACAGAGACTCATCCAGAACAAGAGATTGGATGATGTGAAACCCGCCGAGGCCACTGAGCGCCCGGGCACTCTGGAAGCTGCCTCGTAAAACGCCCACAGTGGTGATACCTCTTTTTCATTCCACAAAATATAGCACCGAGAGACGTTATAACAGAGTTGGCCATAGATTTTCTTACATTCCTCTATTCTGTTTGAGCTTGTCGAACCCTTCATGTAAATCACCTTGTCAATGCGACACTGCTGCGCTGTTTTGATTATGAGCATCTTTGGATTGAAAAGTTTGGGAGGGGGACCCTAGCGCTACAAATACTATACCGTTGAATGCTTTCCATGGAAAGTGGTTATGGCTTCAAATCGCAGTCAAGCTACTATCTCAAGAGAACCCCGCAAGATACGATTTGGAAAAGAGAGCCTGACATCACACCAGATACATTCCCAAACGTTGCGCCATTTTGACATGCAGATCCGATAATCACCCTGGATGTTTTTGTTCGTGGTAAAACGAGGGTTCATTACGCCGTGGGTTCACTTCCTCTTCTGCCCACCCTTGCCCCCTTCGCCGTGATCCGCCTCCTGCACGGCGACATGACTCGCAACACCGCCCGTCTTCTTCTGAATCTCGTTCGCCGCGAGCCGCAGAACCTCAATCTCGCTCGCCAACCAGTCGCGGAGCGGCTGGATGTGGAACGTCCCGTCGGCTGCAAACCACTTCGTGAAGGACGTTTCGATCTCCTTCTCCTGGATCACCTTGCCCGCCGGAGACGTGTACTGAACCTTGAGCTTATAAAGCGGGGAATGCTTCTTGACGGAGGAGCGGATCACAATCTAGAGTAGCAAGAACAAGCGTTAGCCCCCATATATAAACTTTTGAATGGCTGGTTCCTGTGCCATGCACCGGGGCAATGGACATACTGTTTCACCCGACTTGCGCTTGCCTCGGAACACCTCGCCCGCCTCGACGGCCCAGATCCAGTATGTGAGAAGGGAGTTCAGAATGAAGTACGATGCGACGGCCGCCAGGATCCACGGTGAGCGAGTCGCCTCCCACTTCAGCATGCGGTCTGCGTAGAAGGTGAACCCGGCAATGGCGACGGCCGAGTAGCCCAGCAGCAAGCGCACGTTCAGCATGGTGTTGTCTTGGGTAAATCGGTAGGGTTGCGGCAGGGTGGTGAGGTGTGGTGCCAGGGCATCGTCGGTGGTGGATTTCAGATCTGATAGAAGAACCGTTAGTATGAAGTGGCTTCAATATCTTGCAGCCTTGATCGCAGAAGGCAAGCTGCTGCTGCTTGCAGTGGGAGTATTCGAGCAGCAGGCCTATGAAGTAAACATGCATGCATTGACTAACCATTGCTCGAGTAAACAGGCACCTTGGGTGCCTCTGCGGACGACATTGGTGAGTCCCCTTGTGGTAGATGAGGATACACTAGCAATTCTTAATCCAGAGGGATAAGCTTCTGGTAGTTGACGTTTCCTGAGACAATTTGAAAAAGATGACGGTCTTTGTCGGAAGAGTTGCGGCGAGCTGTCCCTTTCGCAAGGCTAAAGCGGCATGCGCCAAGGCAGTAAGGCCGCCGCCGCCCGTCCACCCCATCCGACTTCGTGGGGGAGCTCCCCGTCTCCATCAGCCTAGTTCTCTCAGCTTCTTGGTTCGAATTGAGCAACGATTTCCTTCATCTTGCAACCACATATCATTCCACAATGGCATTGCAGGGGGTAGAGCAGACGATCCTTCGGGATCCCGCTCTCTTGTACGTTGTTCACCCCATTTCCATAGGAGTAAAATGACCTGGTGTGCAAGTCAAAACTGACTCGAGACGGACGGCACGACCTAGCTATTGGATCGTATTCCCCATTACGATTGTCATGGTACGCTTCCATCAAACCCCATCGAACACCTCTCTCGCAAATGCTAAGACCTAAGACAAAAAGATCCTGACCGGCATCCTCCGCCACTACGCCACCGTGCTGATGAACAACCCGCCGAAACCCGCCGCGACGCTGGCCGAATCCCGCGAACGCCTGGGCCTCATCCGCGGCGTCAACTTCCGCAACAACGCCTACGTGCTCAGCCCGGAGTCGTGCGAGATGCGCCGCAAGTACCTCATCGCCGCCTACCAGGAAGGGGCGTTCCTCAAGGACCCGGAGAACCGCGGCCAGCCGCCGGCGAACCCCATGACGGATCCCGCGGGCATGGAGGCGATGATGGGCATGATGAAGGGGAACATGATGATGATGATCCCGCAGACGTTGATCATGAGCTGGATTAATGCTTTCTTTTCGGGGTTTGTGATTTGTAAGTTTCTTTTTTTTTTCGTTATGTCTTTGTGTGGGTGGGGTGAGAGAGCTAACTTGGGGGGTACGATGCGAAAGTGAAATTGCCCTTCCCTCTTACGATTCGGTTTAAGTCGATGCTGCAGTCCGGCGTGATGACTCGGGATCTGGATGTGCGATGGGTGTCGAGTCTTTCTTGGTACTTTTTGAATCTGTTTGGGCTGCAGTCTGTGTTTGGGTTTATCTTGGGAAGCGATAATGGTGAGTCAAGTTCCGCATGCGACACTGTTTTGTGTCTGTGTTAGGGGAATAATTTGTGCTAATTGGGGGTATGTGAACAGCTGCCAGCCAGATGGCCCAGCAGATGGCTGGTATGAACCCTGCGGCCGGCATGAACCCCTTCCAGCCGGGTCAGGACCCCGATAAGATGTATCAGAATGAGGCGGAGAACCTTGCGGTTATGGAGCACTTCTGCATCCTGGATGGAATCGAGGAGCGCATCTTGCAGAACTATGGCTCCAGCGGAGCGTATTAATGTGGTCGTTGTCGGGGGGTGTAGACTTGCTTTGGGTGTGGTAAAGCTCACAATGTAAAGCTCGTATCTAGTGTGATGACGCAGGTCAAGATAGCTATTTGTTTTTTGAAAAATGTTATATTATCACCAAAATCTAAATGTCAATACATGAAAATGGTGGCTGTTCATCATAACCTACTTTGAAGGGTTGTCACTGCGGAAGTCGCCCATCCCGCAACATATATCTACACACATCCGTCCGCTATACACTATACCTAGCGATAATTAATCACCCCATCAAGCACCCACACCTCACCATTCGCAACCTTCTCAGCAATACTATCAACCTCCACATCACCCGGTTGAATCTATCCCACACCGAAATTAGCCCACCCCCAACAAGGGAGACAGTTAAGAAGACCTACCCGAATCTTATCCCCAACCCTGGCCCACGTCAACTTATCGCCCGCCAACGTCTCGGCCTCCTCCCCTTCCTTCCAGGGGCTCGTCGCCACAACATGCGCCTTGACAAACCGCTCGAGATTCCTGGTGGCGCGATCCTGGCCCTCCTGCCCCTCGTACGCCTGCTGCTCGCCGAACCGCGCGATGTCATCCGGGTTCTCCCACGGCTTGCGCGGCAGCTCCTGGATGGCGCTGTTGCGCGGCGCCAGCACGGTAACGTTGTGGGCTGCGTCGTCGAGCCGCGCCTCGACGGACTCGAACTGCCGTGTCAGCGAGGCGAAGACGTTCACGCCGCGGGCCTTGGGGAGGACGTCGGAGAGGATGATTCCGTTCTCATCGGTGTTTCCTCCGGCGTGTTTGGGGCTGTTGCTGTTGTTGTTATCGTCCTCGGGCGGGAGCACGGCGTTGGTTGAGGGGTTACTGCTACTGCCCATTATTGCTGGTGCTGCTGCGCCTGCTTGTAGGGGTAGTTGGTTGACGAGCCACTGCTTTAGGTTGAGGGTATCGAGATGAGGTCTCTCGCCGAGGGGACGGGGGAGGCGTTTGCGGAACTGTAGGTCCCAGGACGCTGCGGTGGCTGTGGGGATGAGTGTTACTGTGAGTAGAAGGACTAGTAGTATAAAGGTTATTCTCAGTTGAAGTCTTTGCATCTTGACATGGACAAAGAGTTGTTGGTGGTGGTGGTTGCAGCTATATAGTTTACTGTCTATAGTTTGGGGGTGGTCAGCGCGCGCGCGGGCCCATGACGCAACGGGGCCGAACCGGCGGAAGACCAAACCCACACGTGATATCTATCGATAAGGGTCTTAGCCTGACAGCGTCATGTTTCCGGTCGCGGAGATTAGCAAGCGCGGGGAGTGGGAATTTGAAAGTCCCCATGCAGTGACATTGTAATCTCTCGATCATCTTGCGCAAATACAACAAGACACAAAAGAAAACCACGCAACCAGCATGTCGGCATTGCAGACTTTCCTGCTGGTCGTGGACCACGATAAGCAGGAGGCCAAGCAGATTGCTGAACGAGTTGCTCAAGGTAAGCTTTTCTCTTTCAAAGGCCGGTCGGGTACAGGACTCTTCTAACTTGCACGCATGGAAAGATGTGGAGAATAAGAAGACGACACTCATCGAAGTCGTGCAGTCGCTAGGGGAATACATCAACGATGACGATCCAATTCTTCGCGGCAAAGCGGTCTCCTACCTCACTGCGATCATCAAGGAGCTGCCCGCCAAGTTCCTCTCGAGGCAACAGATTCAGGTTCTGACGACTTTCTTCTGTGACCGGATTCAGGATGGAGGGGCGGTTGCGGGGCTGGAGACGTTGCAGAAGCTGGACCGGTTCAACAAGCCTCTGGCTGAAGAGGTTGCTCGGGCGTGAGTGCTTGCTCTTCCCCAGTCGAGCAATGTGCATTGCATGGGCAGAGGGGGCTGACTTGCGCGCACAGGATCTTTGAACAATTTCAGGAGCTGCAGTCTCGTTCCCAGTCTCAACGATTCCAAGTGTATCAGTTGCTGAACGAATTGATGCTGAATTATCGTGGCGGTGCGTTTTGGGGACCATCCTATCTCCCGGGGCTACGAGCAAGAGTATACTGACTGGTATAGCACTTCATGATATGGGTGATGAGTCTCTGGTTGGAATTGTGGATCTTGTTACCGGCGAGAAGGATCCTCGCAATCTGATGATGGTGTTTTCCATACTCAAAGTGGTCATGGTGGAATGGGACATCTCCAACCATGCGGAGGTACGTGCTGCATGGAATCTGCTTAGAGGACTGCCAAAGCTGACCTCTGAAGCTGCTGTTTGACTCGGCCTACAATTACTTCCCCATCACCTTCAGACCCCCACCAAACGACCCGTATGGCATCACGGCTCAAGATTTGAAGGACCGCCTGCAGGACTGCATTTCCTCAAACAGTCTCTTTGCTCCGCACTCTATCCCTTCTTTGCTGGATAAGATGGACTCGACCTCACCAAATGTCAAGGTATGCTGTCTATGTTCTGGGTGAGAACTGTCTCCAGGCTGACTTGCTTAAAGAGAGACGCTCTCAATGCTTTGATCGCCTGTATTGAGTCGTATGACCCTAACACGGTGTCCCGCTATTCCATCACGATATGGGAGACCCTGAAGTTCGAGATCCTCAACGCCCAGGAAGAGTTCCTCTCCGAACTGTCCCTCCTGGTGCTGAAGGGTATTGCTAAGCGTTTGTCAGAGGGTGTCTCGCAGATCTCTGATCAGCTGCCTCTTGCACAATATTTGCGCCCCATCACCAAAGAGTGTAACGAGCAACTGCGGGAGCCCCAACAGAAGCAGGCAAAGCCTGCTCAGCAGATCCTCAGCGCTATCTCCTCTGCTTCCGCTCCCGCGTTCACACTAATAATCCAGGCAGTCGTGGCACCGCTCTTGACTATTTACCAAGAGGCTGACGGCATCGCCAAGCAACGAGCTCTCCTGGATACACTCAGTGTTCTCTTTGACTCCTCTATCAAGGTGTTCGGTGAATGGACCTCGCGTGACGCAGAGGTTGCTTTCGAGAACCCCCTATTGGAGTTTAAGGATCAGTTCTCCGAGATCTTCGGCCAGGCATTGATGGGTGCTATCAAGGAAGAGGTTTCGTTCCGCATCTCTGCGTTGAAGGGATTTTTGCGCTTGTCGGTTCTGCGCGACTTCTTCCAAGACAACGAGATTGGCTTGTTTGTGCAGTATCTCGACGAGATCCTCCTGAAGGAGGAGTCTGTTGGCCGTGACGACCTCAAGAAGGAGGCGATCGTTGCTCTGACGGAAATCTCCAAGCACAAGCCTCGTTTAATCCTGGACATCACGTTCCCTGCGTTTGTGGCCACGCTCCCTGACTTGATCGAAGCGGACAGCGGCTACATGAACACCCTCGACGTGCTTGCAAAGATCAGTGTTGAGAAGGATATTTTTGAGACCCTGGTTCGAAGATTGCTCAGCAAGCTGAGCATTCTGCTGCAACAGGAGCAATCGGGCTCCGTGGAGTACCCACGCGCCATCCTCCTCACTATTCTCTACGTTATGAACCAGAGAAAGATGGAGGAAGACCCGAACCTGGAGTTCTACTATGACAAGATCGTGGTCAGCCTGTGCCGCAGCGCTGCGGTGACTGCTACCTCAACCACGACGTCAAACAACATCCTCCGCGACGCCACCGTCCTTGACATCCTCGGACGCGTCTGCAACCTGCTGGTCCGAGCTCTACCCAGAAACAAGCAGGACGAGATCGCGCAGAATGTCTATACTCTCTTCACATCGGCCGAGGAGTTCCAACCGGTGCCCTTCGCGCCGTCGCCCAGCGCCGACCAGAAGCGTACGATGATCCTGTCGACCTTCATCCTCGCGGGGCTCCCAGCCGACGTGCAGAACCTGCCCTACACCACCAACCCCAACATGTCCGCCCTCCTCACGGACATCGCCACCCGGGCTACTGGCGAGACGGAGCTGGCGACCCAGTATGCCTTCCTGCGGCACCTGGCTCTCCTGGCCAACAAGTTCCTCCCCAAGTCCGACCTCCCGCTCGCGTCGGACCTGTTCTACACCCTCCTGCCTCCCGGCAGCGAAACCAGCGAAGTAGTCCCCGGCACGATCCACGCCGTCTTCTGGCTCTCCAAGGGCCTCATCCTCCGCCTCGCCCCAACGACCACCCAACTCCTCACCTCCCTCCTCACCCTCGTCTCGTCCCCCGACGAAGCAACCAGCCTCACCGCCGCGCGCAGCTTCTCCATCCTCCTCCGGGATGACGAGATCCTCTCCGCCACCAACGGCGCCAACATCCGCCTCCTAAGCAAACAACGCGTCTTCACCACCCTAACCCCACTCATCTCCTCGCGCATACGCGAAGTCAACATCTCCTCTTCCACCTCCAGCCCCCCGCAAGAAACCCAACACATCAAACCCGCCCACCTCACCGCGCTAAGCGGCATCCTCTCGACCATAACCCCAGACCTCGTCCTCCCCGAACTCCCCACCCTCCTCCCGCTCCTCCTCCAATCCCTCGACCTCCAAACCGCAAACTCAACCCCCGTCCGCCTCGCCACCCTCGCCACCCTGGCCGTCATAATCCGCGACAACGGCGTCCCCGTCATCGACAAATGCGGCCACGTCCAGAGCCTCGTCACCCGCCTCCTGGCCACAGCGGCCATCACCCGGGCCAACCACCACCCAAAGCTGCGCGTCGACGCCCTGACCTGCCTGTACCTGCTCGCGCAGGCGCCCACGGACGCCCCCGCACTGGCCCGCGCCGGCCGCCTCTCGCCGCTCCTGGCCGTCAAGAGCCAGGTGGTCCGCGCGCTGCGGGCGGTGCTGGACGATCCGCGCCGGGACGTGCGCAAGGCGGCGGTCGATGCGCGCGCCGCGTGGCTGCGCGGCGTCGATGATGCGCCCGAGGAGGAGGATTGATCCCCCTCTCTCTCTCTTAGTCACAACAGCATTGATGAGGGGGGAGTTGTGCTAGAGTGTATGTTTGTTGATTTGTAGATGTGCGGTTCTAGGTTATAGATTCAGGGGATCGTCTATCTGATCTGACCTGTTGTGTATGTTGTGGTGGGATGGGGAAGGTATACGTTTACAGTATGGTACTGTGCGTGGGACGGATACAGATGCAGATGCAGATAAGGATATACAGGAGTGTTTATAAAAGTGCTTAGAATTTGGGACCTGTCTATAGGGCTCGTGATGGATAATACACTTACACCAGGAATTTAGATGCGAATGGCCCTCGTGAAATCAGGTCTAGTAAGCATAGCTACAGATGATAACTTATAGGCTCCCTTGGACGGTCCAATAGTCAAGGCAGGGTATTGTCTCTGGCCCGATTACCTATTTTGGAACTCCTGAGATAGTAATATGCTGAACTGAAACTTTACGCGCCCATTTGCTCATGAGAAGGACTAAAACAAGCCAATTGGAATTGTAAAATTATGAGATATTATCAAACCGCCCTCCCCCTCATACCATCTACCCAAGCCAACCAACACCCACTGTAGGAACAGGATTGAACCCCAGCCCAACCCCGGCATCCATAAATCTTGAAAATACAGTCTGGCTTCTTCAACTCCCTATCTCCTCTGCCATTACAACTCCCCAGAAACGGACCGTAGGTCATACTCTCAACGTCCTGAATTAAATCAAGCTCCTTACTGATGGCAGAAAATTTCCTCTTCTTAGCCGCCGACACCGTAAAAGACTCAACCCCGTCGAGTGAAGCAAAGGGAGAAGCCATCATGCGCGGTATCGGATGGCACAGCAGGGGAATCAACAGTACATGTAGCCGTGCACTCGAGGTGCCCTCGCCGTCAAATCAGTCTACTGCCCCTGCCATGTACGGAGACACCCTCCCAACAAACAGCCCCTACCACACCTCAAAAAGGAAAGCTCAAAGGTACAGTAGACTACCAATACTCCTGTGGCGAAAAGATATCCACCTGCGCCGGGTACCGGACGACCCCCTTGGAATCCACCCGGACACCTAGAGTATCTTCACTGCTCTGCGAGTCGTCATCCTCACCTCCATATGACATGCCGACCACGCCACGCGCCCGCGCACTGCTGCGGAACGAGGCGGTGGTAGTAAGGGGCTCAATCGGGACGTCCATCCCGGGTCGAGCATTCCAATACCCTACCGCGTCGATGCGCTGGATCACCGTCCTGGCTAGGCGGAGCATATCTCCGAGACCGGCGTGACCGATGGCTTTGGCGACGGCACTGGGAGTCTCGTCTTCAGTCTTGCCCTCGTTCGCAGTTGCGTCACCGATCAAAGCAGCAGCGTCGCGGCCGAACAGGTCAATTCCGCGCCAGTCGGTTGTTGGCTCGCCAACTTCGAGGTCGGCGTTGGAATTGAGAAGAGAGTCGATTGCAGGACTGACCAGGGATACCTCATACCACAGTCGGCCGTTGCTCACCATCTCCGCCGGTGCTGTGGCACGAGCTCGCTTGACTTCTGGCTCATTATAGTGCTTGCCGAAGAGCAGGTCTTGCACTTCAGTGATCTGCAGGAAGATATGGGAAGTGGGATTGATGTCGTCCTCATTGATGGCCTTGTCAGGGCTGGTAGCCACAGTAGCTGAAGCCGGCTCCCGAGTGATACAGGCAGCAGCCTCGTCGCGTTGCAGATGGCGGTGGCGAGTCCAGCGCTTCATGTACATCTTTTCCAGTGTCACTTTATTCTCCATCTCAGTGGGCAGGCGTGTGTAAATGCAAATGAGGTTGCGATCCGGTTCGACCCATATGCTCTTGGCGAGGTGCTGGGCGATCTGTTCAATGTCCGGGTTGCTCTCGCCAACAAATCCCATCACTTGGTTGACCGACATATTGGCATCCCATGTGTAGGCTGGAAAGTGAAAGTTGACCCCTCCTAGTTTCTTTCCAGGCTCCCGAACGCTGTATCCCCCATTTTCGTCGATGACTACCATGTACACTTGATTGGACCGGGTGCGGAGGTGGAATTCGCAGGACACGCCGTAATCCGTGTAATCCTGCTCAAACAGACGAAGTTTGCCATCGGCCTTGGAAGTACGAATGTCCACAATATGGTCAATGTCGGCACCAGAGGTCGTGAGTCGCTTGATGAACTTGGTGGTTGGAGCCGAAAGGCCGGACTGTGGACGAAACAGTTTTTTCCAAGCATCTGCAGTCATGGTTTCTTCTCTGTAGGACTTCGGAAGAAGGGGTACCAGAATCAGACCGAATTGCATCTCGATGTTCATCGCCCCGGGAAAGCATGCTGCCGAGTCGAGGATTGGGATGATAGCATCATAGAGACTTTTCACCTGCCGTTGAATGCTCTCATCTTTCACCGGAGCTGGCTTCGGCACGACCAAGCTTGCAGCTGGTTTCTGACCTTCAGGAGAACTGACAGGTTTTTTCTTCGGCTTGCCGATGCCCCAGGAATCTTCTAGTGTCGCTTGTCTCCTTGCCTTAGCCTCGGCTTTGCTTTTAGCAGTGGTCGCACTCTTAGCAGCCCTGTGCCGTGTGTGGCGAAACTCTCTGGAAGTGACCTCGCTTGAAGACTCCTTCTCCAAGCGCTGTGCTCTTTCCAAATCAGTCACCATAGCCCTCACCCATGCCTCATTTGCTTGACTGCGTGAGGCGGCGGCATTCGGGAGTTCGTCTGCCGTAGGCAGTACTTCAACTGCCGCTGAATTGTTGCTCTGACGCAAAGCATTAAGCCTTGCATCTTGACTCATCAGGTTGCTGCTGCGCCAGGAGGCTGCTTCCCGGCCAGAATCTGAATCGCTGGAATTCAAGAGGTTGCCAACCCCAATAGTCAGCCCGACAAGGTCAGACGTGTTTTTGTCTAGCAGGATTGTGGTTTCGGAGCTGCTGCCGCATGGTGATGATGCTATAGGAAGTAGTGCGGGCTGATCAAAAGAAACAACTTGGGTGCTGGTAGTAGTGCTGACTGGCACGTCGATATCGATCAATTGATTCTGACGGGCGACCTTCCGTAGTGCGGCTGGACCAATGCTGGGATTACCTCGTCTGCCAAAGGACCGTTGTGGCGATGATCTCGCAAGACCGTACTTGGTCGAATCGAACTTTGACGACATACTCCGATTGTCCTCTGAGGACCGCGCTTGGGCCCGAGGTTGAGACTGGGAGTTAGGTACCTTAGCCTCCATCTTGACGCTCTGCAAGTCCTGGTCCCCATTTTTGACATCATACTGCATAACCCAGCGTCTACGGAGTGACAGATCGGTTCCCTCCGGATCTGGAGATGTAGGTTTTGGTGATCTGGGTTCAGCCGGTGGAAGAGTTGTCGTAGAAGCTGGTTTGGTTTCAGGGAGTGAGGGAGCGGCCTGTGCTTTCTGCTTGATACTGGCTGGAGCGACCCTGCGCACTTTCACACCGGCCGGTCTCTGAAGCCCAGGTGCTTCGAGGCCGTCGCGTGGTGTACGGGCAGGAATCTTGGGAACAGGAGCTTGGAGAGTCGGGACTGGACCCTGAGTACTAAGAGTCTGGTTGATGCTAGGAGCCACGGATTCCTGCTCAGGGATATCCTTCTCCACTCGCGCCCCTTCAACAACCCACTGGTTCACCTGCTTCGCCTTCTCGACAGTCAAGTAAGGGTGCAGCGAGGGTGGGACAGCTATGGTCATCACATCGGTTCTCGGGATAGCGCTTTCAGCCATTTCATACACCGTATCGTATCCCTCATCGCTACCAAGCGGCTGGAAGGTGAAATCATTCCAGATGCGAGATTTTCCAGGGTCGTAAACAAGATGAGGCGGGTTCGCCAGATTGGGAGGTAGTTTCAACGCGTGAGTTTCTCCGTCGATCGCATATTGTATTGAAACATACATATCACCAGGATCGAGGCGTGGGTCTAGAGTCAGGTCTGCTAGAACTCGACGCTCCGCAATCGGGTTCAAGGTGTTGCACTTCACGAGGCGATAGCGCAACGCATCGTCTTCCGGCGACACAAGGACGTTGGTCGTGATAGGACGCTGAACACATGCCTAGCACACCAGTGAGCCAGTGCTGCTTCGAGATGTCAAGAAATGGACCTACCAATGGCCTCTCAACTCGAGTAAGCTTAGTCAGGGCGTCATCTACATCCACTTCACTGGTACCCGTGACTTGGATTCCCTTGGTATCGTCGAGCATAGTGATCTCGGTTGAAGTGAGGTCGGCAATGCTAGCCAGTAGTTTCCTGGATTCGAAGGAGAAGCATCCCACCCCGCCATTCGGCGAGAGCCAGAGTTTGGTGATATGGATAGATGAGGTAGGGATCAGTTCGCAGCCATCCTCCAGGCATGGGTTCATTTCATCCTCATTGCCGAGGTTTTGGAGACTAGATGTCATATCTAATTGGTAAATGCGCGGTTCCTGCATCGAGTTCATGGGATTAGTAGATGAGTCGGTCAAACGGCCAAGATGACAGGAAATAGAAAGGGTCAGGCTCTAACATCAAGTAGATCTTTGTATTCGTTCCCAGAAATGGTGTTGGAAACAATCTCAGCGACCTGTTTTGCGTGTTGTTCCCCAAGACCTTCGACTGAGATGACCTTGAAGGGTGAATAGGTCAGCGAAGTTTGGACAAAGGGATGTGACAAGGGAAGCTTGCATTGTAAAGCTTAACATATTCAATATTGCAGTCATGTTGCGAAGTCGCAGCCCTGACAGAGCTAAGTCAATAAAGCTGAGCCAGAAAACTGATTGACGGCACGCCATACTTGATCTCTTCACTAACTTCCCGAATCTGAATCAGATTGTCAGATTGGCATAGTCTTTCTTGTGAATGCGACAAGTACTTACACCAATGGGCTCAAAGCCCCATGTAGAGGCGAGCACCAGACGCTGTTCCATTTCGGCAAATTGCACTTCAACGACGGCGAGGAGGGAGGGCGGCGGGCGACGGGCGACAACAGAACGCGGCCCCAAGGCAGCTCTTGGCCTAAGTGATGGTTTACAAAACCGATTTATGAAGATTGTTGCTGCCAAACTCCGAGGAAGGGTATCGCGTAATGGAATCAATAATGTGATAGTAAGAAGAACATGGGATGAGGTAGATGGGAAAAGAGAAGATGGTGGAGCGTGGGAAGAGGGAGGAAGGAGGGAGGAAGGGAAGGGTAGTAGCAACAAACAGTGTTGGTCTGAGGGACAACATACTATACCCCAGATAACCGTGAACTCCAGGTGACAACCGGTCAAGTACATACGATGGCACTGCACGATGACGGTGCGTGATGGCAGTGTGCGAAGACAGTATGTGAAGACGGCGTACAAAGACACTGTACAAAGACAGTGCAATCAAACAGAAAGCGGATCAATGCAGCCAACGGTTACTCCTTTACTTCCTTGCCATCGAGCAACCAAACGGTTTGTCATTCTCAAAAGTGCAAGTTGGCACATATTAGCGTAATGTTGCATATGTATCTATCAAAGTATACTGAAGTATATTGTGTCTGGACAGCACTGTACGTTGAACAAGATAGTGACAAGTAGGGACATGACGGTCTATGTTTCCCAGGGTATCAAGCACTCCCAAACTCCTTATATCTCCCAGAGATATGCCAGGGAGCAAATATGAATAAAATAACAGTGGGTAAGAAACAGATAAAATGAAGGTTGGAGATGAAATGGGAAGAATGAAGAGTACAAGAATGGAATGCAGAATATGCATGATATCATGGTCCCTGATCACGACGACTGCCATGTTGATGTAGCGGATGAAAAGGTTTCCATTGGGATGCTGCTGGATTGCAGGCTCGAGATCTTCCACGATCAAGGTGGTCAACGTGCCCGCCGTTGACTTGAGCCTGGCAATCGAAGGGGCCCATGGCAGTAAATATTGCTTAGACCGTCATAGACTTGGGGATATTCATTGGGCGTCTTTGACTTGCTGCTTGAGTTGAATGATCCACTTCATCGTTCCTTCGGTCTCTTTCAGCGAAGTCAGGGCGGCGTCGATCTTGGCATCGCCTTGCCGGCCCGACTCAATCAGCGTTCGGAGATCTTCGTCTTGCGCCCGCTTGTAGGTCTGGAAGTTGGCGTATAGCAGGTCGAATCGGTCTCGGTTGAGCTCAATCTCCCGGTCCTTCTCGGCCATGATTGCATCCAAGCGCTCCAACTTGGTGTTCTTGTCGTCGAACTGCTTCTTCATGGTCGTGATATCATCCCTGATCGACTTGAGCCGTCTCTGCTGCTCCGCTCGTTCCCGGTGTGCCGATTTGGCCAGAACATCGTACTGGGTTCGCGAATGATTGGAGATCTCCTGCAACTCGGCGCATTTGCGGTGGAAATCGTCGCGGGCGACCCCCATCAGTTGGTTGACTTTCTTGGCCTCGCCCTCCGCCTGAACCCTCCGGTCCTTCTCGGTCTGCACCTCCGCACGTAGCTCATCGATCTTCTTGTCTTTCCGCACGATCGAATGGAGGTTCGTCTCGTTCGCTTGCTCGAGGTTCCGGAGACGTTCGGTCATGTTCTGGACCTGAACCTTGAAGGCATCGTTCATGCGCTGCGTCTCTTCGGCGCGGGAGCGATAGAGACTACACTCCCGGGTCAAGCGCGCGACTTCTTCTTGGAGGTTATGGATAACGCGCCCGGACTTGCCCGTGGCCGCATGACCGACAGCCGACGACCATTCAGTTGCCGGAGGATCTTGGTTGGTATCGTGGTTCGCGACGCCGTTGGTGCCGCTGGGGGACGTGGGTCTCACGGGTTCTGTTTCGCAATACACATGAGCAAACTATGGGAAACGATGCGCCGTGGGAGGGTCTTTCCAGCCGACGCTGGGTCGCAAATCCACACGGAGGCAAAACGTACCTGGCGAGGAAGGGGCGGGCGGAGCCCCATTCAGCTGGTCGGGGTTCGAGATTTCATTGAAGAGTCCATTGTATTGATGCATATTCAACTGCGTTTCCACATGGGGAAGGCTGACACGAGGCGCTCGACGAGGATCTGACGTAGGCAGCGAAAGCATGTCCGGGTCAGCATGGTTGGTTCCTGGCTTGGGTGACTTCTTGCCCCGACCGAATCGGGCCATTCCGACCATAACGGGGAATGGGTGGAATGTTCAATCTGTTTGGGTTTGGGGATGAAGGTGAAAGCGCCGCAATTGGCAAAGGTGCAGGTGAGAAGAGCGGAGCAGGAATCCAAAGCAGGAACCTGCCCCAGAGGAGGAAGAGGAAGCAGGCGTTTTGTTTTGTTGGGCTGCAGTAAGGGGAAGAGTTCAGTTTGACAACCAGTCCGGCCCCGAACCTGACCTGTAAACACAACCAAACGCAGCTGACAGCGCACACCCACACGGAGGAATCAACAAAGCAATTGTTGGAAGGGGCGGAAGTGGCAGGGAAAGGGGACGGACGAATGGTGCGGACGACGATTGAATGGCGACACAAGATGAAAGAAGGGGGAGAGCAGAAAAGCACATACCACGAAGTGGATCAAGGCTTGATTGCAGGAGATCTGCAGCAGGAACAGTGAAATGATGGTCAGTCTGATGCTTATTCATCGCCGAGACATCACAAATAATCTCCGAAGGGGGGGGGGAGTTGCGGGTGGTGGACGAGGGGTTGCTGAAGGGGTTGCTGGAGGAAGGTGAAGAGATGCAGCAGAAAAATCGATCGATGAAGTAAATTGCTTCCCAAAACATACCGTCACTGTCCAAGCACCACAACGTGGGGTGGCGCCAGCACAAACTGGGCTGATTAATCTGAAGATCCTGGCAGGTCCGGTAAGAATAGGCACTGAGGAAGAAATGATCCTAAAGTTGGTAAAACTGGTAGTTCAAAATATCCAAGATGAAAGAAAGGAAGACAGGAAGAAAAGATGAAGAGGCAGAAGAGGAAAAGGAAGGAAAAGAGTGAGTGTGTGAGAGAGAGTGTAGTCTTATTCAAAGAAAAGACAGTAGCCAGCAGGAAATGATAGATAATGAATGACTGGTAACAAACAATTACTGAATAATATGATCGATCTGCTGTCAAGCTTGAACTCTCTTAACTCTTTTGCCGCCACTAACCAACTCAACTGGTCAAACACCCAATCCTTTGTCTTCCTTTTGGTCCGCCTGAACTACCGTTCGGAACTGTCATCTACAAACAAGTATGGAGTACAGTACAATTCAGTCCTGTCAGATTGTTTATTAATAGCAGTAGCGGCAGCACTGTGGATTACTCAATCTGATCACACAAAACTCGAGCACTGTGAAGGCGTCTTGACTGATCTGCAAGCCCAGTCCCGAGAAAAGGATTGTGGCTCGCCCTCGGCCCGACCCCTGTAGTGTCTGGAGAGAAGATATATATATACACAACAGAAGAGAAAGAGAAGCGAAAATGAAAACCTCAACCAACGCCTGTCGCCCAGAGCAATCCCAGCACCGCTCGGTCTCATGCGAGTTGATCTGAAGAAGAACGATAAACCTAGACACGCACGAACCAAGTTCTGACAACCAAGTAAGACCAAGTTCAATGTTTGCCAAGCATTACCGGGAAGTTCGTCCAAGTCTACTAGACGAGGTAAGCCACCATGGCAAGAGCACCCAACATGAAACCCATCCCCGTCGCGCGAACAGAGGCAGCACCACTCTGCATATAGGCAGCCATAGCAGTCTTGCTGTTGGCGGCCCCGGCTGCGTTCGCACTGGGGTCGTTGGCGGCATTGACGGTGAAAGTCTGGCCATCATTGCCCTTCTGGACTGTCTGCATCTCATCGTGAGGGGCTGTGTCGGTAGGGTATGCAGTTGCAATTGGAGTGGCAGGGCTAGGAGCTGGAGGGATCACTGAGGCTACCAGCACCGTTGGGCTGGGTTTGAGGACTGGGGTAGACGCGGCCTTGGTCGCTGGGCTTGCTGGAACCCCACCGGTGACCTGTAAAAGCCCCGAGTAGTTCACATAGCCGTTCTGCTGGATCTGGAAGGCATAGTCGTCGCCGTTCTCTATCGTGGAGTCCGGAATCCAGGTGAAGGAGCCTCCCTGGGCGTTGCTTGCCAGGGTCTGGACGGTGTCCAGGTTCTGAGAATTGCCCTTCCGCAGTGTGACGGTCACGGGCTAGATTGGGCGTTAGCGAATGGAACGCAGCATCAAGGAGGAGTGGTAGCAGCATACAGCATCCGAGTCCGTCTGCCAATTCAGAGTGGTAGGCTGGCCAGCACGAATGACCGAGGGCCATTGGGTGAAAGACAAAGCTGCTTCGGCAATCCCGATCTGAGCCAGGCATGCAAAGGCCGCAGCAAGAGAGCTTGACGCGCGCATCTTGATATCGAGTCGTGATGGACTGGTATGAGAAAGATGGTTCTTCACGTGTGGAGTGTCTTGGACTGCAGGTTTCTTGCTGCAAAGAGATTCTTGGGATGCAGAGTGATATCAAAGAAACCTGACCGACTCTTGTGGACCTGCTAGATATCGAAAGACACAGACTATGCCTTCTTCGCTGTGGTTAGTATCGAAACAACAATACGTACCTCGTTGACTTGTCGGACCCAGGACTGGCGCGAAGTATCTGTGGTCGAGTGGGAAGGCGAGAGCAAGGTAGAAAAAGAAAGCCCGTGAGAAGGCTTGAGGCAGAAGATAGCTCTTTATTGGCGACCAAAACAACGCGTTGCCAAACAATCGATCTGCCTGAATGCCAATGGAGGCGAAAGGGCGCACATGCCGGGCTTGTTTTGTAGCATTCCTGGGGGAGGGTTTGTACTTGGCATGAGTACAACAACAAGCTGGGGAATGACTGAGCAGCAGAACTCCAAGCTCTACCGCTCGCTCGTGGCTTTACGGGTGGCGCTCAGGAGAGTTGCCTAAGAGAGTGAGTTCATCATAATGATTTCGACTCATGCTATACTGCCGGCATATCAGCAGAGCAGCAGTGCTGGGAGTAGCTGTTCGTGATCATCCAGGTGCTGGCTGAGTGTGTGGTTCGTTCTCTCAGAATGGTCCCTTGGATCGACCAGGAATGCAAGACCTGCTGCATGGCTCGTGATGATCCAGAGGAAGCACAGCGATGAGAGAGAGGTCGAGAGTCTCATTTCGCCCTGAACGAGAATTAAAGGGCCGTCCATGGCATGAGCACCATATCCTTGTGGCACGTCAGAGCAATAGGGTCCTGAGCGAACCGCTCCCTCCCTTCAGACACCTTGATAGAAGGTAAAAAGCTCGTCAAATTACCGAACACTACTTCGGGTATCCATTGTTTTGGTTTTCCACCTTGGGGAAAAATGTCAGTGCGGATGGACGGTTTTTACCTGCAAGGGGCAACACAGGACAGGAGTGGACGCAGCCGATCAACCCCATATTCGCCACGATCGAGCCCATCCTCACTCGTCTTACTCCTGGCCGATCATCGCCGCTGATGAAATCACCCACCCGATTAGCGAGTATGTGGTTCATGCAGGCCCGATCCTCTATACCAAGTCTTGGCGCATCGACAGCCGCCCCCCCCCCCCAAAGACGGATTGCCGTTCAGACACAGGACGTTTACGGCCTCACCTCAGAGGAACAGACACCGCAGACCCAAACTCTCGCTTTGCCGACTCCTCGACCAAGCCAGACTTGTTGCGGAATCGCTCGCGCACGATCGGGACGGTTCAAGAATCGCAACGGTGACATCTGCCCCGAACCTCCCGATGCCGGCTGCCGATTACCGAATGCGGAGATGCAGAGGACCTCACCTCCAGCACGCATTGCACGGGTCGACTGCCAAAGTTAATCGGCTCTTCATCCCGGTGCAAGCTCACCAAGCTTCACGGATATGGGTCCAGTGACCGGATGCATCACTGGGTCTCTTCTCACGGAGGTTACTGTTGCTTTCCGAGTGCCCACTGCACCCTGGTCTGTTCCTTCCACGATGGGGACGAGCACAGAGAAAGAAAAGGACGACACCAGCCCAGATGGCGGATGCTGTCATCATGTTCTCTTCTTACTCTCTCTCCCTCTCGCTATTTCACAATCAACTATCATTCTTACCACTAAACCTTACCAATGGCATAAAAAAGCTGTCGCGTCACTCGTTAAGTTACCATCAGCCACGCTCGTTTCCACACCCTCATAACCTCGTCTGTCGCTACCACCAGACCCAGCTTAACTTCGACCCATCCTTCCATAACATAGAAACCAACGTCAAAAAAAATACCAGCATCTGGAATGTTACACGCAGGCATATCCGCGATACCAGTGCCCGGTGCATCAATATCCTCAGCCTCACCAGCAACCCTAACCCACACGCCCGAGACAACAACAACAACAGAAACCACCCCAACAACCCAGACCCCCCAACGCTTCTACCGCCTCAAAAACCAAGAACCGACCACTACTCCCCCCACCGCGAATCCCCCCACCACCCCCGCGCACCTAATCGAAACCACGCGCCGCACCGCGCTCTACACGCTCACCCTGTGCCGCAACGTCATCACGATCCTGGAGTTAACGCGGCTCCGCAAATCCCGGATCGGCTTGCTGCACTGGCTCGAGTTCTGGAACCGGTACTACGGACGGCGGTTCGGGCGGGCGCTGGCCGCGCACGTCACGCAGGCGCTGGGCCGCGTGGACGCGCTGTTCCGGGGCGTGGCGGCGGACCTGCACCAGCTGACGCAGCGGGTGCAGCACGCGGTGGCGACGGCGCTGCACACGGAGCACGAGATTCTGGGGCTACTCGAGCGCATGGAGGACGAGGTCGGGGTGCGGCGCCGGCGGCGCCGGAAGAAGGCCCAGGCCATTCTGGGCGGCATGCGCGCGCGGCTCGAGGCCATCCCCGTCAAGGTGAGCGATGAGTTGCTGGATGATCTCAAGCGCGGCGTGTTTGCGTTGGATGTCTATTGTGATTATTATCCTGGCGATGAAGGGACCGGGGTGGTAGGGTCTTCGGCTGGGGTTGGAGGGGAGGATGGGCGTCGTGGTGGTGGTGGTGGTGGTGCGTGGACGGAGACGCGGTATATCACGCGCAGGCCGGTGAGTACGTTGGCCGTGTCGGGGACGCTGGGTTGGTCCTCGTCCTCGTCCGGGTCTGGGTCCGCGGCGAATGGGGCCTGGATGTCGTTGTCGATGCCGGTGCATCTTCCTGACAGGTTTGATCGTCGGCTTGGTCATTCTGCCCATTGAAAATGCTCTCGCCTTTCCTTTCTTTTCTCGAACTCATAGACTTTTGATTTTTTTTTTTTTACCCTGGAGCTTCCTTCCCCGGTTAGGAGGGCAGATACCACCACCACACTCCTTCGTGCAAATCATGCTAGTGAGAATGCGGATGTAGTTGGTTAGATAGAATAGGATAGAATTAGCAATTGCTCACTTTTGCCCCGCCCAAGGTATGGCGCCCAACTACACTCCTTAAATTTCTTGGGTGATTGGGAAATATGGATAGTGATATATATCGAATTATGTACAGAAGGTTAGTGATATATTGCTTTTAGTCGTAACCGCCCCGCGCCACTTTCTCCCCACGCTATGCAAACTCCCAGAGCCCTCGGAGCAAGCTGCCCGGCGCGGTATCCTCGCCGCCGTCCTCCTCCAGCAGACGGTCGGTGAAGATTCGGCGGGGGATCTGGTACTCGACGACGGGGATGCGCTTGAACGGCTTGTCCTCGGAGCCCAGCTCGGCCTGCAGCATGCCCTGGTAGGTGTAGTCGAGGAAGTCCTCGAGGTGGTAGAACTGCTTGGTGAACTGCTCGGCGAGGATGCGGACGATGGCGGCGACGTTGGGGTGGTAGTGCGACTGCAGGGTCTCGAGCTCCCACAGACTGCTGTCGAGGGCGCCGGAGCGGACGGGGTCGGGCTCGCGCGGGTCGTAGGGGTCGTCCATGCCGCGGGCGGCGAGGAGGGCCTGGCGGTCGGCGTCGCGGATGGGGCGGTGCAGCATGAAGGCGCAGGTGGGGTGCTCCTTGAGCAGGTTGTAGACGAAGGGGGCGATGGCGACGATGGCCGGGGGCGGGGCGTTGAGGGCGAGGCGCGCGAGGCGCTTGATGAAGCTGGCGATGAGGGCGGCGGGGAGATGCGTCGAGGCGAGGAAGGTGTTCATCAGGCGGAAGAAGCGCGACCGGTGCTTTGAGTGCAGCAGGTCCGCGTCCAGCAGCGAGTACAGCTTCGGGTAGAACTGCGGGTAGTCCAGGTTCTTCTCCTGGATCAGGTAGAACAGCCCGGACAGCGCCAACAGCGACGTCGCCCCGCCCACGTTGTAGGAGTCCGTCAGGAAGTCCATCAGCAGCTCCGGCCGCAGGAACCACGGCTCGATGTTGTGCACCATGATCCGCAGCAGATGCTTGCGCTGCGCGTCCGACAGGGTGTTGCGCAGGATCGCCAGCCAGGCCTCCTGCGCGTGCTTCTTGTGCGACTTCGCCGACACCACCCGCTTGTTGTTCTTGCTGGTTTTCGTGTAGAAGCTCTCGAACTCGTGCTCGGGCGTGGGTATCGAGTCGCAGGCCGACAGGATGGTGATCAATGTGTCGATGGTTGCGGAGCTGCGTGGCGTGCTTGCGTATTCACTTGAGACCAGGCGTTAGCTTGATGAGAACGTGCATTGAACGAGATTGACATACGAGATCTGTATGAAGGTATAGTAGCGCACGTCCTCGAACTCCTTGGCCTTCTCGATGAACTCGGACAGGACCGCCTGGCCATTGTTGGCCTCCACAACCGCTTCCACGACATTCTTGAAAAGACCCGTCAACCAGATACCCTCTTCTCCGGGAAGATGTGTGGCGCGCTCGTTGACAATGCAGAGACACAAGGTTAAGGCGGTGATCTATTCGACCGACGGTTAGTCTACCTCTGCCCGTGTTGAAGATGGCATCGCAGGAACGAACCTGAGACGAGGGATCGCTCTCGCGAATGATAGAGAGCAGAGCCTTCTGATATTCCTTGAGACGCTCCTTCAACCACGCAACAATGATCTTTTCGTTCTCGGCGGCCCGGCTCGACTCGGTCAAGTTTCCTCCCGCGATCAATCGGCTGAATACACGACACAGAGCCAACGCGGCGGGGACATTCGGTTTATTGGCAGACCCTTGGGTGGTGAGCATGGAAATCAGGGTTGCGATATTGTTGTAGTGCTTTCGCGATTCGGAGATTTGGTCTTCCAGCCGTTGGATGTCGGCCGTCGCATCGGCGGACTCAGTGTCCGCGACGGCACGGCGTTTCGACGAAGGCACGCCGCTCTCTTTGACATTCTTTCTTTTCTTGGAGGCCGGAGCCATGGCGATCGGGGCAGGCATCGTGGACCGAATCGAATCGACAAATCGCAAAACCGGCGTAAATGGAGGAGCGCTAGCTAGTCCACCGCAGGGCCACTTTTTTTTGGGGGGGAGGGATAAGAGAAAGAGAGAATCCCTCCTCCTCGGTTAGGCGGTTTCTCCGGCCCACGACACCAGGCCCAAAGGGGTTTAGTGTCTTCCGCACCGCCCAAACCGCCATCCCGAACCTCACTCAGTCTCCTCATTTCCGTTCCAAACCCATCCACACCCTGTCACGGTTCCTGTCCATCGCTACAATGGCTTCGCGTTTGGCTAAGAGCACCCTCGGTATGCCCGCTCTTGCTCTCACTTACAACACCCACTTGACATTGGTCATTAACCCCCCTCGCTAGGTGCCGCCCGGTTGCGGCCGACCCTTCCCTCGCGCAATGTCGCTCCCATCACGGCCACTTTGACCGCGTCCCGGTCGGTCTCCAGCGTCCCTACTGAGGACCCCAGGAAGAAGGCTCAGTCCATCCTCGATGCTCTCCCCGGCAACTCCCTGGTCTCCAAGACTGCCACGCTCTCCGCCGCCGCCGGTCTGTCCATCGCCGCCATCAGCAACGAGCTCTACGTGATGAACGAGGAAACCGTTGCTGCGTTCTGTCTGCTCAGCGTCTTCACTGCCGTCTTCAAGTACGGTGGTCCCGCTTACCGCGAGTGGGCTGAGGGCCAGGTCCAGAAGCACAAGGACATCCTCAACGCTGCCCGTGCCGACCACACCAGCGCCGTCAAGCAGCGTATGGAGAACGTCAAGGAGCTGTCCGGTGTCGTTGAGGTCACCAAGCAGCTCTTTGCTGTTTCCAAGGTACGCCTTTTTATATATCTCTGGCATCGAGTCTGGGAGGGGCCGTTGCTAACGATGACGTAGGAAACCGCCCAGCTTGAGGCCAAGGCCTACGAGCTCGAGCAGCGCACTGCTCTGGCCACCGAGGCCAAGCAGGTCCTCGACTCGTGGGTCCGCTACGAGGGTCAGGTCAAGCAGCGCCAGCAGCGCGAGCTTGCTGACAGCGTCATCGCCAAGATCCACAAGGAGCTCGAGAACCCCAAGGTTCTTCAGCAGATCCTCCAGCAGAGCGTTGCTGATGTCGAGCGTAAGTTAGATGATTGTAGGTGCTACTGCGAGATGCTAACTTGGGATCCAGGCATCATGTCCTCCAAGGCCCAGTAAACGAACTCTGCATGGATAGCTTTGCTATAAGAATCATGTACAAATTAAAGATCATTTCTGTTATCAGTTAGAAATACCAAGTACCACTGGTCGAGAGTCCCGGTATGCCTGTAAGAGCTTACGAGAGCTTCGACTTCAGCATTAATCCCTTTTTCTTTGGCAATTGGAGGGCGCTGGATTGTAGTTGTACCTGTAACCTCACCGCCATGACACCGAGTAGCCTAAGTAGGAGCTTTGCCTGCTATTGCACTTCTCTACATATTCCTCTGACTTGCAGCGATAGACTTCTAGGCTAACTATAATATATGGAGTGATCGAATTACACTCGAGCCCATGACGAATGCACAATGACTTAGCAGGGGTGTTGTGGACCAAACGCCACGCCACGCCACGTACAAGCACTGCCATCACCGTCTCACCTCCCGCTGTCCTTGTGTATTCAATATATGACAAAAGCAATCAAAGCGCGATGAAAGAAATTGCCGCCAAGCCGACAGCCGGGGGAGAAATGCTCCAAGCCTCCAACCATGGTTTGCGGTTGGGCCGGGGATAAAAACTCCCCTTATAACCACCAGGTGTTATTATCATTATTATTATTATCGATTCGATGGATAGATTTGGTTTGATGGCGAGAACCGAGTTTCTTTTCTGCACCCTTTTAACAAACAAACACGCACACAGCCTTCGAACCCGAACCCCCCAGTCCAGCCCAGCCCAGCCCAGCGCTTATTATTCTGATTCTTGGTATGCCGGCCGCCCGCGCACCCCGACCGAAGTGAAGTAAGAGGGAAGAGGGAAGAAGAGAATAGGCTGGCAGTGAATCTGACCTGATGAACTTAACTTCGACTACTCCTACCCCTGCTTTTGCTGCGACTCCAACTACCACTACCACTACTACTACTACGACGTATAACTTCCAATCTCATCGTGCCTGCTACTTCCCCAGTTCTGCCTCCCAAATTCCTTTCCCCCTTCCAAAACCCCAAGGGGAAATCCTAACCGGCAAACAGAAACCGTCTCCGTCTCCACTTTTCCCATTCCTCCGCCGATAAGCCGTATACTTCCGTGGCTCTGCCCCCGGGGTCTGCGCAACAATGCCACTTCGCGACAAGCTCCAACGTCATAAGGAGTCCCAATCCCTCACCACCAACACCTACACCACCTCTACAGACCAGGATGGCTCCACCACAGCTGCTGGAGGGATGGCACCCACGACGCCCGTGAGCAGCCACAATCCCACCGTCCCGCAATTCACCTTCATCCGCACCGACACCACCACCCAAGAAGTGATCCGCCCGCCCGTCTTCGAGGGGGACGCCCCGGACCCTGCACCACCACCAACAGAATCACTCTCTCCGCCGTCCTCGCACCACCGCAAATCCCTCAACCCCTTCCGTCGGTCGCGAGCGCCCTCACAATCCTCAGGCGTGACGTCCCCGCCGCGAGCCCGGGGCGAAGGCCGGCTGTCGCATCTGCTGCATCTGGACCGCAGCGGTGGTGGAGGTGGTGGTGGTGGTGGTAGCGGTGGCGGCGGGTGGTCACGGAGTTCGAGCTCCTCGTCCGTGAACATCCCACCCGACCTTCCGCGGATTATCACCAGTGGTGGTGGGAAGGGGGGCGATACCGCTGCGGCGCGGGAGGATGTGGAGGCCGAGTGGGAGCGGCGGGCGACGGTGCTGGTGCAACGGAATCCGCAGTTCGCGGCGTGTCTGTCGCCGACGGGGTCCACGGCGCCCACGGGGTTTGGGATGGACGGGGCGGTGGCGTCGCGGTCGCGGAGTTCGAGTTGCAGTCGGATTAATGATCCGGATGGGGATGTGAGTTTTCTTTTTGGTTGGGAGGAGCAGGGGTTGTGTGGCTGACGCGGCGGGCGAGAATAGGTTAATATCCAGGCGGCGATTCGGCTTCATGAGGCTGGAGGTATGTCTTGGTCCTTCGGGAGATGCTTCAGGAGTGTTTTCCTCGTTGCTAATGTTGTGTGCTGTGCGTGATGTCAGATCTGGAACGATCCACCGAGATGTTTGGTCGCTTAGCCGATCCCGAAGGGGCCAACAATGCGCTCAGCCAAGTGCTCTATGGGCTTGCACTTCGGTAAGACCTGACTACGGTTGCGAGCTAGCGCAGTGATACGGACTGACACCGTCCTTAGACATGGCTGGGGATGCGCGCCAGACCAGGACAAGGCGATCACGTATCTTTCGGCCGCGGCGGCCAATTCGGCCTCGGTCGAGTCCGAGGCGCTCCAGGCCGGCATCAAGAAAGGGGGCGCGGCCAAGGGCGAGCTGACGCTGGCGATCTTCGAGCTGGCCAACTGCTTCCGGAATGGTTGGGGCGTCAAGAAGGACCCTGTCGCGGCACGACAGTACTACGAGACGGCCGCCAACCTCGGCGATACGGACGCGATGAACGAGGTTGCTTGGTGCTACCTGGAAGGGTTCGGAGGGAAGAAGGACAAAGTAAGCCTTGGGTCTGCTCGGGCATCAAGATTTTGAGGCTCGGTCGCATCACTGCTAGGGAAGTAAAAACTAATTTGGGGACATAGTTCGCGGCCGCCAGATACTATCGATTGGCAGAGGAGAAAGGGAGCAAGATCATGGGCAATTCTTGGTAGGTTCTGCAGTGACCTTCATCACCTGCAGCGAACGGGGGGGGGATGGGGATTGATAGGCGCTCGTGGAGTTTTGGCCGGGACGCTTCCAGCCAACCAACGGCCCGTTCCCCTCTTTTTGCACTACACTACCGAGCGAAGTACTCAGGCTGACATGACGTTTTTGATGGATGACAGGATCTGGAAGGACAAGTACAGCCCGCATTGAATGTGTCGTTGATGGTAAATTTGGACCGATGACGACGGTCTGGCCCCCGTCCACGATCCGGCTCTAGGTTTGGTGGAGCTGAGCTGAGCTGAGCCGAACATGAATGAACAATTGATACCCCAGCAACAAGGCTGAGACTGAGACCGTCTCTCTCGGTAGCAGGCGTTAAGACCGTGCCGTCCCATGCCGCCTCACATGTTGACGTTGGGGACACAGACCTTGCAGATAGAAAGACCTAGACTTGGCGGTTATGGCCTCTTCACGTCATCTTCTCCTCGGGACTCACTACTAGACTACTGTTACTGCTGTAATCACACAATTAGCCAGTCTAGAACAGTAGATAATGAATCCAGTCATCCAATTTAACACAAAGAATTAGACCTATTCACAAGACGTCAATTCAGTGTCAACTTCCCGTCAGCCTCATTCCGGACCTCTAATCCCTAGCCTCCTCGGGAGATACACTCCCATTCTGTAGGTGTAAGCCCTAGGGCCGTGGACTTCCTGCCCATAGGCAATGATAACCAGACCCCGGAAGCAATATGTCTTTAAAGAAGGGTATACTTAACCCATCCACCCCGATGCCATATCATCTATTTTAAAATAGCCTAGATCTACCGTGACAATAGACAATAGCCAGCGCTATAGATCCAACAACCCTCACCACGCTAGAGTAAAATGAAGGAAAGCAAAGCAAAGCAAAGCAAGGAACGTACCTACCGATCTACTGCTATACACCAGACATATCCACCCCTCCTCCCCCAGTGACAAGACATACCGTACTATACTACACTGTACATGAACGCATCCCATCCACCGTGCATCCAATGCAAGCACAAACATACACATACATCAATACATACATGCATACATGCATGCATGCACTTAATAACACTACATCCATTGACCCAGCCACTCCCCTAGCATCAATCCTCTAACCGACTCACACTGTGTCTCTACTACCAGTACCGTCCCGTACCGTCCCTCCCTCGCCCGGATTCAAGCTGGGTGGGCTGTGTTGTGTTGTTACTCGACCGGTTATAGAGGAACTTTAGAAATGAGAGAATGGATCACAGAGTGAAATCCCTCCCTCCCATGTCAAAAGAAACTCCAAACTAACACCATCGAACGAGCACCGGCATCCCCAGACTCAAACCAGTCAACTTACCGACCTACCCTACCTATACGTATCGTACAAAGGCAAGTATCAGTCCTCTGTCACTCCCCAGCCCCCCCCCCCCCCCCCCCTATCAAGGGAAGGCGGGAAACTACCCAGCCCATCTTTCGTCTAGCATAGAACAAATCCCGAATGCCAGGGTTTGAGGGGGGGAGGGTCCTGAGGTTGAGGTTGAGGTTTGGGGAGGGAAAGGTACGGGTTTAACTAGGTGACTTAGGTAGGTAGGTAGGTAGGTAGGTAAGCAGCCAGGTAGGTACTGCCCCTACAGCCCGTAATCCATGCATGTCCAGCCAGACTACTTAAGTATACAGTACATACAGTGACAGTACTAAATCTATACAGCGAGCCAAGAGCAAGTATGCTCGGGATCCTTCATTCTAATCCTGAATTTCGAAGCGAGGCAGTGCCTTACTTCTCCTCGAATCCTCACGGACCAGCTACAGGTCTTACAGTCTTTCTAACCAACAACCTACGAAACACAAGATTCTAAAATCCCCAAATTCATCCCCAATGCATTTGTCAGAGCAGATCTTAGATACACCACCGCCACCCACACCGGAAAATGCACAGATGCAGACAAAAGAGACGAGTGTATGCAATTCTGTAGCAAATGAGTGAATCTTATCGGGTCGACTTCCACCACAACATGCTACCACCACCAAAACCACCACCAGCATCATCCAACTGCTGCAGTCAGTTGGTTGATCACCAGTGATCAGGTGTGAGTAGTCATAGTCAGGTGGAAAACTCCCGCCAGCAACCTGCACCGTATTAACGCATGCAGATGCTCCAAGAAAGAAAAATAAACCTGTCTGACAAACGAGAATGAGAAAGAAAGTCGGAGCTTCCCTGGGGGAAACTCCACAAAATCCAGAACCAGAAACAAAACCATCCCCAAAACCATCATCATCATCATCGTAAACATTAAACCATCCCGCCCAAAAACATAACATAGCATCGTATCGTAACACATTATCATAAACATAAAGCTGCCGCCAGGCTCCCAGCCCAGTATCCTCGCAATGCAAAAGAAACAAAAAAAGCCACAACGAAAAGCCAGATCAAAAGCGCTGCGCTAGAGCATCTCAAAGTCAAAGTCAACGTCAAGTTGCCGTCCCGTTTGTACTGTTGTTCCCATCATCTGTTTGTTTGTTCGTCGGAGATAAACACAGTAGAGGTCCTCTGCGTATTCCCGTAAAAGTGTGTGTGTGCACGAATTCCAAGGTAGGCTGCCACCACCAACCTTGGGGAAAATGTTCTGGATCAAAGCGAATGTGCAAGAAGAACAGTCTCGCCGAAGTCGTGTAAGAATGTACACGAATGCAAGGTAAGCCCCGTATTTGCCACCCCATCGGAAGGGGGCACGAAGTCTGTTCATAGATATAGGCTGAGGAAGCCGAAGGAGAGAAGCGTAAGCGCGCCGGCCAGCAAAGAACAACAGCATCGCTAATTTGACAGACGTGATTCACAATGGAATGGCTTAGCCGTCAGATATATCCAGCCGCGGTGAAGTGAATGGTTTGGTAAGTTGGTAAGTTGGTATGCTGAGTAAAGCTGTCTATGTATATATGGGCTAATCATTCTGGCTTATCTGGGCCATGCAGTCGTAGGGTCGTTTAAAAAAGGCACTGTCACTGTGCTGGAGAGAAAGTTGGTCTTCCCAGAAGACTCAAGGTTGCAGAAGCGAAAGGATGAAGGCAACAGAACTCAATCAGGTCGCTTAAGGTGTCTGTGTGTGGACGCAGAGAAGAAACGCAGGCAAATGGAGGAGGAGCGGAGGAGGGTGGGTTGGGTTTGATGACGAGCCACCAACCCCAGATCAAAAATCTACTAGTGGACAAAACTGGCGTCTTCTTCCTTGACCGGAGAGACACCACAGTCTTGGACCATGCGGCGGAAGTCCCGGATCACCTTTTCAGGGACCCGGTCCCACATTAGAGACCGTGAGTAGACGTCAGAAGTGGCCTTCGTCGACATCTTGCTCTGCACACTGCCTCTCATGGCAGCCAGGGCTTGCTGAAGGTTCGATGGCTGCTGTTGCTTGTAATCAACACCAGCATCATCGTAAGTAGTCAAAGAGTTGTACTGGTCCGCATTGAGAGCAAAGACCTGCTCCTGCTCCTGCTGCTTGGAGGGCATGACCAGTGCGCTGTGGAGCTCATCAAGGTTGGACGGCGCCGCAGTACCAGTCATCTGCGCCATCTGGGCACCAGTAATGGTGCTGGGCATAACGCCAGCAGCCGAGGAGGGGGCGACGGCGGCCTGGCCCATCGGCTGGGCGAGCTCGGGAGGAGACGACGCCAACACGGCCTTTAGCACGTTGGCTGATTCCGCGCGGTACTCCTCCGAGAGCTGAGGCATGGAGCGGGCAGAAAGGGAGGGGCCGTTCGAGGCCACGAACGCGCCGAACAGCAGGCACATATAGAATGCATTCCAGCTGAACGGGTAGTCGCTGTTCGCCTTATCCTTCTCGTTCGATGCGACAACCATCGAAGTCGACGGGGCCGACGGGGCGGCAACCGCCTCGGCATCCAGAGAGAGACTGTTGACCATGGTGAAGTCCTCCCAAGGGCTGCTATCCATCGTCAAGTTCTCAAAGTCAGAGAACTCCGAGGGCAGATTCGAGGGAGCCGAGGGTCTGGCGTGACGCTCGAGTTTCTCCACGGTCTCCTTGAGAATGTTGTTCTTCTTACGAAGCTCAGCGGTCTCGAGGGTGTGCACGCGGATCAGCTCGTCCTTCTCCATGTGCATCGTGTTGATGTACTGGGTGATCTCCTGCTGGGCGGCCATCCATTCGCTCTTCTCGCGAAGGAGCTCCGCCTCTCGGAGGCGCATGTTCTGCAGCTCCTCTTCGAGGTCGCTGATGATCTGTGTGAACTGCTTCTTCTCCTCTTCCAGCTTTTCCGTGTGCAGCTTCTTGCGCTGGCGGGAGTCCAATCTACAGTCTTGTTAGTGATGTCATTGCGCGTGGGAGGAGGGGCACTTACGCCGCCTGGCGGTTTCGCAACAGCCGCTTCTGCTGCTTTAGTTCCTTGATCTCCTCCTCATTGGTCGATTGACCGATGAGCTGGTCAATGTTGCTCAGCGTCCGCTCTGCAGGGATCTCGAAGCGGGCATTCTTCTTGCGGATGCCGTCCCGACGCATGCTCAACGGGGAGCTGTTGCGGTAGGTGGGACTCTTGGTTGGACGGGCCACGGCATCGGCCATGTCGGTGGCGGCAGGCATCCAACCCTGACTCGATTGCGGCGACATAGCCACGGCGGCCGGGTGGGCGAAGGCCATGCCGGGCCGGTAGGACATGGAGGGGATGTTGATGGTGCTGACGGGACCGACGGCGCCGCCTGCGAACGGAGCGGAGGCGCTGTGATCCATCTCGGAAGGGAAGTGCTCGTACATGGCGGTGGGAGTGCATGCGCCCGAGTCTTTGGACAGGGACCACGAGGCCTGCTGAGCGTATGCTGCGGCCGGGTGAGCGCCATCGACGCGCATGAAAGGATTGGGGGCGGATTCAAAGAACGGGTGGCCGACTTGGGAGTTGTGGCGGGACTGATTGCTAGAGACTGAATGAGAGAAGTCGGACCAGACGGAATCTCGATGCGTGTATGCATCGGGTGCATGATCATATGAGGTTCTGCGGTGGTCGGCAGCGGAGGAAGCCATGTCGGGGGAAGTAGAGTCCAGGATCTTGTCGTCTAATACACTCATCTCATCCTCTTCGGGAAATGCAGGTTTGGCATCCAAGGTAGTGGGGGACTGTTGATAGAAGTCAAATGATGACGGTTGGGAATATCTCGCCATGATGGTAGATAATGTGAGTGTGATGGAGAGAGAAGAAATGGGGGAAGAAGAAGAAGAAGAAGGAGGAAGCGTAGGTCGTGGCCCAAAGAGAAGCAGGCGTGGTAATACGACCGACTGGCAAGAGGCGGTGTGTAAAAAATAAACAGGTCGAAAATGAGGTGCGGGGTTGGCGATGGAGATGGAGGCTGGTGGGCGATCAAAAGGCAACGATGATCGTCGAGGGAGGTAATGAGGATAGAAGGAAGAAGTAAGACAAGAGCGAGACGATGAGAAGAAAAGATGTCTCAAATGGTCTCGACGAGAGAAGGAGGAAGAGGGAGTATTTAGAATGCGCGAGTAACCCAGGAAGAGGATTGGTGGTTGCAGGCGCGAAGGAGGCAAAAGTGGAGGCAGGGAAGAGGGCGAGGAGGGAGGAAGTATATCAATTTCTGTTGGGATAGTGTAGTAGTAGTAGTGGTGGTGGTTATTGTTGTGGTTGATAATGATGATGTTGATGAAAGGGGAAGAGAGCAAGTGACAAGCGGGAGGGGAACGAGTCCATACATATACTTCACTTGCAAGTATCGATTCGATCTTGTAGTCAGTCAGGATCTCTTTGATAGTTGATAGGAACCTGAAGTTGGTCCCTGAATAATGTCTGTCTGTCTACCAAGACTCAAGAGAATGGGAAAGCATCCAAATCGTACTAAATTTGAATTAGACTCCCAATTCCAAAACAAAGGCGACTAGATCCCAAAATCATAATTCTGGTTAATTGAGAGAATTATTTTTCCCAAGAGAATTGATGCTGACCCAAAACCCCCACAGGCTGCCTACTGAACCTACTGTGAGATCGAGTAGCATCTACAGTGCAGTACGGAGTACATCGCGAACGAAAAAGAATAAAAATAACGAGAGAGAGAGAGCGAAATAATCCAACCAACCGACAACAGGAAGAACCAAATAATGACCCTTCCCAAAAAGGAAGCCCACTATACTGCTACATACTATACCAGGTTCTACCAACAGTCCTATGGAATATGGATTATGGATACTCAAACCAAACCCACAGCTTCCACTCTTCTTCTAAGGGGACTCCATCAACTCCATCAACCTCAACCTCGAGGTAGAATTAGCCAGACCCATCGGCACGCCAAACCATGAACTCCTTAGTTCCGTTCCTCCCACGAAGATAGAAGCCCATCCCATCCGGCGGTCAGCGGAAAAGTCAAAAGACGAGGCGAGGATTTCTGACTGTTCCCGAGATTAACGAGCCGCCATCATTGGATGCTTCGTTGGGCAGACGTGCAGCGGGACTGGCAGGGGGAGAAAAAAAAATAAAAGGAAAAAGGAACGACTCAAGACAAGAAAAGAAAATAAGTGTTTCTACGACATGAATAATCAATCATTGTCTCTTTTTACGAACGAATAATGATCATGACGCTTCTCGTGCTCCTTCCTTGACTACTAGGTACAGTACTATCTATCGCATGGGCGCGACGCTTGCTTTGCCTGCGAAAAAAGACTTACTGACATACCACATGCATACATAAATAAAACCTATGTACATACGTTAGGATATACTCTAGTGCCTAATCTAACTTATTCATCGTGCTGCTGCTTCCTTCTGATCAACCGCCGGAAAGGAAAAAGAAGTTGGCCCGTGATCCTCCTCACACGGTCCTTTCGTGCGTTTCGGCCCCGATCGCCCTCTAGCCTCTCTGGCTGGGATGGATCCGTACTTTTGGTTTTCGTTTCTTCTTGGTCCATGCGGACGGAGTAGACTACTTACTCGGTCGGTCGACTCCGGGTGTACAGTACAGTGCAGTGTAGTGTAGTGTAGTGTAGTGTAGTGTAGTGCACGGTGCACTGTGCACTGTGCACACAGGGCATACACCAGGTTTCCTAATGACTTCGCTTGGGTACGTACTGCACATACTACTACCACACGGTATATACAACAGGAGAAAGCGCAATAAACTCCTCAAATGCGATGCACATCACATCAGTATCGTGCAGGACAGGACTGGCTTCTGCAGCGAGAACAAGCGAAGCTAGAGAGGTCAGATATCTGGATCTCAAAAGGAAGGTCAACCCTAAGTACTAGGTCGTAAGCCGCAACGCAAAGCTAGTGGAAGGGCGGTAGGACTGCCCTGACTGACTGCCGTCGGTCATTCCACCCCTCCCTCCCGAGTAGTAGCCCTCTCTGCCTTTTCGTATGTCATCAGTCAGTCAGTTAGTCTAGTCAGCTTCTCATCCCATAAGCAAGATACCGGTACGCCATCCTTCACTAAAGTCGGAGTATCACAATCCCGTTGCCGGAGGGGCAAAAAAAAAAAAAGCAGTGGTGGTCGGTATCTGAAGGCAAGAGCGATAGCCTGGATTTCGGATGGATGATAGCGATAGATCCTATGGATGGAGGGCAAAAGTGGGGCAGTCAGTTTCCCATCGGTTATCGATAGCCTATCGATTAACGGCTCAAACTGACCCCTCTAGTCTAACTTGTAGCTACAACCGTCGCAGCCCGACAAAACCCGCGGCCAGGGCTTGACGTCTGGGTGTTCGTGATGTCTTACTCTTCAAATGGTTTCTCATCACATCTGCGGCCAAACGATTGGTACCTGGCTGAGCAAATGACTTCCAAGTGTATCACTGGTTCCAATCTCCCAGTAGGCACTGTACCTGAACGGAGGGGGGGGGAGGGGTGGTGGGTTACGTTAGCAGAGCAACGGTGCGCATTGTGGGCATGGATGGAGGGGCCGTGGCCCTTGGCCCGTGGGTTGGTCGTAGACTCGTAGCCCACCGGTCGTTACTCCGTACTGGTAGCCTCGATGCTGCCCGAACGAGCGATCGTCTGTGCGCGTTTCGCAGTCAAGGTGCACCCTATTTCCCTTCCCACTACTCCGTAGTCGTCCCATGACCGCGTCCTGAGGAGGGACATGGTGATTCTGCTTTATTCTCCGGGAGCAGGAAATCGTACTTGATCAGACAGTGCGAAGCGATACCCACTCGAGTCTGGTACGAGGAGCAGCAGAGGCGGGACGGGGAGAGGATCAGATGGACAGAGGGACGGGACGGGTGTTGTCATACAATACGGGTAAATCAGGATGAGTTGAGTCTGTTGCTCGGGTGAGTCGAAGCCAATCGATTCGGGGACGGTGTGACATTGACGATGAGAGATGGCCTAGTCGTAGGCTAGATTCACCGATGACGATATTTGATTTCTTGTATTGTAGGTAGCAGGTCTTCTCTGTAGTGTACTGTTTACTGTGGATTGAAAAAGAGTATGTAAACAATAATCCATCTCTGGTACCGTTAGGGCCGGCCCGTTAATTGAGATCCAGTGATCCAGCCCAGACCATGTTTGCGGTCTCGGTATGGTTTAGCGTGCCACTGGGTTATTGCAACTGCCCGCCCCGGTTACTGACACGCCCGGCGCATTACACAGGAACGAACGCATTTGCAAAATGCACATTTGATGCAGAGTCAGGTCTACAGTACCGTACATATCACACAACCAGAATCTCAGATGAGGAACGATGCCGAGTCAGGGTTGAGGATACGAAACCCGGGTCAACCGCAGCGAGCGACAGCCGAGCTGAGCTGCAAAAGCTATGCTTCCTCTTTGGTATACGCACAGAGGGGGGGATACCACGAGACGAAGGAGGTTGAGTGAGCTTAATCGCACTCGTCATCTGCATTGTCTATCGCGAGGCAGTCTCCCGTAGAAGATCGGGAGTGTTACCTCATCTACCCACCTACAGTGCAGAGGAAGTGATTATGTCATTAGGACTCATTCCTTGGAAGTTACCTGCTAGAACTGTACATGAAGTCTCCTAACTCAACTCCAGAAGCATCACTCTCTACCCAAGATCCAGCCCTCTAAGCTCCGTAGTTATGTCCCAACCGTACTCAGTACCAAGAATAAACCAAACCACCCAAACAACCCAAGACTGCCCCCCGACCCAAGCCCACGGACCGTCTGCCCCAAACCCGCAAATTAACCTCCTTACCAAGTACCGACCCTCACCATCTACCCCCAATGACCACATTCAACTCGTACATACCGAAAAAAGCACAAGTAAGGCATCAGTGCTTTCCTCCAACCTCATGCAGGGAACACCACTCACCTCACCTCACCTCATCACATCACTTAACCCCTCTCCCCAAGAACCCACCTTACCTCACCCTGACCCTTACCCTTACCCTTACCCTTACCCATAGCTTACCCCCAAACAAGACCATAACCCGCTCGGATCGCCAAGCCAAATCCACCGCACCGAGGCGAAGGGAGAAGCAGAGCACCGACCACCGATCTGGACCGGACCCCGTCTGGCATCGGGAGAGAGCCACGAGTGAGGCGAGATTCCTGGTGTCTTGGGGCACTATTCAGCTTTGGGTTGAAATGAATGCTGCACGAGGATGGCAGGAACGCCAAAGCTAGTTAGTGCGTAAGCGCGAGCTGAGGGTTCGGGTGCTTGCAAACTGGGAGATTATGTCGTGCATTTGACATGCTATCCCTGTTGTTCTGGGTCTAGTGGGCAGTAGGGGTGGAGGTGCGGTGCAGCTGTTGTGCGGGTGTCCTGGTGTGGTGTGGTGTGTTTGGGTATAGGAATGGGGGTATGCTGTGGGTTTGGTGTTTTTCGGGGATGGGGATGGGATTACACTATGCTGTAGGTTTGGAGGGTGCAGGATCTGAAACACGAGGACGCTATATTGATGCTGTTTGGCAACAGGGAGATGTGGTAAGGCTGATTTGGTGGTGCTTGGGTTGGAGTACTATTGTTGTGCTGGTGCATGGGGGTGCGAATGATGAGGTTATACTGTGGATTGATACCTTTTGCAGGAGTAGTAGGAGTGAAAGGCAATAGCGATTGCAATAGCATAGCAGCAGCTAGCAGAGTTGAGTAAAGCTACCATACCTTAAGAACAAGAACGAGAGCAAGAGCATAACTTACCCCATTTGATCTAGTTTCAGACACCTTAGTACTCTAAGGTACCACTGTCCAGTATATACTCTCGCTAGGTTGCTATCTATAACCAGCGCGCCTCCCCAAGCCCTACCGTACTCACAACACAATCCAACAAGCACCCTTCTATAGAGATAACATAAACCAACACCGTTCAATTATTGATCAGATAAGCAATATTTGCTACCGATTTGCTTTGTACCGCGATACCCGGCCTATGTTCCTCACCCAGTGCAGCACACACACAGAGAAAGTACATGCATACACAGCTAGATACACACCACTACACTACATACATACAAACAAACATACACCCCTATGCATCGCAGCTCAGATCCAAGGCACCCTGGATAAAAGATCTAACTACCGTATCTTATCCCCAACCTCGACCGGCAGGTAGCTAACTTCCATACGCTAGCATACTCCTAGCATACTTCTGGTTTACCCCCAGCTAACCCTCTATACTGCATCTTCACCACGAATTAAGGTAGAGTATAGCACTACAATGTCTATCCGCCAGGCTAAAACCAAGCCCAAGCCCATATCCCCCCCTTACATAGTGAGAACATACCCTACCAGCCGAACTACAGTACCAAATCCCATCCCATACCCAGGTCAAAGATGGGGTACATACATACCACGCCTACCGACTTACATACAGCACACACCCACCTCCAGCAACAAATAACAAACACCAAACATCAACCGATCCCAGCACTAAGAAACCAGCAAACAAACGCCCGACATACTATCACATAACACTGGGATGCTATTGTCCATTTCACATGCACTGCACCTAACAATCAGATAGGATACCACCAGGCTAATGCAGTATGCACCTAACGAAAAAGCAAGGCACGAGTTTCTCCATCCCTCCTAACGGTTTTAGGTCTCGTGCTACTGGTCCAGCCGACAAACTCCCAGGGAACCTTTTCTTGGGGGAGGGACGATGAGTTGGTGTTTCAGGTTGGGAGTGGCCAGTGGCATAATGCGGCGAGGAGAATAGGGAGGCTCGTGGTGGGTTTCTAGTAGACGGATGTGTGGACGGTTGTTATGCGTGGGTCTGAGAATTGTCTATGTACAGGACGGTACAGTATATCGTGGTGGTGGAGAGCCACGGCTGAGTTACTGAAGCTTTGGAAAGTACTGTACCCAAGCCACCTGGTAAGGGTCGCTACCCCCGAGAATCGATACGAAAGGGAATGTGCGAAGGGTCAGGTTGATTCGATGCCTTGTTCTTCGGGTTCGTCAGCTATCAGCTATCAGCTATCAGATATCGCGGACCTCCATATGAAGATTGAATCCAAGGCTCTTGTCTGCATCAGGACTACTGTATATGATTTGCTGCTTTGGAAACCGACACAGAGCTTGACTGATTCGCTGCTTCGACCCAAGCACTGCACAAGGCTCGAATAAGAGATCTTCTAGAATGCTTACCTAACCCTGCTCCCAGCCCTAGCTGCCATACCTACACATCGTGTACAGCATCCGTCGCTTCTCGCGATAAGCGCGTGAAGGGCTAGCTATATGCACAGTGCCTAGAAGAGAAGAGGAGTGGGGGAGGCGATCAGTCGCTCCTCGCGCCTCGCTCCCCTCTATCGCCATGCATACACTAATTGCAACCTCCTGCTCACCCGGTTACCGTTGCTGCACTGCACACATGCACGCACTTACCACCGATAAAAAGTCCCCGAGATCATCTTCTGTAATACCACACCACACTTCGATGATTAGACAAAAAGACTGCTTCCCAAACTCCCCACCTCGTGTGCCATTCCACTCCCCACCCTGGGCGAATCACATTCCGACAGCGCACAAGAAACACCCAAAGCTCCCAATCGGATGTGGTAGTCGGTGAACATGAAACATGATCAAGGCGAGTGTCTCCGAGCGGCAGAGACAGGAAGCAGGAGGCCTTGAAGTCGCAGTTGCAGATGGCAAAGCATCAAGACCGAAACAGGAGGCGAAAAGGTACAGTACGGTGTGTGCGTGGTGGGTATACACTACCGAGTAGTCCCCACCTGGTTCCTGGATGGAATAGGCCGTGCGTGCGTGTGGCGTACGTAAAAGAAGCGGTCGAACAAAGTTTCCGCCGTCATGTCTCCGTCAAAAAAGAAAAAGTCGCCATCGCGGAAAGGAAGATCACTACCCATCAATAATATTATCGGTGACAGCCACTGTTCCGGGTAATTTGCTCGACGGAATGGTTTTCTGGAGATGTCATTCTGGCGGTGTACAGTACAAAGGCCGGCGGGGAGGACCCAAATTGGGAATGTTTAACGGTGGACCTAGCTGGAGCGCTTATATCCAGGCAGAGACGGATATATCCAAGTAACCGCCTTTCTCGAAGCACATGGGGGTCGTCGGTATGATAGTGGATATTCTAAGCTCCGTGAGCCACTTTCAGTCAAGTCCGATGGTTGAGATCCTGAGTACTGTGGCAGATCAACAGCCACGCACGGGAAGAAAACCCTCAAAAGTCAATTAGTGCGAACGGGCGATCAAACCCGCCTGCAACGCTTATCCCGATCAGCAGGGCCGTCCGGTAATTAGTTATGCTAAATTTCAAGTCGGGAAAGAGATCAGTAGCCCGGTTGTTGCTCGGTTGCTTTGTCAATGATTGGCCCTTGGTTCAAGAATGTGGTTGCATGATGTGATTGTTGCCCAACGCGGTAGCTACCGATAGTCACGTCGTAGGGCAGAGCAACCATTGACCGGTATTACTATGAACATCGTGAGCTCCAAGTTCTAGGGAAAAGCGAAGCATTGGTGGTTCGGTCCTTGAAACGTCTGCAGTCCGGGGATGGCTGGCATGGTTGACACTGGGGACGAACAGTAATCACAGGAAATGTCCGTTCATCCCCAGAGGTGTGTTTCGACCTGACACTCTCTTTTCCCATAGGCCAACGATTCAAGGCTGCTGTGTAGCAATCAGCCTTGGAAGAAGTAAGGTAGAGAGCTTGCGGAGTGTTTCAACCTGACCTGATCTACGTGTAACCACGAATCATTGTTCCTCTGGGCGGGTCCGACAGTTAGGTCAATATACCAGAACCACGCGAGAGAGAGGTTCAGTCAGCCCGACGGATGAATCGGTAGGTACCAGGAACAGCAGAGGATGACGGAGGCAAGCGCAGCGAAGATGGAGAAAAGAGGAGCAGCACGATGTGGACCGAGTCAGCACATCCGTCAAGTCCCACTTCCTCCTATCGGAAGAGAGTTGATATTTCCCCCCAGGAAGTTAGTGGACGAGGTCCTGCAGTTTCAGTTTCTAGTTCCTGGGAACCAAGGAAAGAAGAAAGCTATTCGGTGTCGACAGGAAGAATGACGATTGGCGGGGGCAGCAGCTTTCTCCCCAATGAGCGGTGATGATAGAGAGCCAAAGGAAAAAGGGGAGAAGCAGAGCAGAAGTAGCAGCAGCAGACCGAAAGAATCAGGCACGGATTTGGCTGCATTGCTGCACTGCTGCATTGACCAGGGGGATCGGATCGCCTTGTCATGCAGCACAACATGTGTGATTTAGTGTATGCGCGCTGCGCTATGCGCTTGTTGCGGTGGACGTTCGGACCGCCTCTTTCTCCTCACTTACTGTGTGAAGGATTGTAATTGAGTGACAGACAGACAGACAGACTGACACCCTATGCAGGTGCAGTGTGAGACGATTCCCCCCCGGATACTGCATCCAGCTTCCGTGGAACATCGGATGGCTACCAGCCCACCAGCAGATCAACGCCTGCAAACATGAAACAGTCCCTCTTCTTACCCCAGAAACACGCGGTCACCATCTGACGGACTGGAGCAGCATGCGTTAGGTAGGCATAACACTACCCAGACGAAAGGCCATACCCCCCCCCCCCCGCAATCAAAGGAGCATCGGATGAAGCAACCAGTGATGCGGCGAGGTTGCTAGGAAGACTGCAGCACCGTTGGTTGCAGCTCTCCCTCACCGACCTAGGAGGAGAGAGTGGGCCGCTGGTTCGTTAGGGAAGATAGGAAAGAGGAAAGAAAGGGAAGGGAGCCTGCATTGCATTGCATGCCCATCGGATGCGGATCCACGGGGTGTGGGTTTGAATGTGGATTTGGATGTGGATGTGGAGGGGGGTGGGAATGGGGTTGACACTGCATAGACACTTATTCGAGTTCGTTATTAGGGGTTAATTAGCTGGATTAGTGGAAGTTGATCAAGTAGCTAGCTGGAAGTCAAGTCAGGTAAGATAAGGTAGCTAACCTAAACTACCTAGTACCTAGTAAGCTCTACCTGATGATCACCGACTATTCACCTGGTCGAGTGACTCACAGATGGGTACTGCCTGATCTCCCCCTCCCTCCCTCCCTCCCCCTGGCTTGGGATTCTGTATGTACCAGGGAGGTGCAGACATGAAGATTCGAAGCAGAGCAGTGTGAGATGGTCCTGCAGCGCGGGGATTTCTCCCTTCCTTCATTCGTTCTCACGGCCAAGTGCTACACTGTACTCAGCTGGAGACACGATCATCTATAATATTCAATGCTCGCCCAATTCAGGTCCAAAACACAGTCTCATTTCTATCTTTAATCGATTGACATACGAAACATCCTGAGGAGGGGTATCATTGCCTGCAACTGGTACACGACAGACAGTCCATGAGGTATCAAAAATCTTATTCCAAACCAAGTCTGATTTCACTTTCTCCATTCCTTGTTTTTCTTTCTTCTTGCATCCCAGTTTCACTTTTTTTTTTTTCTTTTCACTTCGTCTTGTTTCAGATTCTGCCAGCGATCCTATTCAATTCCATACTATCACAGCCAAGTGTCAATTACAGAACTGCTACGCGTGTCAGTGGGCAAAAGGGTGAACAATTAGAGGGGGACAAAGTCCTGCTGCCGCGCGAGGTCACCGATGTCATCCCCGGCGGCAGCGATGAGCTCCGGCTCATCATCGTCCAGATCGTCCGAGTCGACGTCATCCGAGTCGATTGCGTCGTATTCTTCGTCATCGCTGGAGGCGTCCGACTCCTCGTCGTCATCGTCGCCCTCAGTCTTGGTGGCGGCATTCTTCCTGATCTGCCCGGCGCGGTCGACATGGGGCAAGCGGCAGTTTTTCTTGTGGCACACGCCCGTGTTGGCGTAGTCGGGACACTCGTGCACGTGTCGTTGGTCGCACGCGGCGCCTTTCTCGCAGTACCCTAGGATGGCAAAGTCTCTGCACACAGGAGCGCCAGGTGTCACCCGAACATGGGCGTAGCGACACTCGGGGTTCGCGCAGCGCCCGCGAAGAAAATGCACACATGCAGGGGATCGATGGGGCGAAGGCTCATGGGAGAGATCACAACTCATACCTGAGCTGCATTTACCAGTCTGGAGGAAATCCTTGCAAATGGCGACTTTGTGGGGATCGTGCGTGTAGGGACACAAAGGTCCTTTGTAGCAACTGCCTATAGATCAACCGATACACAGTCGGGTTAGCACTTATCTAAGGCAAGCAGACGGTAAAAGGAAGGGGTCAAAGGGATAATAGGCGACCGAAAGCCTATCGTGGGGAAAGTGTCGGTACCCGTCGTAGTAAATCGCTGGCATAGAGCGTCCTTCTTTTTAACCGCCATCGGCTTTCTGTAATACATGTAAGTGCAAGCACACAAGGCTCAAAACGAGACAGTCACCTTTTCGACGTAACGGCACCCAGCCGATGCAGGTTACCATTCTTGCTGCGCACAAAGACCACCCCGGCGATCGTGACTCTCTTGGGCGTGTTGTTGGCCGTATTCGGATCATCTACCATCGGTAAGCCAGCTCTCGCACAAAGGAGGGAGGATCCCCAGAGAGAGAGAACGGAAACAGAAGATCCGGAAATAGAAACACGCACCAGACACTCTGATCAATTTACTTCCGCCGCGCGCAACTCGGAAGGGCACCTCGTTGACCAGAACTTGGTATTCAGCACCCGGCTCACCCGCGGCAACGGCGGTAGCAGTAGTAGCAACCTGCGGCGGGGCGCCGAACCCCGACGGTTGATACATCCGACCATGGCCCTGCGCATACCGTAGCACTCTGGCCTGCTCGATCTGGGCCTTCTTCTGCGACTTTGCCTTGCGGCTCGCCTCCATCGCCTTGGCGCGCGACTGAGCCTCCTTGTCGTAAATGGCCGAGTTGATCAACTGCATATGCCGGTCGCGCTTTGCCACCCATTTGTTGTTGTTGTTGTTGGTGCCGCTGGCTTCCCCTTCAGTATCCGTCCCGACTCCCGCAGAAGGCGTCGAGCCGGGGGTTCCCGAAGCCGTGGTGGTGTTGTTGAGGATGAGCGTGCGGTGGCGGTGGGGGGCAGCGACAGGGCGGCCGCCGCGGGGGTGGTATTGTCGGCCGCGATACGGCGCCCAGCCTCGTCCCCGCGATGGCACATGCCGTGATGCATATTGGCCGGCGGGAATTTCGCTGGTGTAAGGGGACTCCGTGTGTTGGTTTTTGTGTCGGTTGATCTGGCCTGGTGTCGAGGGGTTTAGCGGGTTGCAGTTGGATGAGGGCGCTCGCGCGCAAGGATGAATGAATGCTCCGGCTTACCAGCAAGCTGGCTAATCTTAGCCATGAGATCTTGATCTTCTGTCATAATGGCGAAGTCAAATTACCGGTCACGTTAGTAGGTTACAGTGTGAATGAGATGTTGTCTGTTTGGAGAGGTTGGTTGAGTTGTGAATGGGAGTCAAGCTACTGAGCGTGTTGTTGATACGAGAGAGGGTGAGTGACGAAAGCCGTCAGCGGCAAAATAGTCACGTGATTACGTCCTTCAACCGTGTTGTAGAAATACATGCCTGGCAAGAATGTTGATCTTCGCTTGGCCAAAGAAGCTGGCCTCACTGGAAGTTTACTTAAGTATTGTGATACAATAATATCGATAGCTGGTATGTGATGGGTGAGCCAGTGGTCTAAACCCTCACTAGATGTATCTAGAACAAATCTGTATGAAAACATCACTCCAGTAACCCAAAAGAGTGAAAGAAGAGAGGAAACGCCATGGCCTATGCAAGATACATCCCGGTGCTCTTTAGACAACATTCTCAAACTGTGCATCATCATTATCAGTCACCATTCCCGACGCCATCGGGTCATCCTCCGAGGCTTCATCAAAGTTATAGTCGAGACCAGGAGGAAGCTCCTCCTTGGCATTGCCATAGGCCATCGCGGTCGCATAGTTGCTCTCCTTGAATTCCGGCTTGAGCTCCCAGGTCATTGCGAAGTCTCCCGACTTGACCAAATGAGCCACCAGCTCCAGAGTCTGCTTGAGATATGCCTCAGGCTGTCGTAGCCGGGCCTTGAGCGTCTTAAAAGGCCAGTACTTGTACTCGCGGAAGGCCTGGTAGATGAGATCCAGCAGCTCGTTCTGCGGCATACGCGTGGTTTTGTTCTCCTGGGCCTTGAGCTTGGCAGGCTTGGTAGCTTGCTGATCGGTGATTTAGCATAAGATCCGAAATCAAGCAACCCAGGATATCCACAACTTACCACAAAGGCACCCTTGTCGCTCGGCAGCGCATTCCGCGACTGGAGCAGTTTGCCGGGGATCTTATCGATGAAGACGGTCTCACGCTTGGGTTTCAGCGCCTCCATTGCCTTCTTTTCCGACAACATCCTGAATTCCTCATTCTCAACCGGCAAGCAGTTAAACTCCTCCCCAATACTGCCAACCAGCGCCGTTTGTTCTAGTATCCGTGTAAGCGACAACATCAAGCCCAGCACCTCCCCCCGGACAATACATACTAGGCACAGTCTTGCGCACGTAGGGCTCCCACTTCTTCTTGCGCTCCTTCTTCTTCATCTCACGCTTCATCGATTCGTACAGCGCGGAACGAGCCTCGCCAAAGACGACCATGCGATTTTCCTGGCCGGGAATTTCCCGTTCCGTAAAGAGGTAGGTGTTTTGCGTCGAGTGCGACGTGGCTTCCGTGTTTATCGTCTGTCGCTGCAGGATATAGTCTTTGGGGATTTCGCGGTTATCGTCTCGCTCGGGGATGCGCAAGCTGACCTACAACGCGAGGGAAGCTCGGTGGTTAGCTCATGCGCAATTCACTCCCGACGCCGAAGCTATCCCGAGCGGAAAAACAAGTTCCACCCGGATCTTTTCTGCAATGGTCGCTTACTCGTTTGATATCTTTCGGTGTCCCTTCCACTCTCATCGTTCCGATCTGAACCTCCTCGTCGTCGTCCAGGTGGTTGGTGATGTTCGACCAATGCTCCCATAGCGACCGGGGCAGGCGCGAGAGCCACACGCTCCGCTGCGCCTGCGAGAAATCTAGGTCGCCGGCATCTTCGTACAGATCCTCGTCGTCGATGTCGGCGAGGACGGTGTCTTTGCTCTCGGGGTCGGGTTTGATGTATGGCGCCGTCTGAGCGTCTGGGTCCTGCTTGATTTGGGGAACCATGACGCCAGGCAAGTGGATTGTTACGGTGGCGCGGGATGTCGGGGAGGATGGCTCAGGCGGCAGCTCACAAGTGCAAGGGCGTCTAGTTCTCAAAGTTGGGCGACTGTCAATGAAGTGCCCCAGGAAGTGGTGAAAGCAATGGAAGAGGGGGGAGTGAGAGTTGGTTGATGGGGGGAGGTTGCATGCTTTGGTCTCTTTCTTTCTCTCCGCTTTGCGGTTCTCCGCTTTGCGGTTCAACGGGCGGGATCCAAGGCGGTGTGGCAAACTCTCGGGGGGGGATTGGTAGAAGCACTCCAGCCTGTGTTTAGAATGTTCTTTGAAGGTTGTTTGAAGGTTCTTTGTTTTGACTTCAGTGTTCTTAACTTATTCTTTGTTTCGGTTCGCGGATGCGGTGGAATAAACTTAATGAGGAATAACATTTCCTGTTTCATGATTTCTAGCTGCATGAGACATCTAGGCAGATGCCTGGACAATAGTGATTGATGGTAAGACTGACTGATTGATAGAGGTAACACACCCCTGCATTAGATTCCGGTAAGGTGGCCATCCCAGCTAAGGCATCGCCTTAGCACGTCCTTGACCTCTTGCATATATTCCTTCAGATGTGATTCGATAAAAATCGGGCTAATTGGATCGTCAACCTCACGGGTGAAGACAGTGGTGTGTTAACTTTATACTTTAATCGGAGCTGAGCTGAGCCGCTTATCGATAAGCGGTCCTCCGCCTCCAGCTTCCATCGCCGACGTCTTCCACCGACAGAGCAACAAGCAACACACCCCTCATCTTCTGATATCCAACCTGCCACGACCTTTATGCCAACACTCCCACAATACTTTCAATAACACTCCGGACTGTGACACGCCCTATCCTTCTCACCTTCTCACCATCTCACCCCCGACAAACTCCTCACAACATCCCCACCATGGCCTCCCAAAAACTCACCTCCGCATTATCGGAGATTGAAGCCTCGACCAACACGCCCACCAAGTTCCAACAATACACCGACCTCCTCACCGAGCTCGTCAACACGACACCACCCACCCAGCTACCCCAAGATCTAACCGCCTACCTAGACTCGATCCTCAGCGAAAGCCTCAGCATCGTGGCCGCGCGGCCGCTCCTCGACCACTTCGTCACGCTCCTGCGGCCGCTCCCCTCGACCACCAAGATCACCGTCGGCCAACACGCCGTGGCCCTACTGCAGTCGCGCTCGACCTCGGTGGAGGAGCAAGACGCCTCGATCCGGGAGATTCTGGCGGACGCGTACGAGGCGGAGGAGGACTACCTCGCCGCAGCGCGCGCGCTGCAGGGGATCCACATCGACAGCTCGCAGCGGCAGGTGACGGACCTGGCGAAGGTGCGGCTGTGGATCCGGATCGTGCGGCTGTACCTGGAGGAGGACGACACGACGAGCGCGGAGGCCGTCCTCAACCGGATCAAGAACCTGCCGACCAAGATCGCGGACCCGGAGCTCAAACTGCACTTCAAGCTGGCGCAGGCGCGCATCTTCGACGCCCGCCGCCGGTTCCTCGACGCCAGCCAGGAGTACTTCGGGGTGAGTCTGGCGGCCGGCCTCGTGGACGAGGCGGACCGGCTGCACGCGCTGGCCGCCGCCATCCGCTGCGCGGTGCTGGCCCCCGCCGGGCCCCAGCGCGCCCGCCTCCTGGGCACCCTGTACAAGGACGAGCGCGCCACCTCCGTGGACGAGTTCGCTATCCTCGAGAAGATGTTCCTCGATCGCTTGCTCGTGCCCGCCGAGGTTGCCGCCTTCGCCCTGCGGCTGGCTCCCCACCAGCTGGCCGTCACGGCCGATGGCTCCACCGTGCTGGATAAGGCTGTCGTCGAGCATAACCTCGTCGCCGCGAGTAAGCTCTACGAGAACATTACGACGGATGCGCTGGCTGTGATTCTGGGGCTGCAGGCGGGTGGCGAGTTTACGGCGGGCGAGAAGGCCGAGGCGTATGCGGCGCGCATGGTGGAGCAGGGTCGGTTGAAGGGGACTATCGATCAGATCGATGGGGTCATCCACTTCGAGGCGGCCGGGTCGTCGTCTGTCGCCTTCGGGAGGCATATCCGGCAGTGGGATGCGGGCGTGCAGAGTCTGGCGGAGGATGTAGAGCGCGTGGCTACGAGTATCACGGAGGCGTTTCCGGTAGGTCGGCCTGTTTCTGGGAAGATGGGGCAGGGGTGCTAACTTGTGGCTCTAGGAGTTTGCTGCTGAGCAGGCGGTGCATTGAGCATGCTCGGGGATGTTTGAGCGTGGTGAGGTTTTGCAAGGGACTCTTGTCAGGTGCACACATTAGGATCTCGGCCGGCTGACAGGTAAAGTTGGAAACAAGGAGTTCTATGCAGATGGGGAAGAGCTGGATGGCGGGGAAAGGATACAATAAGTCGTAATCTTCGTTGCGGTCATTAGCGTTCGTCTATTCTAAGTTTTCTGTTCTATGAGATCAACATGCTGAAAGTAAAGAGTGCGTCGAGGCAGAAGAGGAGCGTAGATCCCTTCTACCTCACTTGAGGGTACTGTGTCTGTCCCTTCGCCTCGAAGATGAACACGGCCGAGGAAATCCGCGCTCTGGTCGGAGGTGTTATGTGCCAAGGAAGCCTCGTCCACCATCACCGTAACCCGTAAACCACGATCCAGCCTCACACCCTGCATACTTCGGCGAACCCTCTCACCTCGTTGATCTCGTTGACCTCTACAGAGGCACAGCTACTGCAATGAGGAACGGGAGTTATCCCCGCCCACCCAGCTGTGCCGCATTCGCCACCCACCATCCAGCCCATCCATCCCACGCAACCCCCCCAAATCTTATCAGATTCGCCCCGAACGCCCTCCCACATGGCCATCTCCCCCACCCTCTCACGTCCCAACAAACACGTTCACAGCCCTACAAGTGGATTTTCGTGATACTTTCACATCTCGCCAGCGCCAGACACCTGATTGCCCCCCCCAAGCGCGTCCACGCGTCCCGAGTAACACAGCCAGGAGCTCAGCCCTAGCGGTGGAATTTCATGATCGGTTGACATCTCAACGCAGCGCGGGAGCTGATTGGCCAGACGGCGTTTCAGACCCCTGGCGACGCGTCCCAGGCAACACGGTCAGCCTTATATGTGGATTTTCGCGATGGTTTTGACATCTCGACGCTGTAGGCAAGGTACTTGGTTGGTCGGGTGGCACATTGGGGGCGGGGGAATTTGAGATGCCGGTTATGGCTCGTGTTGCGCCTGGGTACTGACTGGTTTCCTTGAGGTTTTGGCAGTTGAGATGTTTAGCGAAGCGTGCAGATGGCTCTCACGCACGACCGCTCGAACTGTCCTCGCTGATCTTGATGTCCGTGCGCACGGTGATGTCCATGGGATGGTGGTGGTGGTGATGGCTCTGCCCGAAGATGGACGAGGTCGAGCCGTCGCGCTCGTCGGTCGAGGTGGAGCGCGAGCCGAGGCCTTCCTCCATTTTGTAGAAGTCGGAGGCAGCGGCGGCAGCGGCGGCAGCACCGGGCTTGGCGCCGGCGGCGGAGACGACGAACTGCGAGGTGCTGACGTCGGTGGGGATGTAGTAGGGGGCGGAGCGGTAGCGGCGGTGGCTGGGGACCTTGAAGCGCGGGAACAGGCCGCGGATGATGGGCAGGCACGAGCAGATGAGGCCGATGGAGGGCTCGACGTGGGTCCACAGCGTGGCCTGGTAGACGGTGTAGGTGGTGTCGGCGGCGTCGATCCAGAAGAGTACGACGATGCGGTAGACGCTGGCGAAGCAGACGAAGGCGCCCAGCGCGAACACCCCGTTCAGCGCCAGCTTGTCCTGCCAGGCGCGGTGCAGGCCCCAGATCATCGGAATCGGGAGCACCAGGATCACAAAGTCCATCAGCACGTTGAACGCCTGGTTCGTGATGATCAGCGTCATCCCGTCCAGGCACTGGCCCGCCACGCTGTGGTCCCAGTAGGCCCGCAGCGGCCGGCACTGCAGCGCGCAGGCCAGGAAGATCGCCAACCCCCACAGCGTGATCAGGATGTTGATGCCCAGCGTCGTCCATTGGAAGGGCTTGGTCGTGAAGACCCGCCGGTAGAAACAGATGATCGAGACCTTGATGGCCGGGCACAGGAGGAAGTAGGTGAATTGGTTGGCTAGGAAGATCTATATCTTTGGGGTTAGATGCTTGATCAAGTCTCTTGAGAGAAAGGGAGGCTTACCTTGTAGAAGTTCATCATGGTGCCATTGTTTAGGCTGTCTTGGTGGGCTCCGTTGCCTCCGATGGTCACCCCTTGGGGTGAGGTTAGCGGGTTTTGAGGTGATGGCGGCGTCGCTCGACTTACAGAGCCCCAGTTCAATCAGCATGCCGAGGAGGAGAATAATTGACGCAAAGGAAAGATAGTCGTCAACGCCAAAGTGAACTCTTCGCTTCAGTCTGGCGATTGCGCGTAGTATGACTGCAATAAAGGAGAGACCGACCAGCACCGACACGATGCATATCATCTCCTTCCCTCTCGCGGTGAGGACCATGGTGGATGTATCGGTAAAGGTTATAGTTGGATGAAGCGAATGGATATGGATAAATGAATGACAGGTCATATGTTTGAGGTGAAATGTGACAATCACAACATCCTTGATTGAGTATGTACACGGGGGTGGATACTAGGCCAAAGCCAGTGGTATCAACACCTCAGAAAAGTGTTGTAGCGATCCTAGATATTGACGATCGATATGAAGGCCACCCCCGGGTCAAACAGCAATTAGCATAAATGAAGACTGAGGCTCACGGAGTCTGCAGGAACAAGTGGAAACCCGCTTAATATGTAGCCTACACATTGCATAGCCAGATCATATGAGAACCTGCCCGATGGGTCTCAGCATAGGAACTCCGGAGCGAAGGATCCTCGCCTACTAGTGCTTGCGAACTGGCGCATTTGTCATTTATTGGAAGCTTGAGACATTGTGGGATGCACTGGGCAATCTCATTTCTAGCTCGACATCGATGAGTAGGACCACCTGCTGCCACAGT